CGCTTGTTGAAAAAGCTATTGTGGCTCGTTCAAAGTTTATTTATGTTAATAGACATTAAAATAAAGAAGCAATGAAATTAATTCTAGGAAGCTCACGGCATAACAATAAGCTTATTAATCTTTGTATAAACATCGTGATCTTTATATTATAGTTATTATCAGGAAACATCCTTTTGTCAAGCTTTGTTCAACCAAACCATTCACGTTTGACACAGGACGTGTTAACCGTAGTGGCGTCATATCTAACGCATGATGTCAACCGCATCCGATTGTCTCCATACTAATATACTATGGGACCACCACACATCGCCACCAAGTCGCCGTGGCCTATGGTATACAAATATACAAAGAAATACTTTTTATTCAGTCGCCATTACAAACTAACGCCGCGGATTGAATAATAAGCGATGTTTTTGAATGGTAAAGCATCGGTTGCATATAAAAATGTACTGCGCTTATTTTGGTATTATATAATATTGTTATATACTCTTGTTATAAGTATTTAATATTAGTCGTAAGTTAGGCATAAAACTGTCTCTAATTTCCTTGGAAATTTCGGGAATTTTCTTCATAAAAATTTTAGTCCTTTCATGACCACGACGTGGTGCAATCCACGTCGTAACTTCGGCAATTAAGAAGATGGTATGTAGGTAATATATATTTACCTGCAAAAATTTTTCATTGCATTAAGTCTCGATTGATATGTGTAAACAACGCGAAGGTTTAAAATTAATTTTCTTCGTCATTGTTAAGGTAGAGTTAAACCATAAGAATAAGGATTTATATTTTTATGGTTAAATAAAGTGACTATATTCTTATTATTTGTATGTGTTATCGTACTAAGACTATTACATCGTTATTTGACTGTATAAACGGACAACTTTATACATTATTTTTTTAGTATAACGTATATTATTCATAGTTATTGCTCTTTGTTTTTTTTGGAATATTTATATTTTACGTTTCATTTTGTAGAAATTAAAGTATTTAATGAACATTTCATTTAAGTATATATATTTTAATAATGTTAAAGAATACTTTTTATAATATTTTTGGAGTACTCGATACGTATGAGATACGTATGATAGATAGGTATGAATGCAATTCTATTGATTGTTTAAACAGTTTACACTATTCAAATGCGTACTATTGAGTGTTATACTTGTATTTTTTTTTTATAAATTTATATAATTTATTTATAATTTGAGATCGTTTTTTATCTTTTAGTACCCTTAGCAAGCCTCGTGTTCATTGTCTCATTGTTAAGGTTTTTACTGGCTTAATCGACAAACAAGGCAGATTCAAGAAACAGTTAATCCCAAGTACGCACCAGTTCTTTGAAATTCTACAAATTTTAATTAATAATTATAGTCACATACCTAATGTTTATACAGTTTTTTTTTTGTAATTTGTGTCTGTTGATTCTATGATTGGTGACGATAAACTGTGCTAGTTAATAAGTGAATCATTCATAATAATAAATAAATAAAACAGTCTTGTGGAGTCAACTCGGTAAAATACCAGCATCAATGTTGATCAATCAATTTGTTAACTAGCTAATGGTTGATGAGGCATGAATTCAATTGTAAGTATTAATATTTTACAAAATGTAGCTGCGTATTTTCGAGCTACCAATTAAAAACATTCGGCTAATTGCCTATATTAATCTGTTCCGTTTAAAAATATATTATTTTATCAACCAAAGTCATATATCTTACAATATATTTATATTTGTGCGGTAAAATTTGATATAAATTTTCAAGGCATTTTTATCTCGACTATACCACCGTAAGAATTTATAAGCTTGACAATATAATTTCTCTAGTTAATGACTGAACAATAAAGCAATATTACCAATGGCGTGGGCGCTTAGACTTGTTTAAACGACTGATTTGTATACAATGATCATTGTTCGTTCGCGATTCAACCGAGCCTGATGACGCGAACACGGACATAGGTTAATCGATGACAAATATGCGAACATATTGACTCTTTGAACTTATTCTGCGAACAATTCTGCACACAATGGAATTGAGAGACAATAATTTGTTTATATCAAATAAAGCAGCAGTTATTAAATCATAAACACTACGGCGAGTTTAAATTTTTTTTTGGCATCACCATCTCACTATCCTTATTCCATATCATTTGGGACGGAGTACGTATTTTTGAATTTCTATTTGCATTTTTAAATATTCGTTGTCTGGCTAAGTTAACTTCTTCAAAATCTATTCACTTTTTTTCAGGTCTTCCTCTTTTGTCACTTTTTGTAATATGGTTAGGAACCAATCGTATTTGGTATAATTTTTATGATTAAAAGTAAAATCAAATTAAATTTAGAATTGGTAAAGATTTTGTGATTGTCTGTATTTTTGTGTGTATGTATACTTGGCAGATCCAATGCCTATATAAAAAAAAATCATACAGACGAGTTAAGAATCTTTTACGTTAGATAAAAACAAATATTGTAAGCGCAATATATATGTTTAGACTGAATCAGGACGCAACCTCTTATCCAATGTCAGGTTATCTTCTGGTGGAAGAGTCAAGATAATTGAAGCCGAGTACACACTTGATTGTTTTTGTTATCTTCCTATAATTTACGACTTGTTGACACAATATGATGCGAGTTTTGTAACTTTCACGTAGTAATTAAGTTGTTGTCATTGTTAACGTAGATTTATACTAAAAGGACAAAGAGCCAGAATAGCTATTCTGTTACTTTCAGAAGAGAATCAGGTACAGATACAGCGGTGAGAACTCGGTTGGATAACGCTCGATTGCGGGGTAAAGATTGAATCCTAGCTTAAATTAGTCAGTTTTCAAATTTATATTTGTATCAGGCTTTGTAATGAAAGGTATATAAAGTTGTTGATCGGTAAGCCATTTTACCAGAGGGAGGCTTTGTATAAAAGTCGATTGCTTGGGTAACTTTGCCCCTTTCGTGTTTCAACCGTAAAGCAGTTGTGTTTGCATGGCTGTGTTTCGGTTTGAAGGGTGGGATATGACGTGAATGAAAGGGTACAGAGGAATAACACCTGAGTCCTCAGGAATGGCAACGTATGGGACGACGCGACGGTTACCACTTTTCATCAGATGGGCCGTCAGCTAATTTGCCGTTCTAAGTAGTATAAAAAAAAAAGCCGCGTTAGAGATTCTGGTGCAGATTCCACAATTCCCACATTTTGCAGAACATAATTATAAGAATCTAATGTGACAAAACCGAGTCTACAGCGAAAACGGTATTAGATTTTATTTCCAAATAGTGATTTGGAAATAAAATCGTTATTTAAATCTACCTTTACGGAAAGTAGAGCGGCGGCGGAGTGCAGGTCACGGCGGCGGCAGGGCGGTGTTGCTGATACGTCTCGACGCACAGATAACCTTAACACCTCCGATAAAACAATATGACGAGGATGCATGTGTTCATAATAATATGGTAATAGTTATTGAATATAATTTATAATGTATCTATATAAAATAGAATGTTATTATTTATCTATTGTTTTTAATTAAGACTATTTAAATAGACGGTAATATTCAACGTAAAAAGAATAAATTACTTGTGATTTTGTTTTGTAAGTCTAGATAATAAAAGAAAATATGTTCATAGCTGTAGTATCAGGACAGAAGGGGCTGTAGTAAGTATCAGAGGGCATAGGTGAAAGTAAAATCTCGATTACCTTTAATTACCTTAATGTTAATATTATTGTGATTATAGAATTTCCTATGTAAATAGTATATAAATAGCAAAAGTAAAAGGCATTCTGATCTTAATATACTGTACTATACATATATAACAAGGGCATCTATTAATTGTCTGGAGCACAAACTAAAATGTATAGATGTATTGTATTTATAAAATATTGTGCGTAACTAATGGAAGTACGAAACAATTATACAATCTACTCACAAAAGATTAGAATTTGAACCTGGGACTTCATGAAACCACGTGAAGCATTTAGTCGATGTTCATAAAAAATTAGAGCCGTTTGTAATAATTATAGTTATTAACTAGTTAGGTAATTATAGAATTTTTATTATTATTATATCAGCCGTTAACTGTTCACTGCTGACCATAGGCTTTCCCCATAAGGGGAGTTTTGCCAGTAGTTGCCACGCTTATCAGGCTTGTTGGCAACCGCAGTTAGGCTTTGGTGATGTTAGGGACGCTGCTGCCCATCCCTTGACCATTGAGTTCTCTTAGTCGCCTCTTACGACACCCACGGGAAAGGAAGGGGTGGCCTATTCTATGCCAGGACCACACGGTAACAAAAACGACTAATTATATAATACGTAGGAATTATTTTATATTTGCAAGTCTATAACATTATCTATAATGTCGGCCGAGTCATATATTTCATATTCTAGATTATGTGAACAAAATGAACATGTGTTGTTCAATTTGAACACAAATAATTTCTGAGATGCAATATTGACCAATTTACCTTCAGTACTACAGCCGTAACACATGCATTAATTAATGAAATCGTCAATAAAACGTAAAAACAAACTGGTGTTAGTGTAATGGGATATATTAAGGGGCCATGTTACTCGGATGTGTCCGTTCGGCAATTAATTTCATTAACCGAGCCTAATGCGCCCCCATAACGATCTAACATGTGTTTATTTTTATCCACATGTTACTCATTGCGTTAGTTTTATTACCTACTTCTTATAAAACTCGTGTTTTATCTTAAACTTGTTATATTTTGTGGTTTATTTGAACTTTGTCAAATTGGCGGTTGCTTTTTGGACCTTTCTGTATTTTATGACGCGTTATGCTACTATACTTATTTATATTTCTTGTGGTTTATGACTTCAAATATGATTTTAGTATAGGTATCTAATATAAATATTAAATAACATAAGAAAGAATGTGTGCCTATATATCTACCACATACTTTGATCATTTTAAATAAGTACCTATTAATATCTGCAGATCTATTAAATATATCAGCGTGCACATCATTTATAAAGTTTAATGTTTGTTGTTTCAGATGTCCCTCGTGGAGATCACATCTGACTCCACCATGCGAGAGGAGAGGATTCAACATATATATAAATTTTGTGCACCACAGTCTGTAAGTATCGATAACAGCATAAAACAATTAAAAATATGGCTAATATGAAAATAATTATTGAAGTTACAAGTTAAGTTTACAGTGATTTATCAAAATTTAATTTGTTCGCTAGCCGTATTCAACTGATATTTTTTTATACTAATTAGAATGGCAAACAAGCTGACGACCCACCTGATGGAAAGTGGTAACCGTCGCCTATAGAAATGAGCAGTACCATGGACATAACAGAGTATACTGTTTCGCTCATGCTTTGCTATTCCTGAGGATTCAGGTGTTATTCCTCTGTACCCAGTAAATTCACGCCATATTCCACTCTTCAAACCGAAACACAGCCATGCAAACACAACTGCTTTACGATTGAAACACGAATGGGACAGTTCCCAAGCAATTGACTTTTGTACAAAGTCTCCCTCTGGTAATATTTTGATAAATTTTACACTTTCTTGTAAAATTGGTAAATGTGTCTAAATGATACATTCCGCAAAGTTCTTTAGAAATATCCGAACTTAATAATAAAATTTATAAGAAGGAATAAGAAAGTTTAATATTTATGAAGATACCAAGAGTAATAAAAAATAAAATGTATAAATACATACATATCTGATGCGTGCCAGTAAAGTTACGTTTATATTATAAAAGTAATCTGAAATATACCCAAGTATTGTAATGAAATATTATTTATACTATAATCATGTATTCTAGAGTGTTATCCTGGAGTTAAATGAGAATGATGTAGTAAATGCATTAGTCATTATGACGAATTTGCTTCCTCATATACGCATATATATACTCTTACGCATATAATTATCGGTCACATTTATTTACTTGTATTGTTTTCTTGCGTTATTTATAAATCTTAGAAATCAATGTATTTGTGATAAGTAAAGACGAAGGAGGCGGTAAAACGATAGCGTCTATTCATATGGTCACAGCGTTTGTTGGAGTCTATTGAATTGATGTGCTTGAATGATTTTTATTCGTCTCGTCAATAAACCGCCTATCTGTATTGTATTGTAATTGGACTCAGTCTTGAATTACACGCAATAAAAATGAATTTACAGAAATATTGGATTACCTTAGAACAATATGGTAATGAATGTACAAGTAGATTTGTTATCAAATAATGTTTGATGTATAGAGATCATGCCTGTTTGTTTCTTTACAGATTGAGTTTTGGATATGCATGAACCACACGATTCAAGGTACGAGCAAGAAAATTATTTAGATAATAAAAAAATATAAGATGACATAGATTAACATAGATCGAGATCTGATTTACTAATTCTATACTACTTAACATGATGCTATTAAAGTTTTATATATAGTGAAATAGTTTCTTTACTTGTTAAACTTTTACAAAATACTATTTATTATTCTTTTATATTAATAATGTAAAATTATTTCACCATAAATTATATCGGAGTCAAGCGCTTTTTGAGCATAACTTTAAGTAAAAAATCCTCTATCATATTAGGCCCCAATAATTAGCAAATTACTCTGATTTTAGTTTATTTAAGAATTTGTAGTGATATTTATTTATTTAACACTTTTTGCACCAACTTAACAGGATTTGTTGAACAATTTTCAATACGTATAGTGTAGTACAAAAGGCGATCTTATTGCTAAGCAATCTCTTCCAGATATCCTTTGGGTAGAAGGAATAAAAGCATAAATAGGTAGGTGGCGCGTTAAAAAAAATAGATCTGTAAAAAATAATATCTGATAATATATCAAAATAATATATTTATATTTTGAGACAAGCTCTTTGAAACCTCTTAGATTGGCGCCGTTCACTTAACCGATCTAGTAATAAACATTAATTTCTAATTTAGTTATCATATGATTAAATTGAAACCTCGTTTAGATTGTAATATACGGAAATGAAATGAAATGTTGCACAAATGTACTTATCTAACTCGTTTGAAGTACTTAGTTAAAGTGCGCGTTCATATTTCATGAAATATAGAAACTGTTTGCAATCGGCTATACTGGTGAAAATGCCAAACGCATAATTATGATTTTCTTGTGAAAGTTAACAAGCTTACTATTTGTCGCTTATTGTTTGTTATGTCGGTTAGATAAAAAATACCTAGATTTGGTTACAGGTAAAATTAAATAATCTAAATAAATTGTCTTTTAGTAATGGCTATCTTCATTTGTTTTTTTTCTATTAAGTATTTAAATAATTCGTTATTGAGTAATTTCTCAAATTTCATACTCGGAATACTACATAATGTATTAATGTACCTGCTATAGAACATTTAATAAACGCCTAATAAAAGACTAATTAAGACTATGGGGTCCTTCAAAAAGGGTATATTGAGGAATGTTCAGAGTCGGTAACGCGCACATGACATATCTAGTGTTGTAGGTGTCCATAGGCTATAGTGACCGTTTAACATAAAACGGCCTTTATGCTTGTATGCCACCTTTGAGGTATTAAAAAAGACTTATTATTTGAGGTATAAAAAAAAACTTATTATACTTTATTGAAGTATAGCTAGCTATTTAGTTGTTATTTCATCCGCCTGCTACGATTTATTGATTAACCGGATTATCTAACAACCACATCGCTAGTAATATATCTTATTATTTTTTTATGGATGATAATGGAATGGTAACTCCGCCTGCGCTAACAGTATATGCTGGTGGGGCACCAGTGAGGGATGATAGGTGAGAATGAAAATGCAGGCCATCGTGATGATCACGCCTGGAATTCAGCACGATGGTTTCCAAGGGGGACCACGTGGAGGTAGACCTGACAGGGTACATTGCTAGCAATGGGACTGGTGGTCCGCATTACTAACAATCCCTTCCCCCTAATATATATCCTATTAGCTCGACCTGGTTCCTAGTGGGCACTGGTTCACTACCAGCGTACATCGATAGTGGAGATGAGATTACTATGCCATTCTTACTCATTAAAAAAAAAAAACCCACACTACGTGTATACAAAATTTCATGTTCGCTGATTTAGCATTAAAGGCGCAAATATGTAACAAACAAACTCATATAGTAGATATTGTAATATAATTTTTTTATGTCGATAAAATTAACTTATTAAAGTTGAACTTATTAAAGGTATTAACCTGGTTTTGGACGTTGCAGAAATAGTTACTGGTATGGGATGGTGGGGACGTGGTTGCTGTGCCATTGGTCACTCGACGTCGTGCAGGCACGCGTGTGCAACCGCTAAGGATGCGAGCCCCCTGCGCGCCGCCTGTCGGCAATCCGACGAGATCGCACTCTTTGATTGTGTACAGAGCCAACAAGAAGCCCAGTGGTGCTGTTGTAAGTTAAATTCGTTATAAGTTTTCATGTACTTTTTGCAGAACTTGGAATGGTAAACAAGATGACAGCGCACCTGATAAGTAAAGAAATGAAATGTAATCGACGCTTTCAGACATGAACAGTACAGTGGTCATCATAAAATTCTGTGATTGATACGATACCTCTCATTTCTTGTCATTCCAAAGTATTAACTAAGGATTAAATAAGATATAACTCCGTAGATACCTTTTAATTACACTACCCATTCCACCTTTCAAATTTGATCGCAGAAACACAAGTATATAGGAGGGATAGATATAGTAATATATTTGAAAGGAAAGAAACGGATAGTCAAGTTGATGGCTACAATGTCGTCTATATTTTTATTTAGTAATTCGCTTCGGCTTTTCACAGGTAGACATGTAGAAGATTAAGTAGTTTTAAAAATTATTAGTTTCTTAATTACAAACATAAAAATCTAATATTTCCTTTCTATAATATTAATTTAGATTATGTTATCCGCATTAAAAGACTAATATACCATATTAATCAATTGCCTATTTGCTGATCAGCTCAAGCAGACTCGCTCAGTTGCTACGAGGCCTGTCAAAAGGTGCTATGGCGGGTGGGACAGGCGCGCGTCGAGCTCGGCGCCCGGGAGCGGGCCATGGAGGCGTGCGAGCGCTCGCCTGCCTTACTACGCTGCCTTCAGAACATGACCATGTCTACCGTACAAGTTGATACTACTAAATGTAAGAATATTTTATACAACGAAGCAATCTTAGGCGTATCGTAATCGTAAAATAAGCGGCTTAATGATAAGTGTCCATCGCAATTTATGAACGCTTGTGATGACAGGAATAAGATTCGCGCATTGTCGAGTCTTGTGACATAATGATTTTAGGTACTACCTCGTAATCTCACTGTCATATATTAATAAACTTTTTAAAACGGAATATAGCTTACGAGCATTTGCTCGTAACAGTGTGTGAGTGAGAACACAATCCAGCTATGCAGTCGATAATAAAATTATCGCAGTACATATTTTTTTTGGTCCTGATCCGACTTTTTATATTATTGCTTCAAAATGTCATAAAGGCTCATGGCATTTTTAAAGTGGTAGTTTTCACAATTGGACATAAATAACAGTATTAGACATGGCACTATGTAGTGCCCCATCCATGGTTTCTTTCAATCGCCATCCTCTTATTTCCATTATTTATGGGTAATTGCATGGACTCTGCTATTTTGAAATGATAATTTGTAAACATTTTAGATACGATAAAGACCAGATAGCATTGCATATTTAAATGATTATTGTATTTATTTCAGATTTACCATGCTGTAAAGGTGTGGCCAATACAAAATGTCAGAAAGCATGCGAAAATGTACTTAGCCGTACCGGAGATATCAACGAAATTACCGAAGCCTTACTCCAAAGTTGCGGGATGCCCACTTTACACAAAGATATGTGGCAATGCTTCCTATTGAAGGACTCTCCACCTGATACCAAAGATCTCATACCACATGCTGCAAATAAGCTATATTGTTGTCGAAAGGTAAATAAATTAGTCGAGTACTCAACGCCACGCCAGTCCAATTCTAAGCACAATGGATATAGCTGCTGTTTGGCTATTGTTACATATATAAAAGCAATTTCTAGCTTTTGACTTATCTACAGGGTCTTTTCTTAATGGTTAAGATTAGAATGATAACTCCGCCTGCGCTATCGGTATACACTGCTGGGGCACCAATGAGAGATGAGGATGAAAGCATTAACTGCGGTGGTTTCCGAGGAGAATCTCGTGCACGTTAACCTGATTGCTAGCAATGTACTTACGTGCATTACTAACAATTCCTTTTCCCCTGTCTACAGGGTTATGCTGTATAATATCAATAAGAGGCGGTTTATATGGTGACGGTTTACAAGCAGAAAACTACTTTTTATAAAAAATATAACTGAAACGTTTTCATTTGTTATTAGGCAGCAACAATCCATTGTCGAAATCTATGTTTTAATGCGTTCAACTTTGATGTTGAATGGGAGCATTGGAAAAAGTTTGACTCAGAATGTTTAGGGGAACCTCAGGAGGTTGAATTATCTGAATGCTTGGAAGAGAGTGAGTATTTATAAATGGTTTGTATGCATGCAATATCTGACATCAAAAATAAGTTTACATAATTAATTCTTTTGCGCTATTTCCATTTTTAGGTGATTCTCCATGCTCTCTGGGTTGCTCCGGCCTAACGTACTGTAGCCACTTGAATCAACACACCAGCCTCTTCAGGTTTTGTTCCAAAATAGCTGATTTAAGTTCTCATTTAGATGTAGCAAATCTGGCTAGCGGGTATGTGTTCATAAAATTTGGAGTAATTCCTATATTTATTAAGTCGTAGAACCGACTCTGCCAATACGAATAACATATGGTTATAATGGTTAATTGGTAGAGAATGCCATATGGTATTAAGTTCGCCATTTGTACAAATTTTATTGTGCAATGAAGAATAAATAAATTAATAAAACATAGCTCAAGCGTGCTCTACAGAATGTTAACATGTCAGGCAAATTGCAATTTTTTATCGATTCGTAAATACAATGAACTGTGACAATACTTATTCTCTTTATTATTTTAAAAATTGTTCTCTTACATTTTACATTCAACAGATACTTTCAAACTGTTTCGCGAAGTGATTTAAACGTGGTTTTAAAATTCATTAGAAGTATTTCAAATTTTTATATTTTTAGAGAGCTAGGTTATTTTATAATTGTAACTCGTGCATTCTAGTATGGTGACTATATCTGGACATCGTTTACACTTGAAAACTAATGCGACACAGCTCACTACGGACGTGTGGAAAACCGTCTTTTGTGCGTTGAACGTGAAACCATGTACGCCTAAGGTAATAATAATTTATCTTTACACTAGATCGCTTACGAGTAAATAGACAAAACCGAGTGCCCAAGACGCGTCATTTGTTCTTTTTAACTTCACTATATTTTACTAAATAAGTTAAGATCGAAAGTGCCAACTTCTATAAAGCTATAGTTACGTAAAATACTATAATTAGTACTTTTCTCAAACAATGCGCGGATATCAAAAACATTATTTTACTTTTTAAGTTCAATGACGAATAACGAACAATAATATATTTTCACGCGTCATAATGTTCCTTTGTTTTTTTTTTTTCAATAAACAGCTTTCTATTTGTAAGCCAGTTCGAAATTTAAATAAAACCTTTTATTAGTTACCTCCTTGGTTGCTATGTTTCGAAGTAAAAGGTCATGCTATTTTTAAATTACAGGACAGATATGAGTTTACATAGTAATTTATTTGGCCGCAAAACACGACAGATATGGATTTTCATACAATTTTTGCCGGCCGCTGCCTGCATGTATCTGGCCAGTACGGAAATTTTAATTTATCTCGAAGAAGATAGTCAAAATAATGCTCACATTTCCAAGCATGTTTGAGAAAAATACTTTGTTTATATGGGTGTGTATAGAGTATAAGTATAGATAACGTGCGGTGCAGGGCCAGACCAGCCTGCTGTGCATGGCGGACTGCATGCGGCTGGTGTCGGGCAGCGTGGAGTGGCGGCGCGCGCCGGCGCGGGTGTCGGCGCGCATGCTGTGCAGCCGCCTCGCGCCGCGCTCCGACACCGCGCCCTGCGTGCCGCTGCGCCGCTACATGGCGCCCAGTACGTGCCAGCTTTTTTTTTATAGAAATATAATAGAAATAAAATAGAATGATAACCCGCGCTATCGGTAGACACCGACGAGACACCAGTGGAAGATGATAGGTGAGAATGAATGCAGGTCAGTTGGTCCACCATGATGAATTTGACAAAAATTAACCATGATGTTTTCCAGGGGGAACCGCGTGGAGATCGACCTGAGAGGGTATTTTTTTTTTATACAACTTAGAATGGCAAACAAGCTGACGGCCCACCTGATGGAAAGTGGTAACCGTCGCCTATAGACATGATCAGTACCATGGACATAACAGAGTATACTGTTTCGCTCATGATACCTCCCCATGCGTTGCCATTCCTGAGGACTCAGGTGTTATTCCTTTGTATCCAGTAAATTCACGCCATATCCCACCGTTCAAACCGAAATACAGCCATGCAAACACAACTGCTTCACGGTAGAAACACGAATGGGACAGAGGTACTCAAGCAATCGACTTTTGTACAAAGTCTCCCTCTGGTATATTGCTAGCAATAGGGCTATTAGACCTCATTACTAACAATCCCTTTCCTCTTAGTACGTGCCATTCTTCATTACTTTTAGATTCAAATTCATAATCATCTTTATTCTAATGGACTTATTTACAAATTCTTTTAACTACTACTATTCGGGTGACAGTGGTCCTCGCTGGTGCCAAAAGTTCCTAGACCGTTTTTGTTTTATATAGGCTTCTAACAGGACTTATTGAACTTCAAATAATTTTTAGAATTTGTCCAACAATGCTGTCACCGCTCATTTCTACTTATTTTTGTTTAAAGACGCAAAGCATAGGTGAGATGGCTGGGCATGGTCAGTTAAGTAATTTTGGTCCTAGTCCATTTTCACAATTTCACATATTGATCAAAAACTTTCATCCTTTAGTTAGTATTGGAATATTCGAAAGAATTTGTTGTGATCCAAATTAAAATGCACACAAGCCAGATTCTTTATGATGTTTATATTACTTTTACAGGCACGGAACCCGTGCCGATGTCACCTCTGCAAGCTATAACGTCTACGTGCGGTACGCTGGTGTGCGGCGTTGGCGACCTTTGTGTTATCAACAGGAATTGTTTGCACGGAGATCATTGCAACCGGTACTCCTGCGTATCAGGCTGCCTGCTAGGTAACTGCAGCATATTATAAAGAATATAATATGTATTATAAAGAATAAAAATCTTATAAAGAATATAAGTATAAGAAACTAGACTGAGAGCATTTTTGCTAAGAACAGAGTGGGTCTTGTTGTATTGTTTGAATTGACATTATGTAGCACATACATCTGGCTGATGCTGGGCGTCAGTATAGTGTCTTATTCTCGGCCTTTACATGTTTTTGTATTTAGACTTGATGAGAAGTTACGAGGTTTATTTCATAATTTATATTTTTTTCGTCAGGTGATCGTACAAGTGCTAAGGTGCCGATCGGTTCATACGTACGGGTGCCGATGCTGAATTCAGGTAGTGCGGATGAAGTGGGAGGTGCGGCGAGTGGGACACAGAAGGCCTGCTTCAAAGTATGTCGCTGCACTTTAAACGGACTTGGCCACTGCCAGCCCCTGCCCTGCGTCTCGCTTGACAACTGCCGTCTACACGACAAGATTGTTCCGCATAGTAATTTTTTTATTTAATTTAATATAGTACTTAATATTTTTTTAAGTATTGGTCTTCATTACCATTATCATCCTCATCGTAATGATCACGATCCATGACATGGTGCAAGTCCAAATGGTGCTGTCGATTACTTCTCGTTACTGTTACTATTATTTATCCTGCGTTATCACTAGCGAAGTTCTCGCATGAGCGGAATGTTTAATTGCAACCAGGAGGGAAGTACTACATGGAGTGCAACCAGTGCGTGTGCACGATGGGCGAGCGCGTGTGCTCGCGGCGGGCGTGCGACGGCGCGCGGGCGGCGCGCGCGCGGCTGCCGTGCGGCTGCCCGCCGCACTACCTGCCCGTGCACGCGCCCGGCCGCACCTTCCCCAACCTCTGCCTCGCCAGGTACGTGCCTGAATCCACGAAAAAGTTTCATCCATGCCGCCTGCCCCCACACCACTATTTCAAGTGTTCGAGTTCCTAAATCCTCCTCCCTCTATCAACTTCATGGCAATATAAGAGAAGTGACAAATTTATATAATTTTAAATACTTATCCCCTTTATTCATATAAACCTCCTTTAACTATTACACTTTTGTCACTTTTATTTGACTGTGAATTAGCACTAAAGACTAAAACAGTTAAATAACTAAAATAGGTTTATGAGAAGTCTGACGTTTTTATGAATAAGAGAGCTATTGTATTTATTACCTGTAAATACAAATTTCTATAAAAAAGTGAGTCTCGTAGCGAAATAGGTACTTTGAATAATACCGAAAAGTAAAAAAAACACGTCTATTTTCAGCACAACTATGAAATTCTTAATTAGTTATACAAAAAAAAAAGAAATATGAAACTATAAATGTACGTGACTTTCTGTTATTAGATGTGCGGGCGCAACAGATGCGGAAATCGAATTTGCACCGCGGCCAGCATGTTCAGGAGCGGAGGCTGGCACGGGCGCAGAGACCGGCCCGTGCGGCCGGCGGCACGCGTGCCTGCCAGCGCGGAATGTCTGTCTCTCACGTTTGCAGACCTCCTGTCCACAGCACGTGTGTGGTATGTATTTTCAGTACATTTAGTATGTACTCAACTCTAATAAGCGGCAATATGTTAGTTTGTTACAATATATATGTAGTCAACCAGCTTTTGACTTCATACCTCTTACCTCGTGAATTAGGTTCATTTGTGTATTAAAATTAATTCAATACTTGTTTAGTAACTATTTTAAAAAATTTTGTATTTACACATACCTAATTTATGATAAAGATATGTTATAGTTATAGCCCCAGTTAGTTACAAGAACATTATAATTTTCTATTTATTGTATTGAGTGATTAAGTCATGAAAATCATCAGTTATATTACCTAGTATTATAACATTATGGCGTGGTAAAATAAATAAAATAAAATAGTCGTGTGGTCCTGGTCCACATTCTATAATGTGCCATCCCTTTTTTTCTCGTAAGTATCGTAAGAGACGACTAAGGAAATTTAATGGTCGAGGGACGAGCAGCAGCGTACCTTTTACCATATCAGCTGTACTATAGGCATTTCTCTATTGGGGAGTTTTGCCAGTAGTTGCCACGCTTGGTAGGCGGGTTAACAACTGCAGTTAGGCGTTGGTGATGTTTTAAGAGGGACGCTGCTTATCGCACGACTATTAATTGCCATAGTTGCTTTTAACGACACCCACAGAAAAGGAAGTGGTGGCCTATTCTATGCCGGGTCTAAAAGGCAAGCGTACTTTTTAAAATGTCACCAAAGGTTAACTGCAGTTGCCAACTCACCCACCAAGCGTGGCAATTATTGGAAAATCCTCCAAGGGGGAGGCGTATGTTTAGCAGTGAATAGTTAACGTCTGTATGATGACGAAATAAAATAATGTGTGCTGTCGTATTAATGACGCTCAACAGCATTATCATTTTAGGTTTATAATTCATCATAAGGTTTGTAAGATGATATACAAAACCGTTAACTATACTTCTAATTAGGCGAAATGTCATTGTTTTAGTGAATACAACGGACTGTATCACCCAGCCATGGTCACCAGTTTGCGATACAGACGGCAACACTCACGAGAAACCGTGTCTACTCGTGACGCGCGGCAGCAAGTTCGCTTACTGGGGGCCATGCCTCAATAGATGCTCTAAGGTAGCAACAGCTCTGTCTATGTCGATATATGTATACCTATGTAATTTTTAAGTAGATTGTGCGTTACATTAATTTTGCGTTAAATAAATTTATACTCCTTTCATATTATGAACTGTGTTTAGAATAAGGCAATTAATTTTTGTTTTTTTTTTGATTTTTAGGCTGGTACCGTATGCGGTGTTAACGGAATAACTTATACGTCCGAATGTGCTGCGTGGGTAGAGTATGTAACAGTAGATTATGTTGGACCATGCTTAGCTGTCGGCCCCATATCAGACTTAATGGAGCCTAAATGTACCATTGATAGGATTGTGTGTCCTCCATTGAAGAATCCAAAATGTCTTGGCTTTACAGCTCCAGGCGCTTGCTGCCCAAAATGTGGTGGAGCACTCAGAATTCTTTATTCTAAGAAACAAATAGACAGAGCTCTATATGGCACTAATATTTCTGCCTCCGCTATTAATCTGAATAAAATTCTGAGAGCTTTAGAAAGGTATGTCACAATAACCGAATGTACTTTGAGAGGATATGTAACTATAGAAATGGAAATCTTCGTTTCAGTAGAATCACTTTTGGACAATCCCACTGATTTACAGTTAAGTGTATGTGTTCTGGAAGCGGAGAAATTAGCTGACCTTATCAATAGAGAGAGTCCATTAATATCAACTGATTTAGGATTGAGTGCTCTTACTTATGCGATAACATTACACACATACTCCAATAGTTGTGTTAATGGTGCAACTATCTCTTTTGTGATGACTACAGTGTCTTATTTTACAATTTACATTTTAAGATAAAAGTTGTTTGCTCTATTTAGTTTTAAGATGACTGTATATATATGTAGTTACTTATAAATAGATTTGTTTACCAAATATAATAGTGCCATTGTAAAAAATAACCAAGAAATCTTTAATATAGCTTTGGTCTGCTTTAAATGTTTATTAAACAGTTTCAATACTGTGCAACGGTGGGTAATGTGAGTTCATTGTGCCATCCATAACTTTAAACACTGAAGTGTGTGATACATTGTGTTTGCGGCCTAGGTGATTAATTGATGATTGACTGAAATAAAATTTTTATAAAGGCATAAAGTAGTCCTTTTACCAAATATGATATTAAGATAACGTTTTGATAATTATATCTTGTTGATTGTGAAATAAATATATTTAGTTATACAAATAAGATTTAATATTTTAAAATAAACGAAAGTAATTAAGTATATAGTATGATTTTATTTTGCATATAACACTGAACAATAGTGGAATATATTGAATATGAATATTATCACAATTAATTGATCAGTTATAGTTAAATTCGGATAAATCTCTCCTATCGAAAAATAAATTAATCCTGTCGAGTAGTAGTGGCTCTGTAACTGTGTTGGCTAGTTGCAGGAAACCGTTTTGTAATACCGGGCTTATGAGATGGAACCTCTCCAGCGGGAATGTAAGAACAAGCTCCAGATATGCCATCAAAATGTTTTGGAAGCAATATCGTCGCACGTCCGTATCCTGAAAAGTGTTAAGAGAGTTAAACTTTTAAAAAGTAAAACAGTTATTCGCTTATTCATAAAAAAATAAAAACTTTTACTAAAAAGCCTACATTAAGTATTGGTAATTTTTTTTCAAATTGAGAAAATAGTTTTAAATAAACCAACAAAACACTTCAAAAGTAATTAATAATTATTTTTTAACGCTACAGTAGATTCAAATGGGTAAGAACCCAAGTTACGTTCAGAAATCACCAGAGGGAGACTTTGTACAAAAGTCGATTGCTTGGGTACCTCTGTCCCATTCGTGTTTCAACCGTGAAACAGTTGTGTTTGCATGGTTGTGTTTCGGTTTGAAGGGTGGGCGGCGTGAATTTACTGGGTACAGAGGAATAACACCTGAGTCCTCAGAAATGACAACGCATGGGGAGCATCATGGGCGAAACAGTATACTCTGTTATGTACATGGTACTACTCATGTCTATAGGCGACGGTTACCATTTTCCATCAGGTGGGCCGTTAGCTTGTTTGCCATTCTAAGTTGTATAAAAAAAATGTTAAAAAATTATGACCAACCTTATTTATGCTAAGTGTTCTTTGTTGCTCAATCTCTGGTGGTACAGGTTGTGGCGGGATAAGAGGCTCGATATTTTTGTTTTTGTCATAAGACGAACTATCACATATTGTTATATTTACTTTTCGTGCAGTTATCTGTGGGTTAACGCTATCAGTAGCACTGGTTCGTTTGTTTTCAATTTTATTGATTTTTTTTATATCATCAACTGGTTTAATAGATTCATTATCATTCACAATGTCTTTTGGAATAACGTCGCATTTTGATTCTGAGACGTCTGTATTTGTTTCGGAATTATTATTTGAGATTGATTCATCATTTTCAATATGCTCCCTTACAACAGAAGATTGACTGTTTTTCTTGAAGTCAGCAAATGTGAATGGTTTAGGCTCATCGATAGGTTTATCATCATTTGTAGTAATAGATTCACTTTTTGCAGAAGACACTGGCTCATCAGCCACATCTTGAATTGTAGTTGTATCTTGTACGTAATATTGTTCGTAATGATTGGATGATGTGTCGGTATCAACAGAGCTGTAAGATATTCGTTCTTTTACGTTGTTAGTGTCATCAAAATCAGACAAGTTAATTAAATGTTTCATATAACTGTTGCATAACAGTTCCCACGTAGACTTCAATTCGAATATTTTTGTTACAAATCTATCATATTCCAAGGTTAGATTAAGAGTAGTCGTATAATTTTGAAGGATTATTGAAATATCTGCCCCTTTTAATTTAAATCGATGGACGTCACTGAAAAATATTTCTGTGAGAGCTATAATTTTGATTAACCACGATGAGGTCGTTTGTTTATATAAATTAGCAGCATGATCCAAATTTGATACTTTTTGTACTAGAAATTTTAGTCCAGGTCTAGAATCAAACTGCATCGCTCTTGTATAAGATAGTTCCAAGCTTTTAAGTAACATATCAACATTTTCAGTATTCAAAAAGAATTTGTAATTGCAAACATTACTGCCAGTTTTAAGGCTCTCCAACAGAATATTGTTTATTCCTTGAAAGACATCCGATGAAGCTTGTATTAATACTGTGGCAATGATCTGAACCAGTATTTGATGAGCTAAGAGACCAACGACCAATCCTCTATGTGGAATTCTGACGGTATATAGATCTGGATTCAATGAGTTAATAGTTTCTTGTAAGTATATAAGGAATATGTAACTCCTATCATCTATAAGCATCTGAGAAGAGTTTTTAGATGTTAATTTAGAATGTGTGTCACTTTTAACCTGTTCAGTATGAAAAACTTGTTGCGCCATAGCATGAAGTCTTACATTATCATTTACAGAACAATCACGTCTCGCGGCAACTTTCACTATAGCCAGATCTCCATAAAAGCTGTTTGAATTTTCTTTAAATGCATAAGTGAGTTGCTTTAGTGGAGTCAAGCTAACATTACAAGCTCTATGTAGGCTTGTACAAACGATTTCCCACTGTTTATCTGTTAACAAATGCCCTGATGTTAAAATTATATGACGTATGCAAGATGCTCCTAGCCTGGCTATTGGCTCTTGAGGTTGAGCTATACATTCCACTAAAACCAACATAATTTGCTTTAATGCGAATGTCGCTTCAGGACTTTCAATCGGTTCTATTTCTGTATTATCATCGTTCTCTTCATTGGTGGATCTTTCAACATTTATTTGTTGCAAATGATGTAAATAGATTACAATAGTGTCCGTTGTCATTCCACAGCACTGTTTGAAATTGGGCATAACGCTGTCCCAATGTGTGTTCACGTTAGCTATTTGTCGGAGCCAGTTTTGTACCGTTGGTAGTAGGAGGTGATTGATGCAATGTAGTCCAAAATGCGTTCCTGGTACTTCTATAGTATTTCTTAATAGTTTGAATAAGGTTTCCATTGTAGCTGGTTGATTTTTCTTGGAACAAACAACTGTGGCTGAAATCAACCCTTCGATTAAAACATACCACACTTTCAATATGTTACTTGGCCTGTCTAATTTTAATAAGCAGTTATTTGTAGTATTTGACGGTGGTAAACTAGTTGACAATTTTCTATAAGAGATTGGCTCCTCTTCACAATGTTCGTTTATAACATATTTTGTAATATCCAGTGATGCACTTGGTATTATTGGATCTACTACGGATGGTGGTAGGTCGCCCTTAATCCTGTTACCAGTATTAAATATAGGACACTTTGGCATATTATACATCATTGTTAAAATATCTGCACAACTTTCCAAATGATATAAGGCTTCTTTGCACATATCTACTATAACTTTTTCTGTTTTCTCTTCACTGAGTGGAATAAATTTACTGTTTTTAGAAAATTTAAGGCTTAGACTAGGCTTTGGTTGAGGTGGATTTACTTTTTTAGGTTTTACTTCAGTTGCTTGAACTTCTTCATAGTGTAGGCCTTTTATGTGGCTCAGGAGGCATAAAATACAATCTAAAGCTGCATTTGCAAACACTAAAGTGTTATCTGTGCTAAGAAATACTTTGAATATTTCCAATATTGCTGAATACTGATTTGAATTGTTGGCCGCACGGAGTGTATTGAAAAGTGGTCGCCAACCGGATCTAATTTCCATTCTATTTGTTTCGACGAACTCGCAAATACACGATATAATTTGTTCCTGAAAACATAATGGATTACAGTTATCTGTATTTAGCATTTAAAAGAAAAAAAAAACACAGGTTAATAAAGAATGTGTTAAAATATTTATTTACCTGAATATCGTCATCGCAAAGTTCTAGACATAATAGGTTCTCAAAAGGCTTGAGTAGGGCTTCATTGAAGTGGAAGTGCGGTAGTTCTACTTGTTGATTGAATAATGCTGTCGCGCAATCGTGTAGGCATTGGATTGCAAGACTCGAAATTTGGATGTCCTTGTGACATGCCGCCTATAAAACAAATTACGTAATTTTTATTAATTAGATATATGTATATAGTATGTGATGTGTAATATAGTATTATATTATCTGAACATATAATGTTTTTTATTACATAATAGAAATACAGCTGAAATAAAAAAAAAAACTACGTAATTAATTACTAACTACAACTGTGATGTACTCATTAAAGTTGAGACTGCAAGTCCCCCCGCTCCGGCCACTCCTCTGGGTGACGTCCGGGCGGGTGGTCGTGTGAGTCGCATTGTGACATATTATTGTTTATTATTTCCTACACCTACCTACCATACCAGGAGGACAGCACAAAATTGGCGACGAGGTGAAAATTTGTAAGTAAAAAAATATATATATATATATATGTCATACGACTACAAAATTACCTGTTCTAATCAGTCCAAAGAGTGTGTAACTATCGCGTTGTTATTTTAATGTAACTTGACACGAATAACATTAAACTGTTAAATTTCTAAATTCACAAGGAAGAGAGAAGATAATTTATTAATTCTTAATCAATTTATTAAATATAGAAAAGACTAAAAGCAATTTCAAAAAGAAATAAAGACTTGATTCTATAAATTGTATAGAGAAAGCAAAATATTGATAAAACATATTACGGTGCATAGTACGTTTTGTAATTTAGCGACACACTGTGACTGATTTTAACGCGTTTGCGCATCATAGTCGTACAATAACTTGCTATACATGCCTAAACAAATGGTCGGCGTTTGTTGATGTCTAGGTATACCGTACCGCAAGCTTTCTGTTTATATTTACATCACAGTATAAGTGATTATAACAGTTGAATTCTTAAGATAAGTGGTTCGGGGATACCAGCGAATACTGACTATACATACAACAAAATGTGCCTGCATGTATTAGCCGAGTCGGAGTAATTATTCTGACAAATAAAATACACCGTACAATCCGAATGAGCAAAGCCCATCAAATACATAATTCCACATAAACTGTAATCTATTTAGATACAAGTTTATGCAATTGGTGGTTCCGATTATAGAGGTTGCTTCCATAATAAATAGATTTGTATGTAGGTATAAACCTAATACAAATGTAATTATCATAAGATAATTATGATATATTCAAACACTTCACATTAACTTCATTATTTGACAGATATTTGGTAAGAGTTGAGGTTACGATTTTATTTTTCTTACAAGGAACCAGCAGAATATTAGCGTTGCCGGTAGTTCTCTGCTTAATTCTGAGTTGGTTACCCTTTCGCCGTTGGGGCACATAAATTTACCTACGTATTTATGTTGGTTTATAAGTTCAAAAGGCTGTGTTTGTAACTGAGAATAATCCATTTATCCACCTGTACAACAAGTACAAGTATTCGCATTTACAATATTGTTGCCTACAATTATAATAGCATACATTATTACGGTAGGTAGGTATTATAATTTAATAAAAATTAATATAAAAATAGTCTTTATTCCTGAATTACAGATTCTTTTTTTAAATTGTAAATATGTGTAAATAATTAATGTTGACATCAGCAACATCTTATTTTTCAGGTTGTTTTAGAACAACCATTTTAGTATAATCATTTATAAACACAAAATTCTCGAAAAAAATATAATAATAATAACTTATAATATTTTATTTAAATTCAATCCTTGACGGGGTAGTCAGACGCATTTGTTGACTACGATATACGGTTAATATATTTGTTAATAATGGTAACATAATTGGTTATTTGTCGATTATCATTAGTTGACAGTATTTATATAAATACGTATAAATAATGTACCACCCATAAAATTCCCGTTTTGCAAATTGTCTTATTATGACATCTCAATTGTCAAATCGTAGAAAAATGCATTTCCTCAGATCTTAAGTTAAAAGATAATTCTACTAAAATAGAAATAAATATTGTGGAAGCAATTCAATAGAGACTGATGAAAGATCAGTAAAAGGACACCAAAGAAACCAAATCTTGTAAAGAGATTTCAAACGAAAAGAATATACGGTGTATGAAATGCGAGAGTACATATCAAAATAGTTATTTAATGTGTTGCAAGAAATAACTTCTTCTAAAAGTGTGGATTTATAAGCCATTTAGGTCAAAAGCAATATCGCACTAATCGAAATAAGTGCATGAATGTGCTAGCGCTAGTTATATGGCGAAATAAATAGTATAAACCAAATAATCCATCAAGTAAAAAATAAATAAAGTTACCAAACAATCATTCAACTCTCCTATAACTACATTCATACTGAATGTTGAACATACTTTATTCCATTATAAAATATCTTGCCAAAATGGTGAAACCAAATATTAACTATACTCTATTCCACTATAAAATATCTTGCCAAAATAGTGGAACTAAATGTTAACCATACTCTATTCCATTATAAAATATCTTGCCAAAATTGTGGAACTAAATGTTAACCATACTCTATTCCATTATAAAATATCTTGCCAAAATTGTGGAACTAAATGTTAACCATACTCTATTCCATTATAAAATATCTTGCCAAAATTGTGGAACTAAGTGTAACTCTATTCTATTATAAAATATCTTGTCAAAATGGTGGAACTAAATGTTAACCATCCTCTATTCCACTATAAAATATATATCTTGCCAAAGTGATGGAGTTACATTAAACATACCCATTGATTTGAGTACAAAACTAGTATACCCATAAATTCGGGTACAAAACTAACATACCCATCAATTCGGGTACAAAACTAACATACCCATTAATTCGGGTACAAAAGTAACATACCCATCAATTCGGGTACAAAAGTAACATACCCATCAATTCGGATACAAAACTAACATACCCATCAATTCGGGTACAAAACTAACATACCCATCAATTCGGGTACAAAACTAACATAATAATTGATATAATATTATATACCCATCAATTCGGGTACAAAACTAACATAATAATGATATAATATTATATACCCTTCAATTGGGGTACAAAAGTAACAATAATAATAATAGTCGACAAAACCTAGGACTACTTAAAAAAAAAAAACTAACCAAGAAAAATCTGACAAAATTCTAGGACATATAGTCCTAAAGACTCGCTGATGTACTGGGCCCATTTAAAATGTCAGTCTTGGTTGGATTTGGAAGAAGTAGAGAAAAATTGTACTCGTAGCTTATTGTGTACCTAAGAGACTGCTATGATTCTTTATATATTACAATTAAGTTGTATATTAATTTACTAAACACAAAACAAACAAAAAAATCCAAAATTCAAATTCAATATCTAAATGAACATCAGTTAGATATTGATCATAAAATCAAGTATTTAGTAAAATAAAATAGTATAGCTCAAATAAACAGAAAATATAATCGAACTTGTAGACAAAGCTGCGAATTGAGTTTCTCTAGTCATACTTATTTTAAAGAATAGAAAAAAGGAATATAAATCTGTCTGTCAAGGGAAAAGTCCTAAACAAAAAATGTATATGCTAATCTTGGTAAAAAACATGTTACAATTACTACATAATTAAAATACCTAATATGTATTTACTGCACACACACAACAAGATAAATTTATTTGTTTATGCAAATAAATTTATCTTTATCTAAACCTGGCTTAAAAGATGCTTTTTATCAAATTGAGATTAGAGAGAATGTACTTAACTTTTTTATAACAAGCAAGTGGTTATTTCGTTTCGATTACGATCCTACTACAATAAATAATTAAAACTCTGTTTATTTAAATCTCTGTTTAAAGTGACTAAATATTATATTATTTAGTCTGTGTAACAATGGTACTTGTAATTTAACGTGTCAAAATCTATAAATTATATAAATATAATTTATTACTTTAAGTATCTTTATTTTTAATAACAGAGACTTACCTTAGTTTAAATATAAACAAATATTGGTCACGGTTTTGTAGCAAGACATGAAAACCACCAACTAATAGGTATATTATAATATACACATGAATGTTTTAAATGTAACAATTGGAAATAATCCCAAATAAAGGAAATGAATAAAACACCTAAACATGTATTGAATATCTTACACAAGATTAACTGTTTGTTTGTTAATATTTTAATTTCGAACAAATGATGTAAGGCTAAAACATGTCCTACATCTATTTAAATTCGCGATTCACAACGCGAAAGTTTAAAAATGTGTTCAACGTATTTTAACTTTGTAAGGCAAAATAATATACCTACATATCCGTACACGTAGGTTACAAGTAATGTATTAATAAAGGATTTATGTTCATGTTTAATCAATCGTAAGTAGAATTTTTAGGGCATGAGCTAATCTCAGAAAGTATTACTTGTAAGTCCCTAAAGACTATAGAATCACTTAGAAAACCAATTTTTTTGGAAAATTTTAAAGTTATAAAACTAGTAACCTATATTGAGAAATAAATATGATAATGTGTTATAATAATATTTAGATTTTATGTTTAAATATTTTAGATATATGTATAAAACTCTATATTATCAATATCTTAAATTATAAGTTGTACACAGTCACACTTATCTATCTTTATCAATTTATTGGTACACAATAAAAGAAAATGGACTCAAAATTTGGCTACAATGACTGAACAAATACGTAAAATGTTAAGGCGTAAGCTCGCTAAATATACTGTGTTCAGAGTTCTGGAAAGAAAAGCAAACATTTACAGTAATTCGTAATTTCAAAGCAAAAAGAGTTAGTAAATTGTGGACACTTAAGTTTTATAAGCCATGCAATTAGTAGTTAGATGCTCCCAGGAAAACTGAACCTTAAAGTCAATCATTACAAACTCTTTAAATACGAATTCTGAGTCCTTTATTAATGGTTTTCTATTTTTATTTCATTTGAGATAGCGTAAACGAGCATTCGCTACGACTCATGATAATTATTCTGGCACCCCGGCACTGTTGCCATAAACAGTAGATTATGTATCAAGGTACAAAGGATTGATACCAGTCTCGGTACATATAATAGATGTTGTAATCAATGTTCATGAAGAAATAAAATTTTGTCTACATGACATCTGATCTAAAACAATATATTATGTAACATTCCTAAAATTAATCGATGTCTAAACTATAATAAATGTGACATACTTATGTAAATATTGAGATTATAAATAGTAACGTCTCAAATATTGTCAGTATATGTATTGTAGGAATTATTAATTGGAATTCTGATATACTTAGTATAAGACCATAAATCTTCTTAAAAGTACATAAATAAAAGAAATTTTACAAGACTTGACACTTTATTCAGCACAACATTGGATAACTGCTTAGAATTTGGTATTAAACTATACTATTCGACACCATATTGACCGCAGTAGAACGAAGCAAGTAGAATACAAAAATGTGACATTATAATACGTGTACAAATAAATTAAAACCCAAAATCTGACTGGAGGGATAAACTCCTGCTATACCTCATAAGTTACAATATCATGCCACATTATTGATTTGTCATTAGAGATAAAATCTCTTCTATTGTAAATGCTAAGAATAATGAGATTTATTTAGAATGGCAGAGACAAATCAATAAAAGAACATTTTAAAATTGGAAGGGAAAGATATAGTGACATAGATATTGAAAATAGGAGAAAGTGTATTCGGAATATAATTAAAGAAAATATATATGCGATACTTCAATCCCTGTATACATATATTTATTGGCGCTATATCTATAAGAAAATATGGGACTAGACAAGAATTGAGATAAAATATATACACAATAATATACTTAAGAAGATGGAAGATCAGTAAGAAATTATAAGGATGATGAAACGAAAGATCTCGATGGACTTCGAGAGGAAATAGTCATATAGTTATTTTTATACAAACCAGTCTTATTATATTTAGTTGCCTAAGTTATATTTTGTAACATAATATATATGGTAGTATCATGATATTATTTTAGTTACTTATGACTGTAATGTAAAACTATATTGGTGTAGTTGTATCTATATGAAATTTGTGAGTAATTGTATCCTTTCACATTTTGTTGTAAACTCAATTTTGTTTGAAAAAAGCAACAGCTAAGTTTCTTGCCCGTTCTTCTTAGCTGAAATTGCATTCCGAATGGGCGGTAGATTTATAAAAAATGACTATTCAAAAATGCTTAAAAAATAATAATTAAGTTTCCTAGAGTAAAAATATTCATATTCTATTATTAATTTAAAATATTTTGAAAAGGGAGAGATGTGATGTACTCATTAAAGTTGAGACTGCAAGTCCCCCCGCTCCGGCCACTCCTCTGGGTGACGTCCGGGCGGGTGGTCGTGTGAGTCGCATTGTGACATATTATTGTTTATTATTTCCTACACCTACCTACCATACCAGGAGGACAGCACAACAACTGTTAAACGACTAATACGGCGGGTTTACTCGTAGTTATTATGTTAATACGGAAATTTGAAATATTCTCGTTTCTGAATTTCTTCTGATTCACGAAATCTCTGTTTTATAGCATAGGTAAATTTTTAGTTTTACTCGAATGCATCGTTCAAGATTTTAATGTCACCTTATTTATGTAAATACATTAAGTATGGTGGGGTTTGAATGTTTCGGTGCTAAATATTTTTTAGACTTCACTAGAAAATTTACTGATTTTCCATTTAATAATTAAAATATTAGAAGTAATTATGGATATTACTTGTTTAATTGTGATATTACTCCAAGAGTGGTGATGGCGATAGGCAAAATACTGTACCTTTTATATTATATATGATGATACATGTTATTATGCAGATTAGTAGTAAAAATAATCATTAAAAAGAATTATCGTAATCTAAAATTATTTTTTAACCAGTTTTTCTAAATCGATTACGTGATCGCGTGGCTTGTATGAAATTAGAAAAAAATATTTTCCGATTACGAATTTGTTCCTTGGGAAAGTTGTCAAATTTTAATGTAAACTTACTGAATAATAATAATATTTATTAGGCTTTGGTTTAGTATATCGTTTATATCTCATCATGTATAAGAGAAACGGTAATACATACTTGCATGAGATGTGGTCCTACTACGGTCCATATGGCCATTCTGTGCGCGAGAGGGCGCGCGGCTCGCAGGCAGCGCAGCGCGACGTCGCCGCCGCGGCACAGCGCACGCGCCGCCTCGCCGCCACCACCACCACCACCACCTCCCGCGCCCCCACCGCGCCGCCACCACGCTGCATTGTTGTTCGCAACGTCTTGTTCCCACGAGGTGAATAGCTGAATAGATAAAACTATTTATAACAATACATTCCTTTTTGGGTAGGTGTACCGCAAGGTATGATACTGGGACCATAGTAGTCTGGCCCCAGTATTTTACCTTGCGATACACCTATCCTAGGAAGAATCCTATGTTTACTATTACGTAAAACCGATAAGCGTGGTGAGCAATTATGTTCCACCTGATGCTACTTTATTACTAATAATGTAGTTAGATAATGAAAATTTCTTCTAGTAATGGAAAGCAATTGTGCTATATTACCATAATTTTGACTATTAGCAACAAATCATGAAATGAATGTAAATTTATATTATTTAGCCTGATCAATTTACTAACAAGTCGGTGTTGGTGTGCGACAAGTCGCTGCAGTGCTGCACGCAGCGCCGGGAGCGTTGTGGTAGCAGCGAGGCGAGAGAACAGCGCGTCCGCTGCCGCTGACAGTGCGCAGCACACGCGAACTGCGCCCGAGCCGCTGATTACATTCCCGCCCTGTCGCATATCGTATGATTAGGGTAACTTTTTAAGAGTCGAAGGCTTCGAAAGAGAGACGCCCTGTCTTCGCGATTCGATATGAGTGACATGGCATCTGTTATATCCACTGCTAGTGCTCTCATTGAGGCAAATATTATTGGGGGAAAAATTGAATGTGATGCAAACGAATTGAAACTACAATGAGATCAAAATCAAAATCAAAAGATAAGGTATTTATATTATAGCGAGGTATAATCGATGATTATTCATTTTGTTACATGTATTCGTACGATCGATTGTTAGATTATTTGTGGCATCAACCGTAAAACCATTAATTAATAAATCGATTTTCAACGATTTTTAGACAACATTAATACACAGATATCGAACTTTGATAGATACTGCGACCGTCACTGCGTATCAATTAATGTCCCCAAGTTATCGTTAATATCGTTTATACAAAATTCTTTAACATCGACTTACTTCCTGTCGACAAGCTTCGACGATTTTTGGCACCGACATATCATTATTGAGATTATTTTCGAGCACAGGTTGAAGGAAGTTGAAGACATCCACGCTGAAAAGTACAAAGAAATTTTAATATATATTTTTAAAATATTCGTTATCGTTGGCATGAGATGTAGTTGTGTGCATATTCCTAATTATTATAAACATGGCAATTAGCAAGTAAATTCTAGGGTAAGGGTGACTTAATCTGAGCTAAGCGTAGACTGTTCCGAGATATCATAAAGATAATAAACAAATTCTATAAGTTGGTAGAATAAGGCAGGGGGTAGTACGCTACATTAAAATGGATCGAAGTAGAACAGGAAATCTTATCCCCAGAAGCAAAACCACTAATTAGTAAATATTAAGTCGAAGATCTCGTTTGGGTATATTGACTACTTCCTGGTAGAATATTGACTATTTTCTGGTAGAATCTTATTTAAAAAAGTTGTTTTTTATAGTAGAGCATACGGGCAATCGGCTCACGTATCGATAAATAATTAGCACCAGAGGAATTGTAAATGTGCTGCCGGCCGTTTAAAGACACTATTGGTGGGAGTCGAAATGGGGATTACTAGACGAAAATGATTTTTAACAGTATTTTGTTTAAAATAAAATTGAATACCAGGTCTCGTCGTCCCGCGGGTCTAGCGGCAGCTTGGTGTCGGGCTGCAGCACGGAGACGGTCTTGTTGCGGGCGGTGTGCAGGGCGAGCAGCGAGGAGGGCTGCGCGTGGGCGGCGTGCGCGGCGTGGGCGGCGTGGGCGGCGTGCGCGGCGTGCGGCGGCGCGTGCGCGTGCGCGTGCGCGTGGCGCCCGAACAGCGCGTGCTCCACGCTCGACACGTACTCGCACGCCGCGAATATGTGCTCCCAGCACGAGGGCGCTTTCGAGCCTAGCTCCAACCCGCCTAGTACACAATTACAACATAGGCTGAAATCAAAAGCATCGACATCCTTTTTGTCGTGGCGACAAATCAGTTAAATTGCAGTCCAGGGATTCTAAGGTAAAATATCTAATTGTGTTGCATGATTGTATTTTATTTGCATTGAAATTACAAGATTTAGCAATCAGGAGCTAGCAATACGTAATGCATCATAGTGTATTCTATAGATAGTTCATGTTAGACGTTACCACTCTCCAAGTCTACTATCAAGTGGACTGTCAGCTGATTTGCCATTACAAGTTGCAAAAATGATCTCTTTATGATAATAGATCTATACAGAGATCTTATTTTATATGAACAAGGATGAAGTTAGAGAAGTATATAAAAACAGCTTCTTTAATTTCGTTTTCATTCATAATTGATTTTATCCGTATAAAAAGGTCCAGCGACTTTATTCTATTCTACATTATATTCTATATCTATCTGATTATGATCGGTCATTGCCTTCTCCAATTCAGTATTGAATACTGAGATATAGGTTTCGTTCTGTGGTCTCCAATCTCACACAATCTTAATTGTATCAACTATTGTTATGTACGATGCTTAAACTATAATCTAAGATTGATGAGAAAATGAAATTTATTTATTATTATTACACGTAATTTAACTTGTCTCTTTCTATTTCTATTTTCATTTTCATTTGTTTATTATAATTTTAGTTTAGTAATACCTGTGATAAGTATATCTAATGAGAGTGCATGTGTTGCTAAAATTTTCCCATTAGGCGGCTGTGATATAGCAGAGTTGGCTAGAAGTGCAAGGATGCTACTGCAACGATTCTGTAGGCTTAGAGTATTGCTGACTCTGGCCGCCTGAAACAATAATATTACACCACTGGTTAAGATGTGTATGTATCGGGCAATCTAAAATTTATTGGTAATTTTGTGACAGTTTTAATATATTCGATGATCAGTTCTTAAATTCATTACAAAAAAAAAAAATTAGGTACAAAAGGCGGACTCGATGCTATGTAATACACTCTACCAGTCAACATTTGGCAAAATAGAAATGTAACTATGTATGTAAAACATTTAAAACACATTTACCTACCTTATGTAGTCCTTCTAGGCACTGTATAGTGAGCCCCTCCCACGCGATCCTCTTCCTCTTGCCGAAGGTGTTGATCTTCTTCGATATGATCCCGTGTAGCTTCTGTTTCTTATTTCTGTAGCCTGTCAGTGGGACGCTTAGTACTGTCACCATTGAATCCCAGATACATGTGAGTATCCTGCAAGAGATTAATTGATTGTTTTATTGCTAAGGTTCGTAAAGTTTTATGATGCTACGATATCTATAGAATGATAATCTTTGATAATGAATGAAAAAAATCTAATTTCACTATATTACCTTCTAGCCCATCGGAAGCTGGCTTGATGTTCAGGAGAGTCATTCGTATTGTTGTATAGCATTGAGACCTCTTTTAATTTCTGCCAGTCAGACATCACTGGACTCGGGTCCAAACCACCAAGGTCTGCGAGCACAAATATTTTCTATTAATTTTAGTAGCTATTACAATTTTAAAATTATTATTAGAATTGGTAGTATTTCTTAGTAGTATTTCTTAGTAGGGTCATTTATTTTTTAAGAAAACTAATATGACCATGATATTTTTCATCTTATGACTATGTAATTTGACGATAGGTATTAAGATAAGAGATTGTACTGTTTATTTGATTAGAATTACTTTGTTTAATTCCGCTACTTTTAGCCACATACATAGTGTGCCTACCAAAACTCGAAAATTGACCACCACTATTATTATCAGAATGTCCATAAATAATCAAATAACCAGTGATATGGATTTCTGCAAGATAACACCTAGTCCAGTAAGATATTGGTAGATTTTATTCAACCAAAGCTATAGGCAGGCATTATCCACTATTTCTTATTGTTTTTGTTTTCACTATTCTTTTTTATAACACAGGGGGCAAACGACCATGCTGCTCATTCGATGACTGCTGGCATTTTAAAAAGGAATATGCTCTTTTTATTAAAGGTTATGATGTCGCATCAGTTTGGAAATATTACTGTTGGAATTTGATTCCAAAGAGTGGTTGTACGTGGAAGAAATTGCCTTGAGTAGTATAATGGAAGTATATAGGAGGTATGTAGGAGATAGTAGAATGGAACTTTAGTTTGTGGCGGGTTATACGGTGGTGAAAATTTACAATTTCTCAGAGAACTGCCCATGATAATTTAATCTAATTCTCTAATTATTTAGTAGGAAAAATAAAATATATCGATCTATTATTGTTTCTAAAAATTTCACGAAAAAGACAAAATACAATTTTAATCTTATTTATCCGTCCTTTCCTTTACCTGATAGTAAATGTATGAGGGGGTGATCTGCTGTTGGCACGTCTTTCAGTAGATCGTTCGAGAGCACCTGCTGATACAATTCTCGAAGCCAGGTAGCTGACAGGTAGACGAGGACGCCGCTGCCTTGCACTTCTTCAACGAACTCGTCCTCCGTTAACACAATCGGTACTTTCTAGAACATTAATATTTGGGAAGATAAGGCGATTTCAGAAGATTCTGAAGAATGAAGAATGAAATAAATTGATGTCATAAGTAAAAGAATGACAAGGAATGAAAAGATACAAGTTGTAGAAAATATAAGAGAAGTTTATTTATGAAAGTAGTTATAATTTTCACTCACAAACAACAAAAAGTCTGCGAAATAGTATCTACATAAGAGTTTCAGGACAAATATCCTCAAATGTAAAACCAGTCCAGAAGTCTGACCATGAAACGTGCTGTGAAGAAACAAATATACAAGGAGTAGTTATCACTATTTATTTTTATCTCCAGGACATTATAAGAGCTAATTACAATAAGCTAAGAAAAATTCGAAGTGAAATTCCTTAACAGGCCACCTGACTAGCGCAATAACAGCAGACTCATCTTAAGAGGAAAGGAGAAATAGGTGCCCAAATTATTGGAACACGGTGTCACAAAGAATAACCGAGATAACTTTCTCTTTAATAGAAGTGAACTGAGGAGTAATTGGTCCACAGAATATCTATAGCAGAGTATACAATAGAGATGAATGAATGGCACGGTGTGGGCGTAAGAGAAAGAGCAGTGATGTCATCTGCATTGCGGGTTACTTTTTGTTACACCGCTTTGTGTGGTGGCTCTGGTTCCCCCCAACTATTACCTATCAGAGGCCTTGTATATCTATGATTTATACTATCATTTGTTACCGTTTGTACTTTGCTTTCGTCTATCTTGCATATCATTAATTTATTTTATCTTTCATGCTTCATCTCCTTTTCTTTGGCGTGGATTATTGTTTTCTATTATTATTTTATTTATCTATTTCTATTGCTGTTTGTTTTTATAATTGTTATACTTGCATTCAGGGATTTATAAGAAGTGAATCAAGAGTGATTAACAAGTTACCTACAGTAGACGTATGTGCGACATAGAGAGACGAATGGTGTGCCGCAGGCGAGTGAGTAGGAGCAGCGATCGTAGCGTGTCCCTGGCGCTGTTTGAGCAGGAGGATGGGCACGTGGTGTACGTGGCTTCAAAGAAGTGAAATAAGGGCGGTCAGTAGAGTACCTACAGCGGTGTGTGTGACAGAGAGGGGCGGCTGGTGCGGCGCGGGCGCGGCGGCGCGGCGCTGGCGCAGGTTGAGCAGCAGCGCGGCGTACGTGGCGAGGTACACGCCGTCCGCGTTCATGATGCACGCGGTCGCGGGCGGCGCCATCGCGTTGTGCTGGCAGCACTTCGACGCGAACTCTTGCATCGCCTCGTCCACCTGATCAACAAATCTTTTAAACAACTCAGTGTAGCAATCAAACTGATGGCCTAAACATGAACTGAACCATGGATAATTGAATATCAGAGAATGATTTGTGACGCTCATGGCGTCCTTCGTGCATTGCTATGGTGCTATTTCTGTTGATGACGTAAAAGTTCTAACGATTCCAAAAATAGTTATAAGAATTCGTTTAGAATTGGCAAAGATTGCGCTCAAAACATAATATATTATAATTTAAAAGCGTTTAAAAATAAGCAATTAGAGTGCGTAGGTAGAAAGAGAATGAAATTAAAAATGCAAAAAAAAAAACTGTATAAAAAAAACTAAAACAAATATTCAGATATATTGAGTTTAAAATAGACAACGTACAACAATTGTCGCAAATATGATACAATTGAGCAACTAAAGGATGTTTTCAGAAAGTTAAATTTTTTAGCGTGTTTATACTAAACAAATATTAGATGCAAGAAAAGAGTCATATTTTGTTATGCTTTGGTTGAAACGAATTTCACACGGGGTTCATTCCTTTACAACTTTTGGTCCAATAAACTCGCATAATAATCGTTACATTATTTTTCCATCATACATCATTAATAAGTGTCGCCATCAATCATCATTTATTAATAACCGTCGAAATAAAAGAATACTCGTATGGATAATATTAATATAGTCGACATCAAGCACTTACTAATTAATCATTACTAATTATTGCGTTTTTTGCTAAATTGTAAATAGATTCTATATTGTAACTAAAACAAACAAACCTCAATGCAGGTACGAAGATGCAGCAGTTTGGGGAGCAATGTGTTCTGCAAAGTTTTAATGAACTGTCGCGCATTGTGTCTCTCCAAATCAACGTTGCATTCGGTTATTGTACATCTGTAACATAAACAAATGAAGAATATTCTTCAATTTTTATTCTATTTATCAAAAATCTAGAAGTTACCAAATGTTTTAAAAGTGAAGTCTAGATATATTTAGAATACTTTTTAGGGTTTCGTACCAAAAAAGTATTAGACGGATGGACAAAGACGCACCACAACTGTTCTTTATGTTTATCTATCACAGCATTATAAGTCACCAACTATTAAAGCTATCGGTTTGAAATTTTGTTTAGTTTTTGATATCGTTGATCCACGCATTTTGCAATGGAAATAATTGACAAAAACTTTCCAATGCGCATAGTAGAGGAAAAAATAGAGGGCGAAAGAGGAACCTCTTCCAAGACCGAGGAATAACTACATGGGACAGATAAAAGAAACACTAGGTATCATGTCGTATAGGGAGGTCAAGGATATGGCCTGGGATAGAACTGGCTGGAAGAAGATGCATGAATTAGTTGCACCGACAAGAGGAAACTCTTAAATGAGAAAAAGATAGGTCATATATATAAGGCATTAAAAATATAACCTTTAAAATTTGTTTTAAAAATATCGAGTGAAAATTAAGATCGTCAACTCACCTGCCCAAATTTAAAGTTTTTGGTATAGTCTTGACTTTATTAGTATTAGTATGTTTCTCAGTATCACTGTTGGGTGTAGGATTACAAGCGCGTGAAGGAAGAAACACGTTATCCGCATCTGAATCTGCTTCGCCATCACTACCGGAGCTTAAGTTCTCAGGGCCAGATGTATCTGTAAATAAAATGGTAGCTTTTACTTTTTATTTTTCTTCGAGTATAATAATTATAATTTATAGAAGCTTTATGTGTAATAAATAAGATTCAAAATCTTTATTACCTGACGAATCGTTGTCCTTTCCTTCATTGCTTTGTAACACGGCTACTACATCTCTGAAATATATCAGGCACAGACTATTTACTACAAGTTCTATTAAATCAAAATATATTTTATTGACTTGTTTTCAACTACCTGCTTCTATAAGCTGGAGGTCTGTTTTCATGTTTAATTTAATATATATATTTTAGATGTTTTGAATATATTCATTTTAAATGAAATATTCAACTGTTGTTCTCAGTACCTAATTAGGAATTTATAAAATCTTGAATCTTAGGCAGTTTTTTACAATCACTGTTGTAAATTAATTAATTAATTTAATCTTCAATTAAATAGAATTGTTTAAGATTAGATTATAATAGCTTAGTTCTAAAATAAAATAACCTTTTTAACATTTATATGTATATTTTTAGTATTTTCTTCTTACCTATAGGGGCTGGGCAATCTAGCTAATGTCTGATAAGTTAGTGGACCAGTGTAATCGGCGTCCTGTAACTTCGGCCAGTGCTGTAACATGACTGCAGCAGTGTCGCTTGGTATATATTCTGAATTATTACACAACTTCTCGAGAGCGTCGAGTAAGGATACAACGCATTCTACTGACGCTGCAACTACCTCTGGATTACCACTACGTCCGCATTCTTCAATTCCGTCCATTATTCTAGAAAATAAATTAATAAGGTTCATCCGGATACTGTAAGATGTATAAGGAAAATTTAAATGTAATAGAAGGCATTGTGGGTATACTTCGTTGACTTTGACTCTTCCATAAAAAAACGGTGACTTTAATAGGACTTTTATATGAGACCAACACGGGAATAAATCCTTACAAATCCAAAAAGAATTGCCAAAATTGGTTTTGTATTGAAAAAGATATCGTGTGACACAAGTATAAAAAGTTTTTAGAGATAGCCTAAAAGTATATCAATTATATTCCAAAATCGAATTCCATCATATATGTTTGAATTTCTACATAAATATTATGTACATATTTTTACTTTTGACCGTTTACTATATCTAGGTAATTCACGGGCGCAAAATAACTAAATATGACTAAACAAAATAACTAAAATGTAAGTAACGTTTACTTACAGTCTCAATATAGCCATGTCATCACTATGACGTTCAGGATGGTCAGTTTTCTTCAATAACACCAAATGCGCTAGGCGTTTCGGATTGTGTAACAGTTCCCTTACACTTCTTAAAGGCTCTACACGATGAGCGACTGGCGGATATAGGAGCATCCTATGATATAACGCTTCTAGAACTGGCCGCAGATTAGAAGTGGAGCCAACTAGACGGACCAGTTGGTTCGCTATGCTGGAATAATAAATAGATTTAATGAAAATTAACTTTCCTCGTTAAAAGTAAAATTTTAATTATGAAGGACATGATTTTAATTGATGTGTTAATAGACAAGTTGGATAAGTTGTGAAGTGGGATCGATCAGTCAGACGTCACGTGAACGTTGCCATGATATCGTTTGATGTCTATTCAATATATAACACTTAACGGAGGGGCCCCGTAGATTTACATTTTACGATTCTGACCTAGATCTGATTGAAATTCAATCTGAAAATTCATAACGTAGTTCAAAACGTAACGTAAACGTATTCACGCACGCCCTTCCCAGGACAAGCTAGGTAGATCTACGTTTTGAATTTTTAATATGTTGCATTTTGGTTCTTTTTTTATGCACACTGTAATTTTTTTGATGCTATTATTTATAGTACTATTTGCTTGTTATTCCTATGGCGTAGTTTTGATTTTAAGAAATATAAGAAGGATATAGCAGTTTTGACTTGTGCGTTAAGTGTTAATTAAATTCGATTTCGTCAAAGTCAGCTAGAAAATAGTTCAACTCTACTGAATGTATGCAAAATTATGTCGTTCATAGCTTAACAATCGACCACAGTAGATGATTTTCGATTGCCAGAGAATCTCCAGTAGACAGGGAGGAATTTGAGACTGCTACCATTGTGATGAAGGTAATTCTTGATTTGTTCTTGTTTATCATCCAAGATAAATCTTGGATATACAAATCTTAGAAGTACAAATCTAGTCGATACAAAAACTACGTCACAATTTAGATCTCTAGTTAAAACTAGAGATCTAAGTTGTGACATAGTTTTTGTATCGACTAGATTTGTACTTAAATCGTCAATACTGTTGAAGTGTTCAATATTTACGTTTAAAATTAACTTACTGGGTTTGATAATAATGATTCAGACGAAAAATCTTTCCGAGAGTTTTTTAAGTAGCTGAAAATAATGATATCTTTGTAACGTTATTTTATATTAAACATACTGTGATAATATCCCTAAATACCTGTAAATAGCTTTGGCTTGCTTGCTATTGAAGCTGGGCGCGCTGTTCAGAGCACCGGAGCCTCGACCTGAGTCGTCCACTAGGTGTCCGTCGTGCTCTCTAGTTAAATAGATAATAATATAATAAAAATTTATCAGTCAATATAAAAACATGTTTAATTTGTTGGAATTTGTTGCTGGACCTCTGTAGTCCGGAACTATACAAGATAAATTAAAAATTATTATAATCTTGGAGAGAATAATGTTGGAGTCCCATGTATCTTAACGGAAATACATAGGTAGGTACTGAACTATGTAAACTGAATGATGTCAATGATTGAATTAAAGCTGATAGAAGATATTTTTAATCAATGATAATAGAATGACAATGCTTCCTGCGTTAACGGTATACGCTTAGCTACAAGTTATTTAACTTTCCGTTTCTGAGCGAAGATTTTCACCCCTTAACTTTACTATTACTACAGTGGCCAGGCGCCATTGTATAGGATTTTTGCTTAGTGCAAGAGAAAGAAAACTTGAATTAAAATCTTATGTATTATTCTTTTAGTTGCGTCTAATGACATTCCGAGGATGTTAAGCGGTGAATGTTATTTCCTTATTTTGTCACTACTCCGAAAACATCTTTTTTTCATTACATATCAATTATTAAATACGTGGGTAACAAAGTTATTGCTTACCTGGACTTAATATTTTTGTCGACTCGAGGCGTACCGAGGAAGGATATGAGCGATGGACAGAATTTTTGCCAGAGGAAGGTAGTGAAGTGTAAATTGCCGCACACACGCTCTGAGAGGCTTGACATAAGGGTCAGGAGGCACTCCAAAAAGAACAGAGCCAATGGGTTCTGCTTTGGTATCCTGGATATCATTGTAATAGATTTTAGGAAAAAAATACTAATAGTAATCTTACATATATGTACATACATATTACATCTCATTGACAGTTACTTAACGGGTGTTTTTATGATTTATTTTGGCTTATTCTTGGTTGTTTATTCTTTAAAGGACTTGAATGAAGATAGAAAAACCGTAAAAAAATCATAATAGTAAACAATCGTATGACAGATATTGAATTTATACTTACAGTTGTGTTTCCGCCAGTCTGCTGCATAGGTACTGAATCACAGGTATGACTTCACTGTAGCACCCTACCGCCACTATATGGTTTCTTCCGAGAGGGGATCCTTCAGACAGAAGCTCTTGACATTCCTCATCTGGAAAACAAATTTTTTAAATGACTATTTTATTATTTATTTCGTATTGAAGTATTGTAAAGTTTGATATACATTAATTTGAAGTTAATTTTTTGTTGACTATCACAGTGTAGTGTAGCTGAGTTTTTATTTCTTATTTGGCTGGATACCATCGATTACCACTACATATTCGTACATGTAAAAAAAAACCTTTACGTCTTCCCACTGGAAACCATTGTAATTAATTTCCGGGAAATTCCTCTTGGTGGACCAATTGATCTGACTTCATCTTCACTGGTACCCCGCTAGCTTATATCATTAGCGTAAACAAGATTACTGCTTCATTTTCATCCATTTAATACTACTGAATCCATAATATATTGGGTATTATGCATTCAGTACTAATTCACCAGAAGGAATAAGTTGTTTGCTTGAATATCTCTGTCTCATTAGTGTTTCTGTTGTGAAGCAACTGTCTTTCTTTGGCTGATTCATTGTGAAGGGTAGGGTAGGTATTAAAGTGAAATTACAGAGCATGGAGACAAACACCATAAGAACTAAACAGAGGAAAAAGAATTGTTAGTAAAGGGGTCTAAATGACTCATTGCTAGCAATACACTTTATAAGGTCGACATCCACGCGGTTTTCCCTGGAAACCATCGTGGTTGATTCTAGTGGAATTCGTCACGATGGGCTAACTGATTTACTTTTATCCTCACCTGTCATCCCTCACTGGTGCCCCGCCAGCGTAGGCGTGGTTACCATTCCATCATCACTCATTTAAAAAAATAAGAATTTAACTCACCCAGCTGATGGGGGGAAAGGGAATGTTAGCAATGGAGTTTGACAGCCCCATTGCTAGCAATATGCCTTATTAGGTCGACCTCCACGTGGTTCCCCCTGGAAACCATCGTGAACAATTCTTGTTGAATTCGTCACGATGGGCTAACTGACCTACTTCATCCTCACCTATCATCCTTCACTGGTGCCCCGCCGGTGTATACCGATAGCGCGGGTGGGGTTACCATTCCATTATCATCCATTAAAAAAAAAAAAACTCACCCAGCTGAGCACAGTAGGCACGTAGCATCTGTGCGGCCGCGGCGCGGGCGGCGGCCGCCACGTGCGGGGGCCCGGCCGCCGCCTCCCCGCAGCGGCCGCAAGCCCACACGCATAGTCGACCATTCAGGGTTCGGCGGGGAGACAACGCCAGCGAGAGGTACATCCGGAATATTTGGACCTGCCGTGTACCAGAAGGCCACATCAGTAAAGTTTCAGAGTATTTTCTACTAACTTATTTGTTAAGGGCTTTCTCTTGTTGTATAATCCAATGTGAATTCGTGTGGTCCCAGCATAGAATAAGCCACCCTTTTCTATTCCATGAGTGTCGAAAGAACCGACTAAGGAGGGCGAGGGATGGGCAGCAGTGCCCCTCTTAAAACGTTTCTTAAGCCTAATTGCAGTTGCTAATCTGCCTGCCAAGCGTGGCAACTACTGGCAAAACCCCCCAAGGGGGAGGTTTATGTTCAGCAGTAGACAGTGATGATGATGATGATGATAATCCAATGGCATCGAACCGATAACTACAAGGTATTCATCATAAAATCATATCAGCCGTTAATTGTCCACTGCCGAACATATGGACTTCTTCCATAGATTGTCTTAAGGAATGGTCTCGAGCCACCTGCATTTGAAGCATGCGAGTTCGTTGCACCGTCTAGTGAGGGAGGGGGGGAGGGGTCGTATACTTTATTTGCTTGTACGGGGTCGCTACTAAAATAAAAATGTCTACTTAGTTAACATAAGATTTGTTTTATAATATGTATATAAGTGCAAGTCTGCCGTTATCGTATTTCATTTAGTGTTAAAGAAAATATATAATTATCATTAATATGTACTTACCTGTGTGTCCGGTAAGTGGTACATGACTGAAGCTGTAGCGCACAGGAGCTGAGAAGGCATCCACAGAGAATCATCTTCTGGCTCAATGCCTCTGTGAAATCTGTCATCTCGCAGTATTTTCTGAAAAGGGAAATTTTCAAATAATAATAATATTAACAACGGATGCTTTTTTGGTCCTAAAGGCCATGGTCGTTGGTCAAAGAAGATATAACCCTTTCTTGATTTCTTAATATCACGAGTCGGTTCGATAATTAATAAATAATGCTTATTGGAGGCCTTTGGAAGGACACCAGGACCAGAGGTACGGGATGGGCCGTGCTCTCCGCCCTCACCCACTGTTAGATCGCTAATGGAAGGAATTGACCAAAATGTTTTTTTTTTTTTATGGATGTCTACGTTGTATGAAAAATATTTTATCAAAATTGTAACCGTTATGAGTTGCGAAGTTTTCGTGATTAGTAAGTTTCGCTTACATATATTTATATGGATTGATCACTATTTTTGCAAAATCGATCAAAACATTTATGCAAACATGTTTTAAAGTCTGCGTTAGGGCAGATGTAACGTGGTGAAAAAAAAAATGAAAAGGTGAAAAATTTGTTGAGAACAATTGAATGTGCAAATTATAGGACTATACAAAGTGGTGAACCTTGGTACAGGCCTATTATGATGATTTGTAATGTAAGATTATGGATGTTTTGTAATGTAATTGAAGAAATGAACGTACATGGAAGCCCTGGAGTGCGAAACTAACGAGCCGCTGTCGTTTGCTCTCCAGAGCTATTTGGAGAGGCAGCAGGCACGTGCGTCGCAATTCGTAGGAAGGCCGACGAGCGCTGCTTTCTTGTAAGCACAATATTTCTGAAAGTTCATATTGCATATTATTGCTTATAAGAATGGTAATACACAGTAATATCTCGCAATACTAATATGTAATGAGATTTCTAAAAACCGTGGGAGCCAATGTGCATAGACGATGATTATTACTTTCATCTATTGATTGCAATGAGAATTATCAAAGTCGGTTGAAAAATAAAATACGTACCATAAAAAAAAGATATATATATATATATATATATATATATATATATATATATATATATATATATATATATATATATATATATATATATATATATATATATATATAAAAAAAAATTTCATTGAAATCCATTGTGTTATTTTTTCGTGATAAAGTGAGACAAACAAATATATAGGTAGCCCACACCAATTCTAAAAATGGTTAATTTGGATTTCGCTTTTTTATTTTTAATCATCCTACAAAAAATTGTATACTGACATATAATTGCGACGTTGCTCTTCCTTATTAACGCTTTTCAAGAAAATTACCTTATATCTTCTAAACTACATTTTAATTAAATACAGTACAATACAATATTTAAGGTATGGCTAGAAATAAATAATAACAACATATAAAGTAAATAGTAGGTATATTCGGTATAAGTAGACAATTAGTCAAGTATTTAACTTTTCCAAAAGTAATGTGTTTTTAATATTATTGCAAAGAAATTAACCAATTTTTCTTAAAAAATAATTTGATATTATCCAGAAAATATATCCAGGTTTCTAACACATAAGGCGTAATTACAAAAACAAACAATAAACATTGTGAATATGGTTTTATAAGTAGGTAGTCAAGTAAGTACAAATAAAATATATTTTAACATGCTAAGTTATATTTATACTCGTTATTGTGGGTAAATATCATAAGTTCAACTCTATTATAAATACTTATATCTACATACTACGTACCAAGAGCATCTTGGCAAGATTTTCTCAAGGTAGATAATTTCGGTCCTGTCGCTTCTTTGAAAATGTCTTGCAGCAACTCCTCCATGGTTGCCGGAACGCGGCTATATAGTTTACTTCACCATAAAGACAGATAATTTCATTTTATAAATAATACAGCGACACAAATGGTTTTGCGTTCAGCTTTACGGTATCGAGTGGGTGTTGTTGCGTTATCAGTTGACGATAGTCGCGGTGGAGCATGCTCAGTTAGAAAATCAATACGCCAACATACTAATACATTTTTTGTAAAACAATCAACAGGTGGTACATGTTGGTTTATGTTAGGTGCAAACATAAGTAATATTTCATTAAAAAAAATTAATAGCGAGGTACATGTATGAGGTACGTACATTTTAAGAACTTAGTCATCTAGGTTGTGAATATTTATGTATTAAATGCCTATTAAAATTTAATAAATAAATCTTACCTACACTTGTTTATATTTTAACTTACTGCTCTAAAATATATAAAGTTAATAATCTAGATGCTATTTTTAATTATATGTACAAAAATCAAACTTCGCGCTATGCGGTAATCACAGAGTACATTTTTACGTGGACATGTACTTAATCTAAACCACAGATGATAATTATCTAAGAACAAGGAATTTCCGAAATCTTTGTTGATTACAATGTATAATGTTCATTAGGCATTTTGATTTACAGATTAGTTTTAACCATTTCTATTTCATCGTTTATTTAAGTCTAAATCTTTGGGTGTAATTGATTTTGGCAATATAAGATGCAGATTTCTTTTGTGCATATATATCCGGCTGGTGTCACTTTGAATAAAAAAGGGTTCAATATAATCTATGCAACCTATTCATCAAATTTTTAAGTTTTCTATCCTACCATTAAAAAAGGAAAGATTTAAATGTTTATTTAAAGTTACAATTATCAGCGAGTAATATTATTATTTTCGAAATTTCTATCAACCCATGTAAAGCCGAGCTGTATCTCTAGTACATAATAAAATATATATATATATATATATATATATATATATATATATATATATATATATATATATATTCATATATATATATTTTATTAATTGTTAATATCTTTAGGTGGTTGCATAGATTTGATTTTCAGTTTCGTCTATATCTATTAAAGGTAGTGCCATAGTAATATTACTTACACTGCCTACTCATAACTCGTAAATAACGTAGATACTTTCCAAGTTTCTACTTACTCTGTGTCCATTGTAAGTTTGTCAAAATAAAAATGGTGTCCTGGAGTTCTTTAGGTCGTTCTTTCGGTGTAAATCTTTTCAAAAATCATTTTAAGGGATCTTGTAATATTCAAAATGTGAGTTTTTCAACAAACAAAGCGCTTTGCGCTGGTGGTCACCATAAGACGTTTGCTATGCAACCTTCCAGGTACCGTGTCTCCTGAATCGATTACCTAACCACTTTTTTTTATAAATAATACATATTTACAAATATCAACAGTATAAACCTTTGCAAGTGTAGTTAATTAACTTATGTAAATTGATATATTTGTAAAATAATGGGTATTTATTTGTATACAAATGTCGTAAGATTCTAACCTCTGTTGTTATTACAGATGGCAATGGCACAAATTCAAGGATATGTTTCACTACTACGTGATGGTTGGGTTGATTCCTGTCAGTCTGATTATCTTCTACTCCAATGTCTTCATAGGACCTGCTCAATTGACACCTATTCCTGAGGGTTACAATCCTAAGCACTGGGAGTACTATAGTCATCCAATTACGAGATTTATTGCCCGATACATTCATAATAACCCGCAGCAAGTATGTTTTATTTTAATGTTTTCTGTTATTAACAAATCAGTGAGCAGAGCAAGTGTCATTATGCTTGTTAGAATTATGCTTTTTATGATATTTAGATTGGCAAATAAATTAATAGCCAGGTAACTATCGCCTATATATATATATATATATACACAGTGGATTTAATTTAATACGATCTTGGTTGTAGCGACCATTTGTCTATAGCGACGTTAAATCTAAGTACTTTGAATTTAAAGCATACTTTAGTACAAAATTCATGTGGTTATAGCAACTTTGGATGTAACGCTGAGTTTGGGTGTAACAACTGTTTTTAATGAATTATTTGTAACAAATTCTTACAAATCTTTAAATGGGGCCTTTCGCCAAAAATAACTCTATGGCTGTAATCAGGCCAATGTTGGTCTATGGTGCACTAGTTTGGTGGCCGAGGACAAAACTATCGACCACTGCCGCCAAACTAAAAAGCTTTCAGAGACTGGTTTACTCCTCTGTTAGAGGCTGCATGAAAACAGCTCCTACAACAGCAATAGAGTTGGCCCTCAACATAACACCCCTAGACTTGCACATACAGCAGGAAGCGGCCTTAGCCGCTATCCGACTAATGCATCTGGAACTATGGGGTAAAAATCACTACAGTCCCCACACTGCTATTCTGAACCAGGCAATCGAATATCAACCTTTGATTGTGGCTTCGTGTGACAGGACTCATAATCATTATATATTTAACAAAAAATACCAAGTACAAATAAAAGAAGAGGAAAAGGACCAATCCGGTGTACATGAATTACGCATATACACAGATGGCTCCAAAACTGAGAATGGTTCAGGAGCTGGAGTCTTTTCCTTAGACCTTAATATAAACATGCACATACCGCTTGGCGACCACAGCTCAATATTCCAATGCGAATGTGTTGCAATAACCGAGGCTGCTGCAGTTGTACATAAGCTAGGAATAAATGGTTATAGCATTAGATTCTTATCCGGCAGCGCAGCAGTACTAAAAACATTACGAAACAACAAACTAATAATTGAATGCCACCATTCACTGGATAGGATATCTTCCAATAACCGAGTTATCCTCCAATGGATAAGAGGGCACAGTGGATCTTATGGTAACGATGCCGCAGACGAACTAGCTAGAAAAGGCTCAGGAACGAGGGTGGTAGGCCCGTATCCACTCCTTCCTCTTCCATTCTCACAACTTCGAATGTGGATTCGTCAAAGATCCTCTGACATATAAAACCAATGTTGAATCAACGACTATCAAAACGTTTATTACATCTAGACAGAAAAAACCTCAAAACAATGATAGGGACAATAACGGGTCATTGTCCATTAAACAAACATCTATACACAATAGGAGCCACAGACAGCCCTCTATGTCGAGGCTGTTTCGACGCCGAAGAAACGGCTGCTCACGTAATCCTGGAATGTGAGGCTGTGGCCTATCAACGTTTAGAAATCCTCGGAACGGTGAGGTCGCTCCGTGAGGCCTGTGAAGAACCCAGGAAGCTTCTGCGCTTCTGGACGGAGCTAGGTTGGCTGCACTAGCCACGACTCATACGCACAATGGCCCAAATGAGAGGCTAAGCGCGGAAAATGGAGTCCTTTTCACATTCACATTCACATTCCTACAAATCCCATGCAGATATTGCGACCGAAGTTGGTCGTTGAAGAGACACCAGGATTTCTTTCTTTCACAAAAATTTCTAACCTTTTGTTTACATCCACACAGATGGTCAACAAGTATGGAGACCATTACCTATTGTTTATAGATATCAGCTAAGTAGGTAGGGAAGCATGTATGTTTCGGAGTTTAATTTATGGTTCAGTTACAAAGTGATATTCTGAGTAGCAACTGAGTTTAGTAAACTTTGGATAAGTGTGACTGCCTCGATGCACATTCACTGTTAAAGAAAGGCTGGAAATCATTTCAAAATTGAAAAACAGTGAAAACAATGGTGTTTTGTGCGAAGAAAAAACTATACATGTGTACATGTCTGTATCTATTTACTTTTGCCTGTAACAACTTCCTGATATAACGATGAAAATAGAGTGGTCCCTTCATCGTCATTATACCTGAAATCCTTTGTATATATATATACTAATAGCCTAAGGACTATTAGAGTCATTATTCTTGAGGTCTATGGTGTTATGCTTCCATATTAGCAATGTGAATGTGGGTCAGAAGTACCCGGGTCTAATTAATTTTAACTTTTGTAGTCTCTTTCCATTAACAGTAACTCAAAACCTAGCCTTCAAGTCTCAAGAATAGTGCCTAAATAAGAGCTTTGAATTTTTTATACCAATTGTGTGTGTAATAAGAATGAAAAATGTATCAATATGTAAGTTTTTTTTGGGAACCATTGTTTGGTTTGTATATAGAAACATAAGTGTATTTAAGGGAGGGGGATGTGCCTATCTCAAATAGGTCTGGTACCCACCCCAGTGAGTGTAGTGAGCAGAGTTTTTAATTGTGTGTATACATAGTTTGTATATACATAGTGTCCCCTTTGTAAGGGGCCAAACCCCACCTGGAAGATTATGTTCCAGGTGGGGTCTGTAAAGGCCATCCCTTCCTTTCCTGTGGGTGTCACAAGAACCGACTAAGGGAAGGCGAGGGATGGGCAGTAATCTCTCTCTTAAAATATCTTCAAAATCTAACTGCGGTTGTCAGTCTGCCTGCGAAGCGTAGCAACTATTGGCAAAACCCCCTAATAGCTTATGCTTGAATATTGAATTGTCTCTGCATATCTCATGAGGAATGTGATGTGAGGATATAGTTCATAATATAAAAAAAGAAGTTCATTCAAAGTAACATTTTGTTATTTTACATTAGTCAAACTTGTGGTTTATGGAGTTCAGGTTATTTATTTATAATTTATAAGATTATAACTCAAATTTTATTTCATACTTTAGTTAAAAAAAGAAAAGTATGTTAATTATATGTTTTATAGTATGTTCAATGTATTTTAAATAATTCCTATTTTCAGGAATATGAAAAGTTTATGCATTTTATTGATGAAGAGGCTCAAAAGATAAAGTTGCGCGCTTTGGAGAAGCAGATCCTACAGAAAATGGGTGAACGTAGTGACTATCAGGCATATTATTATAGACCAATGGTCAACAAATACATGCGCATTGAGAAGAAGACTGGAGATGAACTTTACGAGCGTGCTGGTGATAACTACAAAGAATAAAAAAATTCAATGCCTTTATGCCTTTGGTATTAGTTTATATTTAGTAATCAAGTGAATTGTTAATATTTCAATGTAGATAATAAATCTTTTGATTGTTGCTTATTATTTAATTTTTTTTTTAAATATATAATATAATTATTTACTCCTGATGATTACACTAATTTTATGTATTTTTAATGTTTTTAGTTTTGTTTTATGCCTCCTTAAATGTTTTAACAATGTACATTTTTAACGAAGTCAAAGGTTGAAAAAATAAAAGAATAAGGCTATGGTAACATTGTTATTTATTTTACAGGAAATTCTAACGATTGACAATAATAAATTCCGACATGTGGTGGAACTCTTACAAAATTAATGTCAACACTTAACTAGCTGTATGCTAATGCAACCTGATATGATTCTACATTACATTTTACGTTCGGTTAAAATATGGTTTATAGATGTTGATACTTCAATATGTCGTATATCAGAAAGTTGTCTTCAGAAAAATCTAAATAGCATTTTATATCTCATGTAGTCAACGAATTTGAAAACTTGGACTAAATTACTGGAATTTAGAATTTATGATCATGAATTTTGAAATTTATGATGATTTATATGAGATATGATATCCAGGCACTACTTTATCATAATTTGCATGTACACATCTAACAACAAGTAATGTTTCCTTGCGTTGCTGAATTGACAGAACTCTTTCTACTATTAGGATACTGAATTATTGAACAATACTTTTTAAGAAAATTAAGAAATCGTCTAGTAGACATTAGTTAACGTGATTATCTCCTTTGTATCACATAGTATGATACGACATATTGCAATATGAACAAAGATATAGTTTCATAAATTGTAGTTCCATGAAATATGTATATGTACTTGAAAGGCTGGCGTACATAAAGGTAGGCCACTGCAACGCAGCGCATTGCCAAAATAATTTTCATACATTTTGTATGAGCTGCGGCTCGGTAGAGTCCGCCTGTACTGTGTGATGGTTCATTTAATATGTATGAATGATTTTTGTTATGAACTGTGTTGCGGAACGGCCTACCGAAATGTACATATAAACCTAGTAATTACGAATCCTATTTCTGATTTAATTGAGGTACCTATTAAATGACAGAGGTATAGCTAAAAATAATGGCATATTATTGCTTATAATATCCATTTCTTTTTTGTCATAATTCTTGTTACCCATAATGATCAAAGCTCATGAAATTATTTTTACGTGACAATAGTTACTTATAATTTTGGACGTTATAATACTAAATCTATCGCATGATTATAAGATAAAGTTTCTGTGAGTTTAAAATAATAAGATTTCAAAATGGCATCGGGAGAGGTCATTCTTTTTATAAAAATAAAAATTAATGCAATCATTTGATGTAGTCGTATTCCGGTGGTACGTAGTTTATTAATTTCAAAGGAGTAAAGGTGTACCAAAAGTGACCTTCATCAATTTCTGAGTGTCTCCATACACGTTCATATTGAGAAGGCCCCGAGAAATATAGATGATTTTCTGTATCATTATTCTAAATAACCATTACCACCATACGTCACTGAATCGTAAGTAAAATTTACCAGCGGCTGATTTTATGTACGATTCACTGGCGCCTGATTAAATACATAACGCAAGCGTCTAAATGAAAATTCTTGGTTTAATTTATGAACATTTTTTTATTTTACACTGTCCAGGTGTATAAATAAATAAATATTTTTTTATGGGATGGGATCAAAATGGATTGATAATCTCGTCTACGCAGCAGCAGTAAGCGATGATTGGTGAGAATGTACTTAGATCCGTCGGCCCAATGGTAAATTCACTGGGAATAAATTAACTACGATACTTTCCAAGGGGGACCGCGTGAAGGTCGACCTAATACGAGGATATATTGTTAGCGATGGGTCTCTTAATCCCGTTTATTAATAATCCGTTAATCCGTTCTGTTATTTGTAGTTTAGTGATATCTTTAGCAACAGTTGCTTCGCAGTAAATTGCTTGATGTCGTAACGTCGTAATTGATGAAGATTGCGCAATCCAGGAGATTGCGTAATATTTATTTACGTATGGCTGAAAAAATAATAGGTACTAGAAATGGTAGGTATTTTAAATACTAGAATATATACATCTAGACGGAGTATCGAGTGTTAAAAAGGGGTCATATTTGTCACATTAACTGTGACAAATATGACCCCTTGACGACGATTTTTAAGTGTTCAATTTATACAAAATTTTAAATTAGATATAACATGGAAAATATTATCAATAAATAAATTGACGATTTGTAAGATAAAAGTCAATAAATACTAGATTTAAACGATTTAAAAAAATATTAAAAAAATAGCCTACATATGTCAAGATATTTGTTCATCTAGATGACATTGATCATACAGATGCTTATGAGAGGTATTCTAAATCAGTTCCTTTATCTTTGAACTTGGCTGGACGCATGTCTAGAAAATAAGCAATATTAATAATTATGGATGTACTGACCATTATGGAAAACAATGATTAGTTGAGAAGTATGTAGTGTTGTGTTTATAAAATAAGACAATAAATTATTATGAATATAGTAGTGAACTATTTATTACAATATTTTCTAAATATAACTTGTTTGATGAGCCATATTGTATCGGAATGATGAACAATTCTAATGCATCACTAAAATAATTAACAAGACTGCAATATCATACTGTCCTTATTATTGTGTTTTATTCGAATTTCAAAGGAAATTACTGTAATTCTCTGAAACAATAGTTACCATAAACTATTTTGTATCTCTGCAGCTTCTATTCGTATTTGTTAAAAGGATAATTGATAAAAAATCCGTTTGCCTTGTGTATTACTGTTGGTCAATAAAGTTTTCATAAATAGATATTTACTTAAAAGAAAAATAGCTATATTTGAATATATCCAATTTTGTAAACGATAAAATGAATGTTTTATAAAAGTAAGCATTTATCTACTTAAGAAAAATGAAGTTTTTAAATGTTTGGCCAATCTGTTAATGAAAAGTAGATAAATTTTCGTTATGATCATGTATAGTTTTGTAGTCAGTTTTCACATCGTGTATAAACGTAATAAAAAAATAATAATAATAGGGTGATAAAAAAGTTGATTATTATTTAATTTTTTTTTACTTTATTATTAAAGAATTAACTATAAAGTTTCTCATTCATATGAGATGCATAATAACATATATCCAGATTTTTAATTTTATGGATTTATGTTCTGTGTTCTTGTTTCTACATTATATTTTTATCAATATCTCTACTGTTTCAGAGGATTGTAGTAATCTTTTAAATCCTAATGTTTGGATTATATTTTGTATTTTAATTTTAGTATGACATCCAAGTCTAGTGTTGATATTTTTCACTTTAATAGTCGTTAGAATGAACGGTAACATTGTAAGTAATTTAAATAGCACTTGTTTTTCTATACTGGCCATAATATTAATATTAATATTAAGAAAATAATTTTTAACTTATACTAATGAAAGCTTTATCTACAGATAAACTAAGTACGACAAAATTAGTACCTAAGTAATAAATAAATTCTTTGGCGGTGCTGGAATGCACAAAGCTCTTAACTTTACTGTTAAACAATTAAATTACAAAACGATATGATTTCATTATCCCATTCTTTCAGTCTTCACAGTTTGTAGAGTTCCAACTATGATCCAACAACTATGTATTTAGATTGCTTTTCATATAACATTTGACATTAAAACTATATACAACAACCCTAATATAAATAACAATTTCAAGAAGAAATTGCAACTAAGCTAAACGAGTTCAAAATAATTGATATAAATTAGTATCAAAGCACAAACAGAATATTATTCAATTGAAGTAAAAAAATATGTTTTAACATTCTTAATAGTTATGTATGGACTACGATAGACTTGCTAAGTACACTCTATTAAAATTGTTTTTATGACTCTTCAATAATAACAATTTCGAATCTAATTTTAAGACGGCTACGAGTTTCTACAATGTAAAAATTTAAACATTCCTTTATTTGTTTTTTTCTTTTTCCGCTTGCGCTGCTAACTTTGCTTCTTTCTTTGCCTTTTTTTTCTCCTCCTTTGCTAGTAATTTGGCTTGTCTCTCTTCTTCTTTTGCTAGGAGTTTTGCTTGTCTTTCTTCTTCTTTTGCTAGAAGTTTGGCTTCTTTCTTAGCTTCTTTTTCGGCTTTTAGCCTTAATTTTTCTTCCTTCTTTCTCTCGGCTATTTCATTCTTTTTGTTATCACTACTTTCATCTTTTTTGCTTTTCTCGTCTTGTTTTGTATTTTCATCGTCTTTTTTCTTTTTATCTTCTTTCTTGGGTTTTGCTTTGGGGTTATCTTTTTTCCGTTCAGTCTCTTTGCTTTGATCTCTGGATTTGGGTGGATCGTCTTTATTCGATGGTTTTAGAGGCCGAAAGAAATGTTGTTTATCTTTTTGTGGTGATGTTTCTAGTTGTGTTACAATTTTCTGTGCACATCTGTAAGTAAATAGATTATTAATGTATAAGTATATGAAAATTAAATTACATTTAGTGTAATGTTCAACTAGCGGTTTATTATTAAGGAAGTCTTAATTCATTCGTGAGACTGCGGTATTATATCAGCGAATATTTGTATATACAATGATATGATCTAAATGCTGAGAGTCCATCTGATTGAAATTGTTATTCCCATCAGATATGCCATGATACAGACATATTCCATTTCACCACATCACTAAATATATATGGAAGCAGAAACATGAGTGAGATGGTGATGTGTAAGTGGACAATGATGTATCAAATTGTTCCTTTTGTAAAAAATAATTGTATTTAACAAATTGTATTATACGATTTGTACAATAAAAACTGTTATATTGGTTCTAGTATGTTTATAATACCTTATTCTAGTAGAGGCAGAAGCCGCAGCAGCGCTTTCGCGGCGTCCTTCGCGGAACTCTCTCTGAAACTCTCTTATGGGCGGCAGCCGGCCCGAGGGCTCGCCCGCTGGCCCCCCGGTGTAACTGTGTACTTGATATTCTTGTAGCCTCGCCTGAAATAAACATAAATATGTATATACACACTACAGCAATTTACTTTTTTTAATGGATGAAAATGGAATGCTATCCCTGCATGCGCTTTAGATATACACTAGCGAAGCACCAGTGAGACGTGATAGATGAGGATAAAAGCAGCTCAGTTGGCCCATCGTGATAATTTCAACAAGAATTAATCAGTATGGTTTCCAAGAGGCATGGCGTGGAGGTCGATTTAGTAGGGTATATTATTAGCGATGAGGCTGGTGCTTACAATTATTTGACCCCTACACTACAGGTACCTATCGTATTAACTTCATAATTTTAATATTTTTTCCTGCTTTAGACGATGGCCCCTCTTTGGTAATGAATTGAAATAATTATCTAGTGCCCACTTCAGGATCAGGAGAAGAGCTTTACAAAGACATCTGCGAGTACATGTATGTACATCGTTTTTAAGCGGCCAGGTCTACCCTGGAAAATAATCTTAAATGAGCTAATGATTTCAACACAATTAAGTTGTCTTTTTACTAAGTTAAATTACTGATTATAAGATTACCTTCATGCTATGATGCTGTGATCGTCGTAAAGAATTGGAGGCAGGCTGCCGCGGCCGAGGCGGCGTGGTGGCGGCGGACGCTCGCGGCACCGCGCCGAGACATGCTCCTCCGCACTTCGCACCACCACACAGTTTTGTTGAACACCCATTTATCACATTACCACCGCTATTTGATGACACGGAAGACACTCCTAGAATATAAATTTTTGGAGATAAAATATAGTAATATTACAGTGCTACAATTAATAGCCTTGGACAAAATAGTTTTCCTGTTACACGCATGGAATAGCAAATGTAACCAACGAAATTTCTTGCTGACTACAGTACTGCAGAGAGGTTTAGGTACCAACCTATTATTAATGGCGGAAGTGAGCTGTTTTCATACAAATTTAGAAGCATTGACCCCGAATAAGTGTATATTTTTTATACGACTTAAAATGATAATCAAGTTACTACTACTCTATTATATTATCTGTGCTACTACTACTCGTGTCCCTAACATGCGCTCTGATGTAGAGTTTTTAGGTGCTTTTCGTTATACGCAAAAGCCTTTGACGTGGTTAATCAAATAGAATTTTTACATATCCTCCAAAGCCTAAAGCAAGTAATAATTAATATTATTAAATTCTGGACCTCGTTATTTAAGTATAAACTAATATATTATACTTCCGATTTTAAAAACGCTTTCACCTTATTTTTATATCTATATTATTTTGTATCAATCCTTACGAAGTTTGTATGCTAGTTTAAAAATAAAACCGAGCGAAACCTAGGTGGGTTGCTGGTTAAAAATAAAATTATAGATAGATTCGAATTGATATATTTGCGTTACCGGATAGGGAAGACTCTCCACTAGTGACGGAATATAGAGAAGCAGAAGCAGGCACGGAGCGGGCTCCCATCGAGTAGCTAGACACCGAACCAGGAACACACCACGACTTGCCGCTACCGCTTGATACCTGCACATAAAATAGGTATATGCCATAAAATCTTTTTTTTTTATACAACTTAGAATGGCAAACAAGCTGACGGCCCGCCTGATGGAAAGTGGTAACCGACGCCTATAGACATGAGCAGTACCATGGACATAACAGAGTATACTGTTTCGTCCATGATACCCCCCATGCGTTGCCATTCCTGAGGACTCAGGTGTTGTTCCTCTGTACCCAGTAATTCTAATCAAAAGGAAAAGTAATAAACTTTATAAGAAAGTAAAAATTTTATTTAAGAATTAATAATGAAGTTTCTTTCTTTCTTTCTTAATTAAGAAGTCAATGATTACAATTTATTTGGCAAATACGAAGAGAATATAAAAAGAAAATTTATTAGAAATAATTTTGAATTTAGTACGCTTGCCTGGAAACCGTCTGTCTTTTAACTATTGAAAGTTAATCGTGTGTAAAGTAACCCAAAATAAAATTTTCTATTTATACATCTCCATTATATTTGTCAACTGTCATTTGACAACAGTACAAAAAACAGACCGCAAGTGCGAGGCACTTTGCTAAAAGATATTGTCCATTTGCTCCTCAAATAAAACGAATACTTAAATCGTGAAGTAATTATGAAACACTCGATGAGATGTTTCGTAGTCACATTAGATTGAAAATATTTGGATTTAGAACCGTGTATATAAATAAATGAACTTAGTTGTATTTTTTGTCTCAAAATTAGTTAAACCTATTTATTAATCCTCTTGATTACAAAATAGACTTTTTCAGAACTGGCTACATTATGGAGCAGTGTTTTTCAAAGTGTGGGTCGGGACCCATTAGCGGGTCCTCAAACCTCTACAAGAGGGTAACAGGAACAATAGCAGAGAGATGTAGGTTCCAATGTTATCGGATTGCATTGTCGGAAGGTAAATTTTTCTATCTATTAATAGTTTCAATTAGTATTAAACGGACCTGCCAACTCTTGCTGGTGACGAGACGGGGCGCCTGCCGTAGCCTCAGTATTTTGGCGCGGCAAATAACGCATCGGAGCGGCAGCAACCGTTGACTGACCGCCATCTGTATGGTCTTTACGAAGCACCGACGGCACACCACGCGATGACCGCACGGCGACGTTTGCATCGTCGCTTTCGCGTTTACACATATTACACACTGAAAATAATAAAAAAAAAAAAATCATAAGTTAGAATTCTCCAGAATCAATTGAATATAATGCCAGAGAATGGAAGCTGAAGTCTACAGATAAGAACAGTAATTCCTTTTTTCTTAGAGTATATAGACTGTGGGTGTATTTATTATAAGGTTTGTGCCTAAGTTAATAGGTACATATCTTGTAATAAATTTATTTTTCTTATAAATCTATGTCATTGTATTCAACTAGATGAGTTATATAAGTACTATTGTCAGTAAATAGTTGTTTAATCATAGCAAATATACATTTATTGGGGGGAAAGGGATTGTTAGTAATGGAGACTGAGAATCCCATTGCTAGCAATATACTCAACCAGGTCGACCTTCTCGCGGTTCTCCCTGGAAACTATCATGGTTAATTCCTGACGAATTCATCATGATGGCCTGTTTTCATTCTCATCTATCACCCTTCACTGGTGCTCCGCCAGCGTATCCCAATACCACAGGCGGGGTTGCCATACCATTTTCACCCATAAAAAAAAATATACATTTATTTTATGGATTGCATAAAATCATTTATCAACTATCAAATATTGTATAATTTGTTATTAAATTAGAATTTAATTGAAGGCCAACACAATTACCATAAAATCCTATTGAACAAGTAGAGGCGTGCCCGATTTGGTATTGAATTTGGTAACCTACGACTTATTGTTACACGAAAATATTTCCTTGAACCTTGCAAGGTGAAAATAATAATACATACTGACATATTTTATGAGATCATCGCCACAGCGGTTTACTAACCTGACTCATAAGATTAAGGTCGGGAGTTTGATGGCGGTAAAAATAAGGTAATTAAATTAAAATGAACCGAATAACTAAGTAACTTGCATGCTCAAGGGGGATTGTTAGTTATAGGATTTTTTTTTAATGGATTTAAATGGACTGATGGTAATTCCGCCTGTGCTGGTATATGCTGGCGGGGCACCAGTGAATGATGATAAGTGAGGAAAAAAAAGTAGGTCAGTTAGCCCATTGCGATTAAGTCATTTGGGATTAAGCACATTGGTTTCTAGAGGGAACCGCGAGGAGGTCGACTTGACAGAGTTTATTGCTAGAAATGGGGTTACTAACCCTCATTATTAACATTACCTTCCCTCTCAGCAATATACCCTGAAAGATCGACCTCTACGAGTTTCTCCTAGAAATCATCGTGTTTAATCCCTGGTCTATTTATAACAATGGGCTAAATGACCTGACCTGAAAATAAGTATTATTATCACTCACTGGTATGTATCCTGGGATTACCATTTCATTTTCATCCACTTAAATGTCCTTGATATTACGTGAATTATACTATGCAGATGCATATGAACATACACATACATATTATACACATGTTTACTATTTTTTGGACTAAAGTGTTATGTCTAATAACCTAATAATTGAAAATTTAAAAAAATATATTTACGTTCAATTGGCATCAAGGACGTAAATCAGAAGTCGGCCAGACTTATGTGCGATGGGGGGAGGGGTTACATTAGCCTACCGACCGTATGGGTCCTGATGGGTGGGCAAAGATCTCGCGTAGTGAGTATCTGCTGATGTTAGAGTGGCTGAGGTTGGCCCCGGAAACGATAGAGTAATAACCTAGACGTATTTAAAAGGGACTGGTTTGAGGTGGCGTAGAACAGAAAGTTTTAGAAGATAGGGAAGTATCAGCAGTGAAATATCATTAGTTAATAATAGAATAGAACGTTTACGGAAGGAAAGGTAATTGCGTGATGGTAGAAGCGTGAGTTTAAATGCTTGTAAACGTGGAAGTGATGGACCAAATACCACTGTTGCTACTTTCACAATACTTACTTCTTCCTCGGGCGAAGTAGCTAGTTCTGGCTCGTTCTCTTCCAGTTTATTGAGCAATTTGTCCTGGAACAAAAGACGCAACTTATTAATTTTTATATAGATACGTATATATAATAATAATCGAACTTGACAATTGATTCAGAAACAACAAAAATGTACGAGAATAGTTGGATTTTCAATTGAAGTTCACATATTTATTTAAAAAAGACAAATAGTTATTTATTGGTTGATTTGATCATTTAAAGCTACCAAATTTTATAGTTGAAATCATCATCATTATCATCATACATATTAGCTGTTAATTGTTCACTGCTGAATATAGGGCAGAGGGAGACTTTGTACAAAAGTCGTTTGCTTGGGTACCTCTGTCCTATTTGTGTTTCAACTAGTTGTGTTTGCATGGCTGTGTTTCGGTTTGAAGGGTGGGATATGGCGTGAATTTACAGGGTACAGAGGAATATCACCTGGTCCTCAGGACTGGCAATGCATGGGGATATCATGGGCGAAACAGTATACTCTGTTATGTCCATGGTACTGTTCATGTTTATAGGCGACGGTTACCACTTTCCATCAGGTGGGCCGTCAACTTGTTTGCCATTCTAAGTTGTATAGAATAAAAAATAGGCTTCTCCCTATAGGGCAATATATCTAAGGATTTTGCCAGTAGTTATCAAATTTTGCAGGCGGATTAGCAACCGACAATCAAACTTTGGAGATGATTTTAAAAGGACGTTGCTGCCCGTTTCTCAACAGTTCACAAAAAGTTCTCTTAGTCCTCTTACGATACCTTCGGGAAAGGAAGGGGTGGGCCATTATACTAATTATACTAAATATATATATATATAAATAAATACATATTGATGTTGTATACACGTATTCATGTAAATATATGTATATAATATAATAGAAATAGTTTTATTGTTGCGTATGTAATAAATGTAATAAATAGTATATATCAGCAAAGTAAATACAATGAAGAAATTCTTTGGTAAATCTTTAAACAACTTTTTATAGGCAGAGATCACTTGCTTCAATCCTGACTTAACATACTTCCTTTATACATACATAACAGGTTTAGTGTAATCTTGGATAAAGTGATTGGACAATTCAATTGTTATGTAGGTGTTATTATATGCTCACCGATCTTGAACTTTATAATAATTGTTATAAGCATGTGGTGAGTGACTTGACTTTGACCCGTCTCCCTTACACCTGTCAGCTCAAATCAGTCGTTGTTTGTTCTTATTATAGATACCAATTGTATATAGATTTATTTCTTAATTCTTACATTTTTTTTATAAAACTGCATATGCTCTGTATTGTACGTAAATATTGTAAACCTTAGGGAATGTCATAAAGCAAAATCGGTCAGGTAAAATATAATAATAATAGAAGTATTTTTAGAATAAATAAAAACTTAAAATTCTATCAACAACATTAATACAATAATAATAATTAGCTCTACAACATCGTAGCCAGTCGTCTGTTTTAAGTTTTCCAGTGAAATCGATTCGTCAGACAACGATTTTTGTCTTACAGAAATCAATTGTGTAAATTTGTTTCATTTCTTTAGTTAGTTGGGTAATGCTATCAGTACAGCGGCAGGGGCGAAATTATTGATAAGTGTTAACCAGTGGTCGAGCGACACGGAAAACGTTAATTCAAGGTGGCCGAGAAAATACACATCCTTTATATATGAGATTTCCGTGTATAGTTTCAGTCATCTAAGTAATATGTTTTACGCGAGGTTGTATATAGATTAAATTGGTGGAATAAAACTAGTTGGTTTATTGTGCCGGACGCAGTGTGATTCTCCGAGTTCTATATAGGAAAGTGCATTTGTGTTTAAAATGTTAAGCCCCGATGCATTAGCTCGGTGATTGTTTTAATAATTGTGCTGCATCCTAAGATTTTTGTTTTTGGAACATGTTGGCAAATGTGTCGGACTCATGTCGTGTTCTGACTTTTTTCATAGGTAAGTTTTAATTTATCGAGATGAACGTATGAATATATTTTTTATAGAATTAAAAAATTAATCGAGTTGTAATATTTTGAAATTTATTAACATTTATATAAGATAAATATTAAAATATTGATTTTATATAAATATAAAATTAATTACCCATTATTTACTTATTATGCGAAAATCGATAAAAACTAGGTGTTTTTATATAATATAATATATCTCTATAACAATTGATTCACGCTCTACTGTTACGATAACTTTTCCCATAAGATTATATACTATACTATACCGCCTGACCACCACGTTTTACTACAAATATCATGGCGGCCAGGTGGTTTGGTATAAGGTTTTAATTTCAGTTTTTTTTCATACAATGATGTATTGTATTTTATTCCTTTAGTTGACTCTAACGATAGAGGGGATGAAAAGGATTCAATATAAAAATACATAATATTGTTATTAACATATTAAATATTCAGTCATAATAAATCCTTTACAGTGATCCCATGTGATTCTTACACAGTGATCATATGGGTATAGAGAAATACTTGGAATTAAAATGGTTTATATAGTATATATATAGTACAAAAATGGGACATTACATAAAAAAAAAAACTGCACCGGAATATATAGAGGTGGGAGGGTAGAACTGTACAGGCTTTTGGGTAACGCATCTAGATATTATAGATTGTCATATATGAGTTTAATTACAATACAATATATTATGTTTTATAATTCTACAGCTGGATTCAGAATATTGTTATCTGGATCCATAAGAAACTCAACAGTAACTTTCTTAAATATGTCATTTACAAAACTAGAATTGAATACAATGTCTAAGAACAAAATCTGAGGTAGGTAGGTAGGTCACTGTAATTTATTTAAAGTAAAATATAATTTAATATTACATTTAGCATACTTCCTAGATTTATCTAACACAAGTTCTGCGTAATATATACTTAGCCTATTGTGTACAGTTTGCTATTTTTGTTAGCCGTCAAGTGGATTGTAAATAATAACGCCAATTCTGATTGACTAATGTATTGAGCAATTGATAAACTTATTTATTGAATTGAACGAATATGGAAATTTGAAGAATTGTATATTGATTTTAGAAAAAAATGTAAGAGGTTCCAAAATGGGTAGTATTTGATAGTATGTTCCATATATACAAAATAAATGAAGATTTTTCTCCATAAAAGATTACGATTTCAATTATGACAAAATTAATGTGAGATCTTGAATTAATATTTGATTTCGGCGAAGACCAATCATTAATCTAAATAATAATACAGCGGGTCTACCATGAAATGAAATTCCGAAATTTCGGACTCAATTTCGTGTTTTTGTTTATACCAAAACCGGACCAATACATGGAGTTTAACATTTCGTTCGTCATACATCCTATCATAAAAGTCAAAAGGAACAATATTTTAACATTTTTAATATTTCCTAACAGCATGTATTATGTAATTTTAACATCAAATTTCTGTTTCGTTTGGCTCCGAAATTTCGGAAAACATTTCATCTTAGGCCCTCAGGCGTAAATTCTATATTATTACAGAGTTACTACAAAAGGTATAGAATTGGCGAATGCAATGAGGCTATAAAATTTATGATTACTATACAAAAATCAGTGGCTAAAATGTTGCGTACACACCAACAGCTGAATGGCGAACTTTATTTTATTTCTATTTTTTTTTTGTAAATTGATTGAAAATATTATTAGGTAGTCAGGTTTTCAACAGACTCTGATGTCATGTTACTTTCATTACTTTGAAATGTTTTTGTGTTAAAATTACAATCTAAATTTATATAAATGCCATTTTAAGTTAGGTATAACCTGAATTACACAAGTCGAATATTTGGTAGGTAATGAGTAACGGGATTGAGACTTAGTTATATTAAAAATGACTCATGAGACATATGAGAGAAATTAATCCTACCTACTTTAGATAGAAAATAAAAAAAAAATGCTCACTGCTATAGTTTCTATGGAGTAGTCTGAGGTATTTGCGACTGTTGCCGTTGTGTTATAGAATGTAATGTGCTAACGTGTTATAAAATTACTTTAAAAGGAAAATATTGAATAAATTTTGTAGGTAATAAGACCACTCTTGAGTATTGACAATGATATTCTATTTGGTTAACCAAATATTTGTATGATTTATTTGTCAAGATTTTGATGGCAATTTGATAAATAGTAACTGAATTCTAAAACAAAATTATCCTACTAATATTGTATGAATTTGAAAATTTATAATGTTTGGATGTTTGTGTGTTTATAACTTAACCGCGCTTCAACGGCTGATCAGATTTGAATAAAATTTGGTATACGTGTACGTTATATTCTAATTAATTATCTAATACATATGATGTTTTATATAATGATTCACGCGAGCGAAGTAATAAGAAATAGCTAGTGTCCAATAAAATAAAAAGATTTATATGGCTGCATTTAGGCTGATATATTACAGGCTGCTTGATAAAAATTTTTATTATCAACCTAAAATGAGGTGAAAACTGGTTTTGCTACATTTAAAGTCAGTGTTATTTGTGGGGCTGAATCTTAAATTATATTGTTATATATTTATTTTATAATAGTAAGTTTTATCCTTTTCTTATTCAGAACTGAGTATGTAAATCACTTATAAATTGGTATAAACAAGACACGATCTTATGTGGGTCAGTCAGTTCCGGATCTAGGTTAATATTATATTTTTGTTATTAATTGTAAATAGACTAATGACAAAATTAATTATTGGATGTGACAGATTCGTCTAATTTTGGTTGTTTACCTCGCTCTTTATTTACTGATATGAAATGGAAATACATCATACACAATGCATAATGTTGTACTATTAGAATTATACGTGAGTAATTTTCGAAACAATCAGGGTTTGCTGTGTTGAAGGTTACCAATTATTTATGAACTTTATCTATTATTTACCTTATATATCTTAAAGTAGTATGTAATATAATACCTAAGGAAATTACGTATGATGATGTACGACTATGATTGTTGCATGTTAGTTTTAGTATTCTTGATCGTATGCAACTATCAAGATTGCTAAGTGATATTATTTAGTTACAGGTACTAGGTATTACCTGCGATTGGACGATGATTGGTTGAGACAACTAGGCGCTTAGAGATAATAATCATAGAAACACACTTTCACATTTATAATATTAGTAAAGGTTTGGTAATATTTATTTATCAAATAAGCTAAGTAAAAATTTTAATTAGACGATAACGGAATGGCAATCCCGTCTGAGATATTGCTATAAGGAGGCGAGGTATCAGTGATCGATGATAGGTGAGGGTGAAGCCAGTTTGGTAGATCAATCTCGATGAATTGTTACTAACGTGCCCTATGATTTCTTCGCAGTCCTCTGTGAAAACCATCATGCTTTAATTCTTCTTGAATTTGTTACGATAGACAACTTTCATCCGTCATTAGTATTTTGTCAGCGGATACTGATAGCACTGGTGGGGTTACTATTACATTATCATCCATTAAAAAATACTTATCATTCCTCAACTATTTCCTTAAAATTTCGTTGACTATTGCGATGTAGAATTTGCTACACACTCGTGCAAGTATGAAAAAGAAAAACTTTCACGTTATCCCTCTGAAAACCATTTTGATTAATTTCTGATGAACAAACTTCATTCACATTAGTACTTCTCCAGCGTTGGTTTACGCTGGAGAAGTACTAATGGTTGGTAGCGCAAGCGGGTTACAATTCCATTTACGAGTACATTCATAAAAAAATACCGTTGATCATTTCAGGTGTGTCAGAAGTGTGCTTCATGTCAGCGCCCGTGGGTCAGTGCTCTTACTGCTGCCCCAGAAACGACACATTAGATGTACAATACCAACTGTTCACCAGGTGCGTTATTTTTCTTCTTTATTAATATATTGCGAATAAGATTGAAAGGGGTAAATGTAGCAAGATTGATGGAGCCGATTATCGGTTTTCCGCCTTGAGATAAAAATATGGAATACATGGTAGTTTATCTGTCATAAATGTAATATATTGTTATTGATTATTCTTTGTTATTAAATAACAACAATAAAATAGAATAGCTATTGTATTTTGAAAAGCTATAATATGGGATATTGATATTCTGTAATTAATACATTTTACTGAATAAACAAACAGTATTTTTGGTTTAATGGTATTCCTGAATTTAATCTTTTTTTTTTTAGTTTTTCTAATAGGTAATAACGGGGACGAGACATTAGGCAGCTATTGTCATTCTTTGGCACCCCGTTAGTGTACATCAATGGCACTGTCAAGGTTACTACTCCATTTAAATTCCATAAATAAGATTCCAGTTTTTTCGATGCTTTATAACGTATGAGATTATCTTTTTATTACCTAACTTTACGGCATTTCTCTTGCGGAGCAGGCAGAGAGAACTAAATACCAACCACTTCTATCCTTACATACATATCTTGCTTTCTGTAGTTACATAAATCGTCTTATGCATATATGTCAGTTTCGAAATACATGACTCTTCTTCTCTTTATAATTTATAGTAATATAGTATCTATTTGTCGTTGATTCATATTGAGGTTGCAAAGATTGCTATAGCGATAGATCGGAACTATACCTGTAGGTGCACCCGGAAGGTGCAGGCACTGGGAAAGTTGGTCAGTATCGGTAAACACAACTGAATATGGATGGATTATGCATTCAACAACTCTACTCCAGGTTAGAAGCCCCGGGTGACCTATTTTATGGAATCAGATTTGCTTTTATTAAATCATAACATCGTTATTTATTACCTAGCACTTCTGCGTTATCATAAACTATTATTCCCATCTACTTAGGGTAGGTTTTGTGCGTTTCTGCTGCAACTGTTTTTATTTTGTTTTTTTTTCGAAGATTTTCTGTTACAATAATATGAGACGATAAATGTATTAGATATTGTGTGATTTGCAATAGTCATAATAATGCCATTTATGAAGACTTCAAATTAAACATATTAATATAATATATAAAATATGCTTTATACCCACTTAATAGATATCTATATAAATTAAACCAAACGTGTTTTAAGAAAAAAAAGTGTATAAGTGATTGATTATTATAATTCGTAAAAAATAGTAAAAATAGACTTAAAAAGTGAGATGTTTCCGTATTGGTTCCTTATTTTGTTACTTTTCGTTCGTTGTTCGTTAGTCCTATTGATTTCGAAAGAAATATCACAATTGATTCACAATTGGCGAAGATATCGCGTAATACATACACAAAAATAAATATACAGAGGTTTTAAAAGGGAAGTTCCTTTAAAAAAAAAACGCGTATAAGTACAATAGTTGTTTACGCGATCTTATATAATTATCTAGATTGAACAATGGATGCTATTATTGTATTTATGTATTATTTATGTACTTGTAAGTTAATATTTCCTGAAGTTTCTTTTACTGTAGGTAGTAAGTATGTAATATATAGATGTACAGCTGTCAAGTTATTGTCCATTGACCAGAGGGAGACTTTGTACAAAAGTCGTTTGCTCTGGTACCTCTGTCCCATTCGTGTTTCTACCGTGAAGCAGTTGTGTTTACATGGCTGTGTTTCGGTTTGAAGGGCGAGATATGGTAGTGAATTTACAGGGTACAGAGGAATAATACCTGAGTCCTCAGGAATGGTAACGCATGACGGGTATCATGGGCGAACCAGTATACTCTATTATGTCCATGGTACTGCTCATGTCAATAGGCGTCGGTTACCACTTTCCATCGGGTGGGCCGTCAGCTTGTTTGCCATTCTAAGTTGTATAAAAAAATAAATCTTTGTTACATAAGTAGTAGTAACTTTGAATACTTAGATAAAGGACATAACACTTAGTTCTTAAGTTATGTTAATTTATATAAGGTATGCGTAGTTCTCGTAATTATAGACGTACTAACACCTACGTCTATGATTCTATGTTATGACGTAATTATATTAGGTATATTTTATTAATTCATCATATCAGCTTTTAACTGTCCACTGCTGAACATAAGCCTTTGGGATATTTTGCCAGAAGTTGTCACGCTTGGCAGGCGGATTGGCAACTGCAGTCAGACTTTAAAGATGTTTTAAGAGGGATGCTACTGCCCATCTTACGCCCTCTTTTAGTCGCCTTTTACGATACCCACGGCATAGTATTATATTATCTGTGCCCACGGGAAAGGAAGGGGTAACTTATTCTATGCCGGGACCTATACGGCGATTTTATTGATTGTTACGAATACCCTGTATAAATCATTGAGAGGGTTTTACTAGAAGTTGCTACATTTGACAGGCGGATTGGCAACCGTAATTGTTTTTAATGTATGATAATAGATTAGTAACCCTATTGGCGCTAACGGTTTATGCTGGCTGACCACCGGAACAAAGGAACGTAATAGTCAAGGGATTGGCAGCAGCGTCCCTTTTGAAACGTCATCAAAGCCTGTGTTTGCCAACTCGCTTGCCAAACGTCGCAAATACTAGTAAAACCCCTTTTAATGGGAAAGGCCTATGTTCAGCAGTGGACAGATAACGGTTGATATGATGAGACGATGATGATATAATGGTAATGCATAATGCATATCGTGGGTATTCAGTGATGACCATGACGCTATTAATGTCTATTGGCAACGGTTATTGCTTTCCATTAGGTGGGCTGTCAGCTTGTTTGCCATTCAGAGGGCCTACCATGAAATGTTTTCCGAAATTTCGGATCCGAACGAAACACAAATTTGATATTAAAATTACATAATACATATCGTTTAAAAATATTAAAAATGCTAAAGTATCGTTACTTTGAACTTTTGTAGTAGGATTTTTGGCAAACGAAATGTTAAGCTCCATTTACAGGATCGATTTCGGTACGAACAAAAACACGAAATTGAGCCCGAAAATTCGGAATTTCATTTCATGGTAGACCCCCGGGTTTCATAAAAAAATCTATAATAAAAATAGAATGTGATTGAATTTGTAAAATCTACTATATCTATCATTTATTTATCTTACAGAGCAAATCCTACTTCACCTCAAACTATACCGGAGAGGGATGTCGAAGGTTTACAGAGAACAAATTTCGACTTTAATAATCCTACGGTTATATACCTGATGGGGTTTTCTGAATCGATAAATGGAATCAGTACTACTACTTTAAGAAATGGTTAGTAATCAAATAAATACAACTAAACATATACATAATATACTACAAACAGCGCCATGTGCGGGTCTACCATGAAATGAAATTCCGAAATTTCGGACTCTATTTCGTGTTTTTGTTTCATTTCGTTCGTCATACATCCTATCATAAAAGTCCAAAGGAACAATATTTTAACATTTTTAATATTTTCAAACGGCATGTATTATGTAATTTTAACATCAAATTTGTGTTTCGTTTGGCTTCGAAATTTCGGAAAACATTTCATGGTAGGCCCTCTGGTTCCAAACTAAGCAGACCTTGTACTACAAGCCCGTATACGTACTAGAAAACTATATAGTAGATAAAATTAATATTTTTTTTTGTTAATATATATATAGACATACATGTGTATTGATAAAAAAGTATTGACCCTTAAGAGACCTTAATACGCCTTTTTTGAAGAACCCCATACTGTAGCCACGGCAGGAAGATTTTATAACCTGTTTAATGCAATTTAATAAAAATATACATTTATTTTTTAATAATCGTTGTTTTTTTATATTCGGATAATGCTTAATAAAAATAATTGAGTAATAAAAAGCCCTGTTCAGAGTGGATTTCATCTATAAGTTTACGAGCCATAACGATGCGAAGTTATTGTGTTAATATTTGTCGATCTAGTAATTACGATCTCACAAATGTATGGCATAAAAGCATATTTACGAGCAAATTTATTAACAAAATATGCAGCTGGTATTTTCGCAAATTTTTGAAAATGGGCATGTACTATTATATAATTAAGTATTATTATATAATTTACAATAATGAAAATTACAAATAATTATTATAGAATTGAGTATAGTTATAATTTTTATTACATAATTTATAATTTAATCAATATAATTTCAAATATCAAATTGCAGGAAAGTTGTCAAAGGATCAAATTTCAATATTTATATATATATTTTTATTATTAATATAATTTCTTTTTGCCGTGTGGTGCTGGCATCGAATGGACCACTACTTTTTCCCATGCGTATCGTAAGAGGCGACTAAGGGTACTTAATTGTCGAGGGACCGGCACCAGCGTCCTTTTTAAAACACCACCAAAGCCTAACACCGTTTACCAAGGGGGAAAAGGGATTGTTAGTAATGGAGACTGAGAATCCCATTCCTAACAATATACCCAACCAGGTAGACCTCCTCGCCGTTCCCCCTGGAAACTATCATGGTTAATTCCTGATGAATTCATCATGATGGGCTAACTGGCCTGTTTTCATTCTCATCAATCACCCTTCACTGGTGCTCCGCCAGCGTATCCCGTTAACGCAGGCGGGGTTACCATACCATTTTCACCCATCAAAAAAAAAACACTGTTTACCAATACGCTTGTCAACCATAGCAACTACAGACAAAACCCTATTTATAGAGGAGGCCTAAATTCAGTAGTGGACAGTTTTTTTTTAATGGATGATTTTTTAATGAATGTTGAATTGATGACAGTATTAGTACATATGGGAAATAACCATTACCTATAGATTTGAACATTATAGGGTTCAACTACGATGCCATTGCTGGCAATGGGTAATTTATGACACAACAAGGTGTTAGAAGTTGTACTGGCTACATATTTTACCTTTGATACCACTAGGTAATTGCTAATTTGTAACCATGAGAAGTCGGGTTATACCGTTAGTATCGAGCGAAATAATAGCTTGGCTTATCTAATTGTTTATATCAAGTTTTCTTCTGTATTCTGTTATCTATTTTTTTTTATTTCCTCTTTCTTTCCCATGGGTGTTGTAAGAGGCGACTAGGGGAAGTTAATGATCGAGGAATGGGCAGCAGCGTCCTTCCTACATTACTAAAATTTAACTGCGGTTGCCAGCCCGCCTGCCAAGTGTGGCAACTACTGGCAAAATCCTATTTATGGGGGAGGCTTATATTCCGCAGTGGACAATTAACAGTTGATAAGATGACGATCTAATTTTTAAAAGTTCAGCTAAACTTTAATACTTTGTATAAATGTTTTTTTTTTATGTTTTCTGTTTTTTCTTCAGCGTATTTATCATCAGGCGACTACAACTTTATTTCTGTCGATTGGTCCAGGCTTATTGTGTTTCCCTGGTAAGTTACATCGTTGATTAGTTAGATCCGCGGTTTCGGCTTTAAATACTTTGGATTTGTAAACGATATTATATATAAATCGAAGCATTTGGCGTTCCATTGTTTCTGCCTACCCTAATGGGAAACAGGCGTGACAGATATGTATAAGTAAACAAGAGATATCTCTTATTAACAGAAATTACAGTTATAAATAGAAATAAAATTATAATTGTGGTTGTTACTGTAATGTAATGTAATAAATTGAACATACTACAAAACTAATGTCTTGTATAATATGTATGTATGTATGTGTTGTATTGTATAATTCATGTATGTATAATTTCTGTTTGTATATTATTCTATATGTTTATATGTTAATTTATCTTAAAATGTATTAACGTTTTTATCTTTAAAAATATTTATTTAATTTACAAATTCTTTTGTTAACTCAATGCACTGCCATGTAACTACTAATGTACCGTTTGCCCTGTGCATCCTTTCTTTACCCGTAGGCGTTGTAAGAGGCGACTAAGGGAATTTAATGATTGAGGAATGGGCAGAAGCGTCCATCTTAAAACATCACCAAAGGCTAACTGTGGTTGATGACCCGCTTGCCAAGCGTGACAACTGCAGGCAAACCGCCCCTGTATGTGCGAGGTCTATGTTTAGCAGTGGACAGTTAACGTCTGATATGATGATGAGGATGATGATGAACTAGTACTAGTGTAATCTTTTAGAGGGAACGAATATAAATAAAAAGTATTTTTCTATTAATGGCAAATAAGTTGTCAGCTTACTTGATTAAAAGAGGCAATCGTCGCCTATAGACATGAATTGAACATTACTATTACTGTACAATAGGCAGTTATTGTATCAGTCATTAACTGTCCACTGCTGAACATAGCATCTCCCATAAGAGGGGTCTTTGCTAGTAGTTGCCACGCTTGGTAAACGGGTTTGCAATCGCCATTTGGCTTTTGGTGATGTTTTAGGTTTTAGGTCACTTTTTTTTTAATGGATGATAATGGAATGGTAACCCCACCCGCGCTACCGGTATACACCGGCGGGGCATCAGTGAAGGATGATAGGTGAGGATGAAGTAGGTCAGTTTGCTCATCGTGACAAATTCAACAAGAATTGTTCACGATGGTTTCCAGGGGGAACCATGTGGAGGTCGACCTAATAAGGCATATTGCTAGCAATGGGGCTGTCAAACTCCATTACTAACAATCCCTTTCCCCCCGGTTTTAGGTCACTTATGACATCCACGGGAAAGGAAGGGGTGGCGTATTTTGCCGGGGCTATACGGCTACAGGGCACACGGCGCAATAGGCAGTGCTCAGTACTTATAGTAATTAAGGAAGCGGACACGACATGCATACATCAAATTTTTATCTTACATGCTTCTTGTTTATCATTCGTAAACGTCAATTAGTATTGTAGTTATGTGAAAATTACAATATTTCTCCAACGTTAGTAAACACGTTACTTCGTCCATTTGCCGCATTCCTTTTCTGGAAATGTGCGAATATTTTCAAGCGAGGCGAACATTTATTTATTATGTTATGGCCCTTAGCCAAGTACACTGCAGATTTATGTAGCATTCCCGAATATCGTTACATAATGTCCGGATCTTAGTGTGTTAGTTGTATCTACATTTAGTGCCCATAGGTACACTGATTTATGGGGCCTTTTATGTAATTTATGCCTGAAGTCCTTCACAGTTAAAGCATAATATTTGGCATATCTTTTTTTCCTACCCAATCGAAAAAAACTCATAAAAGAAGAAACATAAGTTTTCCTTTCGTACATGTGCCATAGCAACACAATATGGTCACAATTCAGTTTATTGCTTTGCCCTCAAAAGAGCAAAACACTGATATAATGTAGACAAGTTTTTAAATTAGATCTTGAGGAATACAACAGTTCAATAGTAGTACAGTAGTTTTTGCGTGCTGCTGAAACAAACATACAGACATAAAGTTGGACAAGATTTATTAAAATTGTTATTTTGACTTTTCTTATTAAGACCCCTGATATTAGTTTTTTGTAAATATCTCCCATATGCAGACATCGTCTAGTTACAAATTATTCAATAGTTATATATGTATATATAATTATATATACATATACACTTTCCATTTTTTCTTAATGGTTAGTTGGTAGAGAATGGTATTAAGCTTGCCGCTTGTATAAAGTTTCATTGTGCAATAAAGAATAAATAATAATAATACATATATGTGCGAAGTTGTTAACAAAAATAACAAGGAATTTTGTGTTGATAAATTGGTTAAATGTAATGGGGACTAGCGCTCTCATTGGTAGTAAGTCGATCAATGTATCAGGTCGATCTTTAAGTGATTCTTTTTAAAATTAATTCTCGTAATAACAGATCTAGTAATAATATGGAAGGTTGTGGAAGACCTGGTAGTAATAGTGGTGATCAATCTAGTTGACAGTCACACACATAGTAATGGCAGCAGAATTAAACAAAATAAATTTAATCATATAACCATATACCTAGTAAATTCATAACGACAAGCCAACTGACTTTACTTCATCCCGTGTCATCCCGTACTGATATACCGCCAGCATAAACTATGCAGGGGTTTAAATGCAGAGGGTTGAAATTAAAATTTCATGTGTTAAAAAAACTATATATTTTTCCAGGTATGTCACAGCCGTACGTAACACGAGATATATGGGTAGACGATTAGCAAGATTCGTGCAGTACATGAATGGTATTGGTGTAAGGGCTTCCAGTCTCCATGTCATTGGGTTTTCGTTGGGGGCCGAAGCGGCTGGATTTGCTGGCAAGGAGTTACGCAGAAGGGGCCTTGTCTTAGGAAGAATTACTGGTGACTATTATTCGAGTTCTTTGTTTACAGATCCTTGTTTTTTTTTTTATTCCATTAATGTTCACTGTTTTACTTCCAACAAACAAATACATTATTTATGTTCGATCGAGTAATAAAAACATTTATATAACTTTTACAAACTTTCGTATTTATTTGTAGGATTTATAGCAATACTTTAGACTGTAACGATATAAAACAACTACAAGTGACGGCAAATGACGGTGGTAGACTCACCCTTATCATATAAAATTTTTATATCCTTGATGAAATGTGGGCATGAAGAGTATTACGTTTACTAGAACAGTAACAGTTGACAAATGTGTCTCATTAAATACTTGAGACCAAACCAAATAAATAACCAGCAAATTCACCATTACCCATTGTATCCTAATAGCGAAGTGTAATTTGCACTCAATATTAAGGGAAACGGTATTCTCTAGCAAAAAAAAGTCTAAACTACCTCTTATAACAGCCAAAATATTAATTCTTTTAATAAAAAAACAAACGTTTATAAATATATATTATTATAATCAATAACGCTTCGCAAAAATAAAATTCTGTCACATAGCAAAAAATCCTATCGATTTAAAAATCCTTACAATTGTTATAAACTGTACGGGATGGACAAAGCTATAGGCTACTTTTAATCCCGGCCAGTGAATATATCTCGGTCTTACGAACGAAGTCACAGGTAAAAGTAATATTTGTTTAAGTATTCATGTAAGTATATTTATATGATAATGTGCAATAATTGTCCATTGTATGTGTAAACTGTAAGTCAATATGGAAATGTCTGTAACTATTCGTCTATAACAACGTACAACTTTTCACCGCATAATTACATATCTGTTTCACCAAAGGGTTGATTGAGAGAGAATGTATTTAGTCTGCCTTTTGTACCAAACATTTTTTGTAATGTGGTCAATGAAGAATAAATAAACGATAAAAATAAAAGCTGGTAATTTATATTTATCCAACTCGGCTCAAAATTGATGAAGATTATGGCTTAAAAAAATGAGGGTTTAATGAATTTAACAGGTTTGGATCCAGCGTATCCCGGGTACAGTTTGACCAATAGCAACGATCATCTAGCTAGAGGAGATGCCATATTTGTTGATGTTCTTCATACCAACCCAGGAGTATTAGGGTTCCCACAACCTATCGGCGACGTGGACTTCTACCCTAATTTTGGAATGTGGATACAGCCAGGTTGTTGGGTCGATCAACTCATCAGGGATAAGCAGATTTCATTTATTTGTGAGTATAAAGCCCAACAGTGTGTAGACGTAAGCTGATTGGACAAATAACGTTTACATTAATATTTTTCCAGTGAATCCAATTTAGTATAGGGAACAAAGCATCATAAAAATAAAATATTCCTTCGATAAGAGTTAATATCCGTATGAATCGTCACACCCCTCATTAACTCGACGATAGTCACCACAGATTAAATAAGTTACGTAATACTGCAACCCTAACATCCGTATATTTCGGCGGGAACGCGCGATCGATGTTCTGACGTCACGACGTGGATGCTGGAGGGCGGGAGAAGGCAGCGGGGGTCGGTGCTACCACTACGGCGAATGCTGATTATTATTTTGCGTTCCAAAATGCTATAATTAGAATTTTTGTTTACCGTTGTGGCGATTAAGCAATATTAAAACGGTTCGCCATTTTCACGGTCTTATTTTGGCGTGAAATTTACGGGACACGTCTTGCGTAAGGGAAAACAGACTTGACAGCATTATTTTGTTACATAACAAAATATCGAGCCTATCTCTTGTTGATAAAGTTTATTTTATATTGTTGCGATTTCTTGGTAACAGGATCAGAGATTTTGTACATATCAATGTGGGAATGTTTGCCATAAAGCTTACTTGTGAAGTTTTTAGCGTGTTACATGCATCTCGGTTGTTCTTGTGTTATTACATATTCTGTGATTTCAGTGACATTTTATTGTTTTTTTTACGACTAGCTGTTGCTCGTGGTTTTGCATGCGTGTTGTTGTGTTTCCTCTTACGACAACGAGACGAAATTAATTCAATAATCATAAAATTAATACTTATGTTTGTTTAACTAATGTATCGTAAAATCTTTATTATACGTAGTTTACTTTAGACACATTAAGAAGATTTAATATACAATGGCGAATTCATCTCATAGAGGGATCTCTTAAAGTCAACCTTGGAGAAGCTGAAATAAAACTATAGAATATTAGAGGTTAAAAATTAATGTATTTCTGTGATTTAAATGATTTGTCATCCGCATCATGTTATTCTGCACAAAGTACAAAATTAGATTATCCACAGTAATTTGGTCACATTGCATAGCGGTTACGCTTCGCTGTATAAAAGAGATAGGAAAAACTTTTAACGGCATTCGGCTCTTTGACTAATGAAACGAAGTTTTTTGTTTTTCTCCCAAAATTTGTTTGTTCTATGAGATATATTGACTCGTAATGTATTGATACTAATAAAAAGTTTTATAATTATTTTACTCAAGATTCTTTACGAGAACTCGAAATTTGAATGAACCTAATTATTATTTGGGTAAAAAGTGTCTGGTTCATAGACTAATTTTGGTATCGATCTGACTCAAATTTACAATTATTAATATCTATTTCAATCAGGTATAGAAAACCAAATCTGTTTAATTATCTGTCTAGAATTTATATGATGACAGTATATAAATTTAATATTAATATTTAATTTTCAAAAAATATTGTTTAAAATATTTTTAATCAACTTTATGTACTGAAAGCACGATTTTCTTTATTTTCATTTATTGTTGTAGCAACCGTTAACTGTCCACTGTTGAACAAAGCCTTCACTATAAGGGGGGTTTTCCACTGGTTTCCACGCTTGACAGGCGGGTTGGCAACCACAGTTTGTCTTTTGATGATATTTTAAGAGGGACGCTGCTGCCCATCTCTCCATCATAAGCTCCCTTAGTCGCCTCTTACGGCATTCAAGGGAAAGGAAGGGGTAGCCTATTCTATGCCTCGACCTATACAGCTAATTTCTTTTTTCTTCTATATAAAAAAATAATTTATTATATTTTCTCCCAAGGTACTTGTGTTTTCTTTACTTTCACTTACTCAAATTTTGTTTCTAGAATTCTCATAGAAAACTACAAATTAGATGACTCATTACAAGATCCAATTACTATCATAATTAAACACTCCTGCAAAACAAACAGCCCATAACCACTCCCCGGACATTTCATACGAAAATAATCTATGGTTGTTCTATCTATCATATCTACAGATGATGTCTATATACTTGTGAGTGTATGCACTAAATATGGTTACGTACGTAAAAAGTTTTATCTGTGATTATATTCTCTGTGATGCGGCGTGTTCCATTTTCGAATTGATTTTGTTTGTAATGACAGCGGATTTTATAGCACTGTTGTTAAAGTCACCAGCCAGTATCAAAGCAGTCTGAACTCGTATATCGCAGGTTTATCTTATCGTTTGCACAGCGTGCGAGGAATCAATTATTGTATTTGTCATTTTTCTCAAAGATGAACTTTTGGCTAGCATCCAAGTAGTATATTATATATATTATTATATGTATACTACCGGGAATGCCAAACAAAGTACTACTTTACTGTTCACCTAGTGGAATCTGGTAGTAGTAGTAAAAAATTAATTGGCTTGGATTACTAAAACATTTTAATTCTTCAAATAAGTACTATCATCTATTCTGCTATTATATTTTTTTTTGTAGAGTTTGTAAGCAGCTCCGAAAGAAAACTTTTTAATAGAATAATCTAGATTAGAAACATTTAGGTAAATAGTAGGTAGTTATAAAATAAATTAGGTTATTGTCTTTATTATTCACGCAAGTCTTTAGCTTCGAATTTGCATGGTATATGAATAAAGAGCCGCACACTGGATAATGTAGGGGGTCTTTAATTTTTGTTACATACAGTTTATGTTACTCGCTTTTTACAGGGGGAAAAAAATTTGATTTCAAAAGTTATACAAATATATTCTTTAAAAAATCTTCAATAATTTTTTTATCGAGTTTATTATTTTTACGTAGAAAAAAACTTTCCTCTTTATAAAATTAATTTATATTAAATTCATTATTTATATTTTCAGATGGATGTAGTCACAACCGTGCATGGCGTCTGTATGCAGAGTCAGTAATCAACCCTACTGGTTTTCCAGCAACACATTGTAGAAATTGGAAAGGTCCATTAAGAGAGTGCAGATTCAGAACTAACGGGTACATGGGTTTTGGTGCACAGCCTCCGTGAGTAACTCAACATTTTATACTCATACAAGATGAAAAAGATGTCGGTATCCTGATGGAAAATGACCTATAGACATGAATACCAGGATACTATAAAAACTAGGATATTATACCTCTATACCTTGTAGTTTCATATCTTATTTTTATATTTTTTTTCATATTTTACCCTTTAAACTGGAACATAGTCACAATCATATAAGCATAAATACTTCGCAGCAGAAATACGAGTTGAGCAGAGATAACCAATCACACTACTTTTGTACGAAGTATTTTTGTAGTCTTTTTTAATACTCCCATGGTGGTAAACAAGTATTTGGCCCGTCTAATAGTAAACAGCGTTACTATTATATAATCTGTAACACAAGGGACGTCATGCGCACGTTGTCGACCCTTAAAAGTCTTTTTGTGTGATAGTGCTTTTTGATAATTTCCTTTATTTATTTCTATTACTACTTTACGGTATTCTCATATATAATGCAGTATTACAAAAGAGGGTTTTATTCTGTGTAGTATAATATTTGGCGCAAGGCAGTTGACATTATAGCAGTTTTTACTGTAAAAAAAGTATACTAATTAGATTTTTAATGTCAATCTAAATACTATAAACGGTACTTTCTCACGATCAAATGTTTATTAAATTTCTAAGTTGCGTTTTAATAATTTTATTATCGGATTTAAGTATCTTGCCACCATCTACTATTCAGAGAGAATGTATAGGAAAATTGGACTGAATTGGACTGAAGAAATAATTCTCTGAATTAGGGGTGCATATTTTATTTACCGGTTCATTTTATTAGGTTGGTAGTAGTTTTCTTTTTGTGTACGAATCACGCACGGACGGAGAAATGTGCTGACTATGCGAATATTGATTTTGATATACACATGCTTACGTAAGATATGATTTCGAATCTGAAATATAAATATAAGCGGAAAGTAAACTTCAGTATCTATGCTACAAACCAAATTCAGCCTAATCCACCTTCGAATAAGTACATTTTCTTTTGACGTGATTTCAACTCCTTAACTGTCACAATGAAAATACAGCCAAATTACCCGGACCCTCGGTGGGCGGTGTGGCACTTTCAGCACAATTGATTACTTATGTTGATTGCCAAACCTTCGAGGTTCTCATAACATTGGTTAAGTCAATATTTGCGGTCGTTTTACGACGCCAATATACCAAGCACGTACGTCGTATGAATCTGACTGTAGATACTGGAACTCGCAGATTTAGGGTTACTATAATGGAATGCTTGCTTCTAATAAACTGGTTTTGGTGGGATCATTTTGGACTGATGGTGGTGTTATGAGAAATAGGGATACGTGTCAGCAATAACTTTTTCCATAATTGGTCAGTATAATATGAGCTAATGTATTTTTAAAAAACGGAAGACTATAATTTTTTTTAATGTGTAATAGTTTTTTATACCTAAATTTATGTCTATGATTTGAGGTGGACGCTTATGTATGTGTGTACCATACAGGTGAGAAGCACAATCATCAGCATTATTTTAAACTTTCTTTACTGCTGGCTGCCAGTCAGGCAGCCAAGCTATATTAGTACGGGAAGATCGATACTTTTTGTCATTTATTGAACTATGTTTTGATTCTTCGGGTAATATATTTAACTTTACATTTAGAACACTATCTTAAAAGAATGCTAATGATTTCGGATCCAGCCTGTATAATATGATCATGTCTCATGTATGATGTAAAGGGTAGGGTACTGTCTTTAATCAATGGTATTCGTATAAAGTAGTAGTTTGCAGGTTTGTATTTTTATACGATTTGGAGTGACAAATAAATTGATGGAATTCACTTGAAGAAGTGCGGCAACACCGTCTATAAATATGAACAATACCATAGACATCACTGATATATCACGTCATCATCATATCATCATCATTGTGATGTCCATGCTACAACTCATGCGTTGTTATTCATGAAGATTAAAGCACAGATAATATATAGTACTACATTAGTAGCATTATGTCTCTTCCCCTAGTGATTGAACAGTCTTATTCCATTTAATCTGATATATCCAAGCACGGAAAAAACAGTCGTAAAAAATACAATTGAAGCAATGGTATGCATAGGGGGGAAGAAGGGATTGTTAGTAATGAGAATTAGTAAGCTCATTGCTAGCAATAAACACTATTAGGTCGACCTCCTCGCGGTTCCTGTCGGAAATTAGTGTGATTGATTTATTGTTAAATTCGTTACAATAGACTAACTGACCTGCTTCATCATCACCGGTGTCCCGCCACTGTATACCAATAGCGTAGGCATGGGTTACCATTGCATTATTGTCCATTAAGAAATAGTACACATACACACAAACTTTTACAAATTCGGCTATGGTATATTTATTACCGCATCGAGTTAAAGTTATTATTTCTTTATAATTATGTAGAGGTAATTAATTCCAAAATTTGTCGACTGTATATTAAAAATGACATTATTTGTACTAACAGAATGACTGGCAAAATGTACTTGGAGACCAATGAGAAACCGCCATTTGCAAGAAATGGGCCTTGACACATACGAGAGAAAGAAACCAAAGTGCAACCTTTTCAACTCTGGACATGAGACGACATATCATAGGTCAGAATATTCCTTGAAAACCTGTGTATATGTGATAGTTTAGTACTTGGGTTGGAATCTTCGATTTGAAAACTGTTTTACATTTTGAGTCATGTTTTATAAGTTTGTTAATATTATGATTAGGTATTATTATTATATTATCTATTCTGATATATTTGTTTATTTATATTTTATTTAGATAATAAGTATGTATTGAGCTGTGATAATATAGAGCTATAATTAGTATTACCACAGTGGCATTAGGTTACAATGGGGTCAATTCTGTTTACTATTTTTTAAAATTTCAATTTTATGTCACGACGTAATTTTCATTTTAAGGACTAATATACTGGAAATTTCTAATAGATATAAGTCAAAATTATTAAAAATTTAGTTCATATTGGTCCTATTTATTACATAAATAAAAATTCCGCTGTGACATCAAATTGAAATTTTTATTATTTTATTAGTTTCGTATGCGTGGATTTTAGAAGTAAGGAAAAATAATGAAATAGATCTCTTTTAGATGACGTGTCAAGATAATACGCACACCATTATTTAAGTTAGACCTTCAGGGGTACAATAGCGAATGCCGCATTCGATTTGGTGCAGTACTTTTCGCGTGATACCGGGACAAACATACAGACAGGCAAACAGATAGACAAAATTTCTAAAAATTATTGTTTTGATTTCTTTTGCTACTATTAAAAGCATTTATATATTTTTTTTTAATATCTGCCATGTACAATTACAATTTTTTTATTATATTTTAACATAGTGCTGTTGTTGGTATAATTTCCTTATTTATTCAACTCGACACGGGAGGCGTGATTTACAAGCTTTCATACCTGAAAGAATATAAAAATGTGCTTACACGGGGGATTTAAATTGTGCAATCCGGGAAAATATTTCTTATTCATGCCATCAGAATATTAAGGTGTGTCCGCCATAATTTATAGTAAAATTGTGCAATTTTGTAATGGTTCAGTTTTCCACGCACATTTGAATCAGACATTTAGGTATATTTGGTAAAGAATAGGCATTTTGTAATGTGTCATTTTTAAAGTTGAGTATTGTATTAAAAGTTAATACACCAACAAGAATGACTCTTCGTGTCATAATAGAGTAATTAGTAGTTGAATTTTATAAGCGATTGGTGTAAATAATTATATTTATTATTTATAATTTTATAATATTTTAGCAGTATTTATTATTTTATTATATTATTATTAGCAGTATTTATTATATATTATTTTATTATTGAATTGTAAAATAAACAAATGTGATATTATTCGTAAACCTGTTGTTCTTTTACAATGGATTTAGTTAATTATATTTTTTAAATATGTAATTTTACTAATTTTGCGAAATTGTAATTGAAAGTTATAAGAAAATAAACTCCAAGATTGATAAAAGTAGAAAAATCTTCATTCACAAAGGCAACTGTAGATACGAGTGAATGCCACAAAATGGTGGCAGTTTGATTAAGCTAAGAACTGTAAATTCACATGTGGATCTCGATTTACAGTTGCTAACTTAGTCTTTTTTAAAAGATTTTATTTAACTTGCTTTTAATTTGTAAGTTTTTGTGTTCAAATGTGTTTTCTTTTTTAAGCATTTACTGGCGTCCATTTGTGCTGAAATTTGGTATATTATTATTTATGTAAGTTTGTTAATAATACAGTGTTATGGTACCATCGAGTAAATTTGATGATGAAGACAAAAGGTGGCTATAGAATTTGCAAACTATGCACAATAAATTCGTCATGTTTGGGTTAGTATGATTTTTCTTCACCTAGATCCCGCGTAGTGCTCAGAGTCTGATAATAATGTTGGGTTATATAAGCTATTTTTTTTCACGACGATTCATTTTCAGTCACTTAAGCCATGTTTTGTTTTAAGTGGACTCCTATTTTAATAAGCTAATAATAATATATCTAAATCGGTATTAAGTAAATTATAACAGATTTATGGATTGGGTAATGAGTGCCTGACAATAAAATAAAGTTCACAATATTACTTCATCATTATTATCATATCAGCCTTTAACTGTCCATTGCTGGACATAAAACCCCCTAAGGGGTAGGGCTTAGCGGATTTTGCCAGTAGTTGCTACAATTCGCAGATAAATTGATTCGCAGTTAATTGCAGTTGGGTTGTAGAGATGTTTTAAGAGGGACGCTGCTGTCCATCTCTCTTACGACACCTATGGGAAAGGAAGAGGTGGTCTATTCTATGCCAGGACCACACGGCCACAATATTACTTATTTTTAGTTAATTTTAAATTTCTGCATTGTTGACACATAGATAGGTACGTTACTCTTTATTGTTTCCTCAAAAAAATTACAATAGTAAATTTATTCTAAATATAAATAATTACATATTTTAAATACACTATTGGGAATTTTTATGTCGACATTTCGACGTGGATTGCACCACGTTGTTGTCACGTCAGGACTGAAGTGAGCGACGAGCACCACGATATATTTAATAAAAATATTTTTGTTATAACATTTTCCCATCATTTTACTAACAGCAATCATTACAAAGTATATTTATTAAATCATTCGATTGATTCTTTAAAGTTGTTAAATCAATTATATATTGATAATTAATTAATCATAGAGGAAAGGACAATGATGGGATTATAGGACTTCGGATAATATCAATGGCTATGCATCCTAAAGTTCAGCACTTCAGGCATTTCTTAGAAATTGTCTGTGCCGTAACTTTGGGTAAGTACCACGTTCATCTTTCGAGTGCTGCTTCCATTAGCTCAATCTCTAAGGAATTTAATATGAGGAAATTTAAACCTTTCCAAATACCTTTATCATTTAGTAAAGCATCAATAGAGAGGCATTTGAGTGTAATAGAAATAAAAATGATTGAGGTTTCATGAACAAGTTTGTTAGTAAAAGTTTCAGCATGTTACTTGTGATATTTTTCCGTGAGAATATCATTTGATACTTCTTATTTTATTTACAAATGGATAAGGCAGAATATATCAGTTAAACAGTGGGTATATATATAGAAACATACTTGAATGTAAAACTTAGACTCAATTCCTTTTGCCAGCGTACTAATAATGGGTATGACTCTTATAGAAAAAATGTCATGTCAAGCAGAGAGACCGACTTGGCTGTTATGGTTGCTAATTTTAATTTAAGGAGATTCTAGTAAAAGATAACTAATTGGGATTTACTAATACGTTACTAAAAGGTTAACTGCTTTGATAAAACAATATATAAAAATTCAAATAGCCTAAACTGTGATAAAATGATAATTACGAGGGCTTCAAGTATAATGTAATATGCAGTATCGAAATCAAACATCTATTACAAGTAAAAAGTTTATTAGGAATTTTGTAAAGACTCAAAAATTTCACGACAGGTACTGACCACTGGTATTGAATATGCATTCATAAACGGTTATAAACTTTATCATAGTTTATTTTGTTACAAATTAGCGTAAGCACAATCATCCAGCCTGCTTGAAGATTTAGGTGCAAAGAATTGAAACTGGCAGGCATCTAGTCTACAAGACGAGCTGCAATATTTGCAGTACCACTCCTCAGCCATTTTTTGTTTGGCCAACAGTTCATTTAAAGCTATATCGACGAGAGTGGTTTCGTAATCTGTCATCTTTGGAAGACCCAAGCTTTTAACGATACCTCCACCGCTGATTTCAACTGTGTTTGCGATGTATCTGGAGATAGAAGAACTTGTTATACGAGTATGCTTCTGAATGGAAGACTTTATCAGTTATAAATTGTGAATTATAAATTTTACTGATTGAGACCAAGTAGGGGAAACATCATGTTTGATAGTAATGTAAACAAACTGAGAGGTAACTAAGAGCAAAAAATACTGGCGGAATATATAAATTCCTATTATCAACACACTAAAGGTAGATTTTGTACAAAAGTCGTTTGCTTGGCAAACTTGTGAAGTAGTTATGTTTGCATGGCTGTGTTTCGGTTTGAAGGATGGGATATGGCAGTGAATTTACAGGGTACTGGGTACAGATATAACACCTGAGTCCTCAGGAATGACAACGCATGGGGAGTATCATGGGCGAAACAGTATACTTTATTATGTCCATGGTACTGCTCATGTCTATAGGCGACGGTAATTACGTTCCCTCAGGTAGGCCGTCAGCTTGTTTGCCATTCTATGTTGCATAAAAAAAACTAATTGTTAATAATTAAGATAAAAAAAACGTTGGATTTGTTTCGGCATGGAAGTTACAATCACCTGGCTGGGGATATGACTTGATTAGGATCCGTCTCGACAAAGCCCGTGACTCTTGGTACGTCTTGGCACAAAAGCGCGTATGCGACCTTCTTTACCAGGCCAGCTAATGCGTGGGATTCACTCAAGTTTGCTGCCTTAATGCAACAACCATCACATCTCGTCATGGCAAACTGGGCTGCGCGGACTGCGTTCGTCATCATCTGGGCATTGTGCTGAGGAACGAATTTAGTGGAGTCAAACTTCTATAGAGTTATCACATCCCTGTTTATCGAAAGCTCATTTGTTTTGTTTTATCCACATTGTCTATAATTACATATATTATATGTAACTGTTAATTTCGACATTTGTGTTAGTTTAGTCGTTTGATGTTTTTGTGTAGTCTGGTTCATGAGCATAACTCTTCAAATGGACAGTGAGTATAAACAGTTTGTAATGCAAATTAGATGGACATAGTGTAGTTACAAAGGGTAAAATTGAAATCATGAGCATCTTTTTAAGAAAGTATTAATAAAAATTATTCCCAAATAATCATGTATCGTAAATAACAAATGTTTTATCTATCCATATGAACTTGATAGCTTGACGTGTTGGCATGCTGTGCCCAAAATTCTTTGTCTTTTTTAATTCGTCTTTTAGAGAAGAATGTTCAGAGTTGCCGGTGGTAGATTTTTATGAAAGGACACTACTGATTTTGATATCACCTTATAATAACAGCTTGACTATTTAAAAATGCAAAAGATGTGGAATATCACAAAATACCTGAGCAAAGTCAAAGTATTCGATGGCTTTAGAAAACAAAGGCACTAAAGAAAAGCCTTCAGTACCGCCGACGCATGGCACCCTTGTGTAGCGTGGTTCGAGACATAGAGCCCGCGCGGCGAGAGTACTGGCCCGCATTTCTGGTACAGCCAGTGATCCTAGCAGCTTACGAGGATCATACCAGCTCGTTTCTTTTAGTGTCTGTTGAAATAAATTCTATTGTCTACTTCAATTGACATTCACAAAAAAAATACTAGGTCTTGTTAAAATTATTTTGATAATTGATAAAAAAGACTAATCAAATAATCGCCTAGTTTATGCATATATACATATATGTATGTATGCATAAAATAGGCCACCCCTTCCTTTTTTGTGAGTATCGTAAGAGGTGAATAAGGAAGCTAAATGGTCGAGGGATGGCTGGCAGCGTCTCTCTAAAAGCCTAACTGTGGTTGCCAACCCGCCTGTAAAATGTTGGAAAAATCCCGCCAATAGAGAGAGGTCTAAGTTCAGAAGTGGACAATTAACGGAGGATGGATGAAGATAACGGATATATATATGTATCACTATTGGATTTCAATATATTGTTTAATGGATGGTACAATTATTTATTTGAATTATTTAAGACAGCTTTGTCAGAGTTTCAAATTCGGGGATGCCCGCTTAGTTTCGAACTGGATAGGAGCTTTTATTCATAAGCGCATTATACAGCTGTCACAGGCTGTGTCGCGAGCAGTAAATAATACATAAATAATTAAGTCGACATAAATAATTACAATACAGTATAACTCACAATAGTTATCATCCAACAATTACTTATTTGTATATATTTTCATTACGTTTTGCTAAAACAGACTACAGTTAAGGTTCGATCTAAACAATGATGAATATTTATTAAAAATCGTTTACTTGTTTTACTAAATAAATATTATTTTGTACTAAATAAGTGTAAAATTACATATTGATGCTTCACGGAAGCCACAGCGCTTAGTTACCCAATATCTTTCAACAAGCCGTGGCAAACTAATTAGGTTTTCCTTAATGATATTAATTATCATGGAAAAGCTAGTTGGTTTTTCGTTTCAGTCAGGATTAAATATAACTAATGCCTTTAATTTTCTTGAAGTTCATAAATTGAATTAAAAAAAAGGAATAATATACAATACTTCTTTATATAAGTAATATGTATATTCATATATATGTATGTATTATTTATGTTAGTATATAATAAGTATTTTATTATTATCATGTGTAAGTTTTAATTTAATTTAATTTAATTTTAATTATATTTTTATTTATGTTGTTTATACTGCGTTTAAATCTATCTTTTGCTGTTTTTCTCCCTTATTTAATCTTGTATTTTTTGTTACGCCATGACCAGACACAATTAATTATTCCTCGCCATCCTAAGGTTGCCTGGAATACATCGTTATTTAGCGATAAGGCCGCCCTTTGTTACATTTTTATCTTGCTTTTTTTTGTAATTAATACTCATTTTGTTTTGGTGTGTGAATTAAATAATCGTTTTGTTTGTGTACATACTGTTAACTTTTATAATCTGTATCAGTCTTTGAAGGGAACAAATAAAATAAAGAGTTTTCATTTATTCATACTTTTTTTTATACAATGATAGCAATCTAGCATAGATTCGCCGAATGATAAACAAAACGCAGTACCGTATTCATTAATTTATATGTTACATTTCACAATTTAAACCTGAACATATTTATTGCAAGCATAGAGTTTTTAATGAGTTAGTTTGTTTTTTATCTCCGCGATTTTTTTATTTTGTTCTTAGTACAATATGCTATAAATACATGAGGAGTGAATCTCCAAACCATTAAGCAACACTGCTTAATGAAGAGAACCGTGTTCAGCAGTAGAACCTTATTAGTTTGATAAGAATAAAGAAAGAAGGTCATAGTATGTTATTGACGGGTTTAATATTTCTTAGTCTGTGTTTGTGGGTCGCTTAGAGAACTATATATTTAAAAATATATACGAGAACGTAGTGCTTTTATTTTCTCTAGCTCATAAAGCGTGAGTTCAGAACAAAAGTAAAGTTGACAAAGAAATGCCCGCCTTCATAGCAACACCGCTGAACTAACACGGAGTTTAGAAACAAAGAAAAATTTAGTAATAGAGTGTAAAGTTTGTGGCCATGAGTTAGTTTGTTCTACATAAATTGACAATGTTCTAATTTTCTTGGTAAACATTAGTAATATGACAAAATAATTTATTTAATGATATGTTACTTCACTAATCTGAATCTATTACATTGGAATTTTTTCTCTTTTTCTTTTCTTTTTTTTCATTCGTTTCTTTTTTCCTTATACATATTTAATTTTGAATGGGATGGATTTAAAATATGGGATAGAAATAATATTTGTAGATTGCTATGCACCTACAATGATAAATATTTTTTTTTATTTAATACGAAATTAGATTATAAAAATCAGTAATTTTTGTATCTATTTTTACTTTTTTCTACTATCGATAAAAAGGTCAAATTATTTACAGGAGGAGGTAGCGGGTAAGTAGGTAGCGCCACTTTCTTCGATGCAGAGCATCTAGAAAGCTTGTCTGTTTATATTTGTAAATATCATCGTTTTTTAGATCACCAGATACATTTAATATATGTACGAATATTCCATACAAAATCGATATCTATATAGCAAGAAATTTCGAAATAGCAATGTTATTTCTTTAACATGTGATGAAATAGCATGTAAGCATCAATTCGACAATATTGATCATCAAAATGAATATAACATGAATTTTGTGTGTCACCTTTTGCCTGTAAATATCATGTAAAGCTTTGAATATAAATACGTGAATTTGGGGTTGAAGGTTACAATAAAAAATTTTAACATTTAAAACGTCCTGAATAAGTTCAGTCAATCTATTTATTCTCTTATTTCTATTTATTTTTAATCGAAAACAAAAACGGTCCTCCTCCAGGATCATTTAATTTCGCCACAATTAATTATCACCGATGATCACGCTTGCCTATACTTAGAAAAGAGGCTGCAAAATATCCCACTAACAAATTGCGGAGTTAATACAAATGGCCTTTGTAACCGAATAAAGTAATTTCACCCGAGATTGGGAATGTGCTTCCCTAGGGACAGATGTAAAATATTTATCACTTACTGGTGATTGTGCGAGTTTGTCCCGGATATGGCTGACGTATTTCTCGCCCATTGGGGACCGCTCCCATTTTTTCCTACGTGTAATGTTTTGTAATTTATTTTTGGCTTTTGTTAATTCCTTATTTAAACATATTGCTCGGCTCATTTAGGTTTTTGTTTGGATAATCTTTTTTTATGCATTTTAAAATGGCAAAGAACGGCCTACGGCCTATATATGATGAAAAATGGTAACTGTCGCCTATAAACATGGATATAACAGAGTTTATTGTATTGTTCACCATTCGTTTCAACATGCGTTGCCATTCTTTGAGGACTAATTATTATGTGTCTATTAATTATTAGGTGTTTAATTCAAATTGAAGAAAAAAATATTGAAACCCGCGGTTTTTATTATGATTTTAGACAAAAGATGTATGGGGTCTATCTGTGTACTAAATTTTATTAAATTCCATTTAGCCGATACCGTGATTAATTAATAAATACCTAAATATCTTTATTGACTTTAACATTTTTTAAAGTAGTTATATTCCGCCTTTTTTCAGCACGTGTTGCAATAAAAAGTAGAACATTATTTGTTGGGTTAGCACAACGTCTATATGTGTGACTTATTTAAACAGTAGCAAACACACAAACATATTTTAGATACCAATTTTTATATACATATGAATAGTAGGATATAGGTATTAGTGTTCATGCGAAATTACAAGTAACTGAAGAAGTCTATGGGCATATTCATAAAACAGGAGTAGATTACATCCATATGGGATTAACGAGCCGTATCCAAACCCATAAACAGTTGGTATTTCGACATTATCCGAACATAAAATGTTTAACGCCACCCATGGGATGCAATGTGCTAGCGATATAACTTCGCGCTCCAAATTATAGAACTTTTCAAGAACCTGATAATATTTTCATGTGATACGCGTTGTTCAGAATTCACTGTTCCTCAATAATATCAAGGTGACCAACAAACGTATAGCTCGGTAAATCGCAAACAGTTACTGTAGGTAGTGTATGAATACTTTTTTTTTTTAATGAATGATAATGGAATGGTAATCCCACCCGTGCTATCGGTATACACCGGCGGGGCACCAGTGAAGGATGATAGGTGAGGATAAAGTAGGTCAGGTAGCCCATCGTGACGAATTCAACACGAATTGTTCACGATGGTTTCCAGGGGGTACCACGTGGAGGTCGACCTAATATGACATATTGCTAGCAATGGGGCTGTCAAACTCCATTACTAACAATCCTTTCCCCTTAATACGCTCTTTTTTAATACGAGTAACTCCCAATTTTTTCTGGTTTCGGAATGTTATGATGTTATTGTTAAATTGAGAAACTCTTTATTTAATTCTCGTGAAGTCTATTAAAAATTAAGAGGTTCTCAATTCGTTTGTTTTTATGTGTTGGTACGTGGTATCTTCACCGATTTACTCAGTATCGATTTTGGTGATTCTTTTTTGGATTTGATATAATTTACTATGTTTACGACATACACACCGCATACATTTAATCACGATTTATCTGTTGAACTAAACCTTATCTTAGAATTATGGATACTGTAATAACAGAAATTTATGTCTAAAATAGTAAAAAAAAAAATACCTCAGCGATCAAAGGCACCATGCAGTCTATAGGTGTAGCACACACTATAATGAATGCTTTTGGACACTCATTGGCTATTACGTCCGCATAATGCTTCACTATGGGAGCTTGATAGTAAAACCTTTCCTCGAATGGTATGTCCACGTTCAAATATCCGCTTTCAAGTATCAGCACTATGTCGGTATTCTACAAATAAAAGTAGGCCATCTTATACACTGTCCACAGTAGCATAATGACACTTGATATTTTAGCAGTTTTTATGTATAAGAATTGTATTAAATGAGATTTTTGGAAGTTAATTTCGTACATAAGTCGTACATAAGTTTTTACAATAAGTATCAGATTTAGACTACATTAGAATTTGACATTGTACATTAGAATCTGAAAATTATAAAAAAATAAAAAATAGTTTTTGTGCATCAGATCACATTAGCAAGGATTTGCCTTTATAGATATTTAATAAGTAAATAATAACATAGGTCTTACTATGTTTCTGATAACATTAGTATAAGTGTAGCTTTAAAGTATAACTAGAAATTGTATAGACAGAAACAACATGTTTTGTTTTAGTTCAAAAGAGTACTGAGTGAGTGGGCGCTCGGGCGACGATGTAAGTGGTTTTATGCTATCGTCTGTAGACCGATTGGCGCCGAACGATCGAAGTTCCACTGCACGACCTCTAACGTAGGTATATTTCAATGGAAACATTTATATTTCTTTTTAATTTCATGCGTTGTATCCGTAAATAAAATAATGAAAAAATCTGCGTCATGTTAGTTATTTTTGAGTAGCTTTGTGTATTGAATGTGGAATATTGTGAACTAAAAATGAAATGCCTGTATATTTTTAAATTAATATTCATAAATTAAGTAACATTCTGTAAAATTTTATCGACAAAGAAATATTTGAAGATTGAAATATGCTACAATTAAATTGAATTATACTATTTACATCACAAATAATAAAGTACGAAAATACAAGTATCTTTAACAGTACAAACTATAGACACAATAAAAGATATTATAATAACAACATAAATATATCTTATTCACTTTCAATCGACCCTCCAAACACACTATATTTTTTACCTAGCCAATAACAAACCGCTGTTGTAGCATATTTTTTGCAGCTAGAGTACGAGCTCGTATTGATTGGCAAGTCACAGGTCGACGGCATTCTCACCTAGTCTTGTATACGCCACGCATGGGTGAAGAAAGCGATCCAATAAAACATTCACGTTGAATCGTACAGTCTTTGTCTTTTTAAACTGTTATGAATAATTTAATTGGAAGGAATCATGGTAGACGTAAGTTTATACGAGGTGAAAGTACTATTAGTAAAACAAATGTTTTATTTAAGATTGTTTAATAGGAAGTTTGTATATAAACTTCTTGTTTAATAAATATTCAAACCCATTACAAAACTATTTTAATTGTTGGAGTGTTTTGTCACTTTTATTTCAAATTCGGAATACAGCACAAAAGAAAAAAAAAACACTTCATTACATTACATATTTTAATATAAATTTATTTTATTATTCTAACAAAGATAATATTGTTGGATTGCATACCAGAGTGGAATTTGTGAAGTCGCAAATAATTATTAAGTTTTCCTCTTGGAGAAGAAATTACAAATGAAAATGCAGCAAAATCGAGAAGTTTGTAAAACTTGCTAATGTTCGGCTTTGACTATAGTCCAACTGCAGACTGCGATATGCAAATTGATAGTAGCAGACAAACTACGTCTTCAGAATTACATAAACTAGTTAAGAAGTTTCTACATAACTAACACAAATATTGGAGTTCTTTTAATTATTTATTACTTGTAACCTAGATACGATTTTATATAAGCATAGTCTATTTGATACGGCTTCGTAAATGCGTTTTGTATTTGAATACTTTGTAGTAAAAATTAGTGTTTTGGTAGTAAAACTTTACTCACAAAGCTATCTCTTTATGTTTTTGGGTCTCACGTTTGTATAATTTTCATATTTTTTTTTATATTTTTCATTATTTATAAAATTTTATGCGTGACTGAATCTTTCAGAATAAACTTATTTTTATTTTTAAATAAATCCTAATTATAATAAATATATATATTTTTTTTTAATTTGGAATGCAAATAAACTACTGATCCACGTAATAAAACGTGGTAACCGTAAAATTTTGGATATGCCATACTACTTATCTATATTATTTATCGTGTATAGTATTATATGAAATACGTAAACCAGAGGGAGACTTTGTACAAAAGTCGATTGCTTGGGTACCTCTGTCCCATTCGTGTTTCAACCGTGAAGCAGTTGTGTTTGCATGGCTGTGTTTCGGTTTGAAGGGTGGGATATGGCGTGAATTTACTGGGTACAGAGGAATAACACCTGGGTCCTCAGGAATGGTAACGCATGAGGGGTATCATGAGCGAAACAGTATTCTGTTATGTCCATGGTACTGCTCATGTCTATAGGCCACGGTTACCATTTTCCATCAGGTGGGTTTCCGTCAGCTTGCTTGCCATTCTAAGTTGTATAAAAAAAAATTATTACTAAAAATATAGTGACAAAAAAATAGTATGTAACCTGTAAACACCTTTCCAATTCATAGCAAGCACAGCTGAACGCCTGCACCCTACAATTGGTGTTAATGTGCTGAAGATCCTGGACTACGTTGCATAGATCTCTGCTACAGTCCGTACACTGTGTATCCTTCGCTTCGTACAAACGTAGTCTGAAATCCGATAAATCAGATGAAAAGACGAAATACGCATTTTTCCCTCAGAGTGAAATGACGGAAATCGGATTTCCGATATTCCATTTTATATCTTATGGATTTCTTTATTAGATTCATTTTCCCAAGCGGATTCTTTACCATTATTAGGCCCATTAATACTATTCACTGCCTAAAAATTCGTCGTTAGGAAGTTTTGCTGGAGATTGGAGTAATTTCATTTCAAAGAAAATGTGTTGATGAAAATCTTTAAGAATGAATCTTTAAATATATTTTGTAATATTTTGCTTATATTTGTAATTCTTTTTATTTTTACATGGATCACTTGGATTCAATATAATGAACACTGATGTTTAAGAGAGTAGTTTTGTGAGATAATGATGCAGTATTTTAGACATTTACTGTTTCGTTTACTGGCAGTGGCTGTACATCACTTTTCGTTAGTTTCACTAACGTTATAAAAAAACCTTAGACCGCATTTACTTTTACAGCAAGAGAGGTTGAGATATACCGTTAATGTTAATGTATCCAGTATTAGTTACATTGTAAATAAAATGCATATTCTTGAAACACGGTTTTATTAATACATTGAGTTATAAATTTTACTAATAGTGTAAAACATATTTCTGATATTTGTTTGTATTATATAAACAAAATATCGGAAATTGATATAATTGTTGATAATAGCTAATAGTTTTACTGTAGGTTATATTATGACTATGTAATTTTGTTCATCATTATACAAAAGGGAGTAAGTATACTTCGACGAAGAATATCATTGTACTCAGTTTTCTAGTTATAAAAATTATGTGATAAATAGTAGAATCAAGCTTCAGTCACGGGCCGCCCGACGCTCGTAAAATCTTGGTTTCTTTTATTACATTTGCTTGAATCATCCCTGTCTATATAATAATATCTATAGAAATAGGTCTTGTAGGCGGACGAAAAGAATTGGAGTTGTTGAAGAAGTTTCTCTAAAGTGTATACTGAAGGTCATCAAAATATTATATTATTACTCTTTAATATAAAATAAATATGGTGGTCAATCTTAGTAATCAACTAGAATCTTTATACAAATATATTTTGATTCAATTGATCTCTCCATAAGTGTGCAAATCCAAAACCGCTAATAATACTAATATTGTGGGTTAACGATTGATCGAAATGTAGGCAGAGTTTCTTCTTTTTCAAGAAGTACATTTTAGAAACTAGTTACAAGCGACAACTGGAGGAAATTTGTATTAAACCTGCCCATTATGTTCACAGAGTCAGATGGGTACCTACCGCAATTATTGGATTGCGACAGAGGCCTCCCCAAGGAATCAGTACGAAATTATGAAACGTGTGTTAGGAATTTTTAATTGCGTGCTTTTAACATGGTATGGCTTCTCAGCACTCAACAATAGCTACTCAGAAAATGTAACTTGAACCGTTGACCTTTTTAATAGAGGCAAAGAAAAATACAATTGCTTTCTAAATATGGAAATGTCAAGTATTATCCGTGACATTATACCAACAATATTTTTCAATGTTGAAAAAACTAGACTTTAATGAACCTGAGATCTATTTCTCGTATAGTGGTAAAAGACTAACTGGTGAAATGCTCGAGCGAGATCAGTAGACATTACTTCTAAATTTTCAAGTATTATATCATATTTAATCATTTATATAAAATGACTATTGTGTAATGTTGTAAAGAACGTTAACCTCGTGTGCTGATTAGTGTCATCCTGGGAATATTCTAACAAAGGAAACAATATAAAATCCTAAACTCAACCGTCTAGTAAATAAGGCATACTTATTACATAGTCAGGTGGATGAATTTACGGATAAAAATTAGTTTGCAATAAATACACGCAGATTAAATATTATAATAAAAAAATATGACAAACACTGTCAAATTAGTGTTCTTATTCTTTTTGAAGACTGCTAAAAATAATAAAATACATCCAAATATTTGGATAGTGTTCCAATCGTAATAAAACTGCCAACAATCATTCATTAATATTCATTTATTGACGATCAATAGCACTTAAAGTGAACAAATCTTGTTGAAATTCGATTGTCGTTTCGTTAAAAATGGGCCACATTTAATGCTTCAATGGATCGAGTACAATAAATGTCTGAACAGCATAAAAAGGTTACAAGATACACCCACAATGCGTCAAAAGGCCGGAACCAATTCAACTTTGGCCTTCACAGTTCTAAAGATGAGTGTTTTGTGAAAAAAATCTCTTTTGTCTGTTTATTTTAGATTACATAACAAGTAAGCTACGTGTTTCATTTGATTATTATAAAGAAAAATCAAAACATTAATATTTACATTTATCTTAAAATGATAAATCTATAACCAAAATACATATTTCAGTTAAGAACTACACAAAATTAGTGTATTCCAGTGATTGCTTTTGTATATTACGTTTTAGAATCGCCGCTGGGTTCGATTCCAAATTGACTAGTTTAAATCTCAAATATTAAATTCTTATATTGATAGTTTAGCAAATTTATGATTTTATGTACTACAATTAAAATTACTAGTTTTATATCAAATTTATTTTTAGTTAATACTGCTCCTTAGTATAAAAGACTTCGTTGTAATATTACAAATTGACAAGGAGCTTTAATTTAGTACTTTATAATACTTAGATTAGCTAATGTATCTTTATTATGTTTACATAAGAATATATAACCAAGAAACTCGACTAGTTTTGGTCAAATTATACGTAACTTAAACAGGTAGTTATTATATTAAAATACCATATGTTTGTTATATTTTGTAAATAATGGCTAGCTTCCTATAAAGGTTAATACTGTGATATAAATAGACCGCCGTCGACATAAACGATCTGCGCGATCGTAGCACAAGCCAAGATGTCCCTGAACACAATGTTCGTTACGTAAGAAAAAAAGGTAATACAAAAGCTAGAGTCATCTATGAAGAAGGGAAAACAGGTATTCATAACAGAAATAGAATTTGACATTTGGATTTTCAAGTTGTTACAAGGTTCGTGCGGATAAACTGGTATTTTGACGTGGGACGGGACGAAAGGTCCCCGAGGGATGCCCTAACGGGTCATTTTATGAGGCGTAGCTTGTGGGACAAGAGACGTCACGACTCGCTGAACAGCTAAAGTTTACATTAAGAGCCGTATTCATCTTAACTTGTAACATTTGTTTTGTGGCCACATCACAATGACATGTAATTTTGCTTTGGATCCTTTGGAGATTTCAAATCCCATTAATTCTTCTAATATTATAAATATAAATGTTTGTAAAGTTTGGATGTTTAGATGTTTGTATGTTAACCAATCACGGTTAAACGGTTGAAGGGATTTGAATAAAATTGGGTTCATGTGAAGATTATATCCTAACATATTACGTTGAACATATTATATACGTAACAGCAAAAGTATCTATTTTTAATTGACTTAAAAACAGGAGGAGGTGCTATTTTTTATGTTTGTTTTATGTCAGTACTCCGTCATTTATAAACCGATTTAGATAAATATATATTTGAAAAGATATACAGGAATTTAGAACGATCGTGTAGACATTTCGTCAAAATCGGTTTGGTAACTTGATTTTTTAATCAGAATAACTTATTTGGCTATGATTAAAGTCTATTATTTTGTGGAATAGAATCTACTTAAAAAATTTAACAGTACCATTTATAGTTTAAAACACTACAAAAACCAAGTAAACATGATACCATATTTAATCACGTTATCATAAAAGAAACTTAGTTGAGAGAATTTAAGCAACGAATATCTTGGAATACAACCTAGTATTCCCAGATTGGAGTTAATTTAGAAAAGTTCATTTCATAAAATACAATTAAAGCTGGAACCACATTTATACAAAGCAAACTAACTCCATGGAAGTTATCAAATTTAAATTCACTGCAATACAAAAATTTACCTCATACATATTTAAAATGGTACTTTCTTTATTGGATGGGTTAACGTTTATGCAATGATAAAGCAGATGTAATAATGTTTACAAGATACTGAATGTAAAATATAAATGAATATTTACATAACTAATCTATAATTCAGAAACAAGGAAAGAATCTACAAAGTGGAGCAACAGCTCCAAGGGAAAGGTTAATGGGGTAAGCATCCCCCATAAAACCTAATTACCCTTTTTAATTATAACGTTCTACCTAAATAAAACTGGAACGTTTGCCAGCTGGATACAAAATAATTAACATGATTAAAGTCCATCAGAAGCATGTAGGATTAACGGTTATTAAAAACAGAATTTATGATAAACGGCATTACGAGTAAACAGTGGACAGAAGAAAATGACTAACAGCATGTTTAGAGGTAGATCATTACAAAAAAAGATAGTATGAATGTGTGGCAAATAGGATTACTAAATCATGACCCAAATGTACAGTAACAATATACTATGGTTACTGATTTCGTATAATGGGAAAAACTTTAAAGACGATTATAATAAAATTATATTGCCATAAAGATACTTATTCTTATGGTATCGTTTTTCAATGATTTTATAAATGATTATTATTATTATTAATATATGTGTGTGTGACTTGATGATCTATAGATGAAATAAATTATTAATGAATACAGCAAGTAAATGTAGAACAATGCACTGTCATTTTTAAAGAGACAGTTTTAGAATTCCAAATCATCATTCTGTTATTATTATTCGTTATATGTATTTATAAGTTCACTAACTTTTTAATACAAGGGCATTGCTTTAGTAGCAACGCTACGTACTGCCCTATCGCCGTATCCGCCCCAAGGATCGATACTTGGACACCAGGCCGAGGTTCAGGCATCGGAAACACCTTCTTTTTAGGCGGCGGTAATGCTTTCGGCTCTTCTGGTACCACTTCTTCTTTGCACGGCTTCGGGGGACATTGCACCCGGCGAAATGGCGCTATGAAATGAGTTATATAACTTCGTTACTGACCTCATTACAATAATGAGTATGTAAAGCAATGACCGCGTTCACATTGATTTTTATCGTGCTTTCCACCTAATTTCTTGGTACAATACTGTTAATAATGTAAAGTTTTTTGGGGTTTATATGAGATTTTTAGTATCGTCATCACATTTTGCTGCGAATGGATAAATAAAAACAATCGTAAAAGTTTTGCAGGAAGTCGATGAACTCGGATAGCTCAAGGTAGAAGATAATAGATGGTTGATAATTATAATGTTGACCACCATTCCTCTATTTATTATTCATTTATCATTCTAGATGCTCCTACATACTTCTTAGTTCTGATATTAGTCTGATATCAATTTTTACTGTTGCAAAGAATATTGCCTGAATTGACAAAATTTATTGGTTTTAATAAAAAAAGAAAAGAGTAAGGTGAACTAACTTCCAAAATTTGTGCCACCCTCGATGATTTTCAATTTGATTTTGTGGAGTATTCCCTCCTTTTTTTTCTTCCTTCTTAAATAAGGTTGGGGACAGTCAGGAAAAGCATCCGTTGGAATATCTACTATAGCTCTTCTACACTCATCCTTATCAGACTTTTTCGAATACCATCGAGTAAATATTCCATAGTTTATATTGTTTATTGTCTTTCTTGTACTCCATAAATTTAACCACAAATATTTAGTTTTGTGCATTACATTTACTGCAATCATATCTTATTTTTCTTTAATTTTTAAATACAAGAACTCGGTAAATTTTGTTGCTGTTGTGAAGCAATTTGACGTTTATGTTATTTACAAAGATTTTGGAATAGGTTATTTATATAATTATTTCAGAAAGATGTTATAAGTATTGTAATATTTCTGCCAGCATTTTTAATAAAAGAAGAGTCTTAGATACTATACTTTTTTAATTAAAGATTACTAGATTATCTCTTTAGTAAAAGTTTTAAACGTTTAAAGCATTTATATAGTAGTAGAATTATTTAAAAAAAGAAAGAAATAAAAAAAAACATTTATTGCCAACAATAAAAAGAGTTACATTTATTTACAATAGAAAACAAACTTCATATTTTTAATTGCCAACGTAACTGCCACTCAGTATGTCCTGCAGCAAATTAATAGCTGTAGCGTATTTCTCAATAGTAGTTTTGTTCTTTATTTATAAGTATTTTTTGTGGATACTGTATTACGCAGTTAAGTTGCCAATTCTAGAACAATTTTGATAATTCTTCTTACAGTCAATAGGATATATCATATTAAAATGGTTTCATATTAATTTTAGAACATCTGAAGCTGCCATTTTTGACGAAGCAAAAATCTTACGGTGAAGTAAAAAATATACTTGTCTACAAGTAGTTCAACGTGTTCATGAAACATCTCGTTCATCGGCATGTTTTGCCACGATTTAGGTAGCTGCTTTTTTTTTTTTGCGGAATAAAATATAAAGTATTAAATCATACTTCATAAAGAATTTACTAAATAAAACGCCAACCATTCAATTTACAGATATTTCTAAGTCATGAGCTAATAAATAATTATAAAAAGTAAAAGTCGATCTCTAGTGGTAATTAATGTAAAATGCTTTTAATAGTCGTTGGAATATTTATAGCGAACAATAGATTGAATTGAGAGGGAAAGCGGCGGGCAATGTTCTGCCTTGACACTGCTGTTCGTATTTATAGGCTAGTACATTCTCGGCCGATATTGGCCTATTTCCTGTTTAGTTTCGCTGAAGGCGATGTCATATTTGTAGGCAGTTCAAGCGGCAGCAAATTCGTAATGAAAATTGTTGAAGGTTATTGAACGTGAGGGCTGCAATATTAACTTATATTCTCAATCAATTTTACTTAATCGATGACTGTGTTACCAATTTATGCTGATGGGATACCAGTAATGGAATATTAGATGAGAAAAAGTTTTAATTCAATCTTATTTTTTTTTTTTTTTTAAGAATTTAGTTATTTGATTATTTTAATTTTTTTTTATACAACTTAGAATGGCAAACAAGCTGACGGCCCACCTGATGGAAAGTGGTAAGCGTCACCTATAGACATGAGCAGTACCATGGACATAACAGAGTATACTGTTTCGTCCATGATACCCCCATGCGTTACCATTCTTGAGGACTCAGGTGTTATTTCTCTGTACTGCGTAAATTCACGCCATATCCCACCCTTCAAACCGAAACACAGCCATGCAAACACAACTGCTTTACGGTTGAAACACGAATGGGACAGAGGTGCCCAAGCAAACGACTTTTGTACAAAGTCTCCCTCAGGAATCATAAAGTCCTAACATGGCTCTCCTGGAAGGAGGTTTAATAGAATTAAGGTAGATCTGTCAGACTACCAATGGACCTGCTAAATGCTATTACTAACAATACTTTAACTCCTTTCAACCAGTTCAGTTTCACTATACATCATAGTTAATATAACAATTAACCGCTTATTGCTAGTAATAGGGATTAACAGCTCCAGTGCTACCAACATAACCTATCAGTTTAACCTCTATACGTCCTGGAAACCATCATAGTGAATTCTTGGTGAATTTGTCTCGATAGGCTAACTTACCTGACTTCTTACCTATCATCACTTATTGGTATTCCTACAGCGTACACCGACAGCGCAAGCGGGATTACAATTATATTACCACCAAAAAAAAAAACAATTCACGTCTGGGTACGGTTTTCTCACAATGAGAAGAGGATAATTAGCTTTTTTGTACCTCCTGCGATGGATAGGTAACTAGGTATATCCACATATAATAATATACTTTTTTTAATGGATGATACTGCAACGGTAACTCCGTCTGCGCTATCGGTATACACTGGCGGGGCACCAGTGAGGGATGATAGGCGAGAATAAAGTCAGATTCGTTGGCCCATCGCGACTTGTTTGACAATAATTAATCGCAATGGTTTCTAGGGGGAACCGCATGGAGGTCGACCTGACAGGGTATATTGTTAGCAATAGAGATTAAAGTCGCTATTACTATCCTTCCATCCAATTTCATCCTTCTTCCCCCCATAATAATATACTAGGATAGTACAGAATGTATTTATGTAATATAGCCATAAATAATGTACTTAAATTAAAGATGAAGTTATGACAATGATTTAAAAGGAAATGTTTCATTGGTTTGGTCATTTGGAGAGAATCGATATAAGAAGAACTATGAACTACTAGGGTTCATGCGACTAGACTATAGAACTCATTGGAATATGGAATTAAAAGAGCATCTTCTGTCCTCGTAAACTTATTATGTTTGTGTATGTATATGTACGTATTTTGTATATGTAGTGAGTATATATGTGTATATATATATATATATATATATATATATATATATATACATACTCGGTAAACCTTGTTAAATATATATTAAATATATTTATGTATTTTGAATGTAAGTGTATGAGTTAGTTTGTACTTAGGTACATATTTGTTATTTCTTAGTAGAAATAAACATACTGTTTCCATTTCTTATTGTACACATTCTGCGCGCTGGTAATTAATGCTCCTTTCCACTCAAGGTTTGCTGGAAGAGAATTCTTATAGACTTAAGCTCGCCCGTTGTACATGTTTATTTAGAATAAGTTACAATGTTATACATTGTAATTTCTGTGTACAATAAAGTATAAATAAATAAATAAAGAGATTTATCAAGCAGGAATAAGTGTCGATAGGGCCTTCTTAGAGAGGCGTACGTCGAATAAGTGACGTGCTTAAAAACGGACAAGCGGCTAGCTGAATACATTGATGAATGTGGAGGAATCGAAAGGAGCTTGTTTGAATCGGAGCTCTCGGTGTTCCATTATTTCTGTCTACTTTAATGTAATTTGAAATTGTGTTCCACAAAATGAAACCGACTTCAGTTGTGGCAAACCAGTTATTTTGATCGAAAAAAATAAACAACTGAATCGATTTTGATAAAATTTCTATGTGACCAATCTGTATATAGTTTCAGATAAAAAAAGAATTTTCCAAATTGGTTTATAATTGAAGAAGTTATAAAGTAATAAACACAAAAACATACCACCGAATTAGGAACATCTTCATTTTTTAAAGTCGGTTACAAAGCATGGCGTATATGTATGTATGTAAAAATAGAACAAATCGAGAACCTCTCTTTCTGGAGGATGCTTAAAAATGAAGCAAATGCAATTATTAAATGAATGAGGCGGTAACTACAACATTGATAGCGCCATGATTTATGTAAAATAATTCTGCAAATGATATGGAACACAATATAGTAGGTAATTAAACGAGTAATCGAAGGTTAGTGGTGATCGGTCAAGATGTCTGTGCCCGGATATCGCGTGACGCGTTTTGCGGTCGCCCGGTCGGTCGGTTGCTAGCAGTGGGCGCGATCGCTTCAGCTTCGAATGAATTCCAATAGATTGGAATTATGTTTCGCACTCTTGAATTGCAACCTAAATGACATTTGTGTCACCATTAAAGGAACTGATTCGTCATTGGATTAATATTGTAAATGGTTTATTCGATACTTAAGTTTATATAAACTGTAAGTTATATAGTACAGTATGGGAACTTGCGATTTCCATACAAAATTATCTATTTTAAAATTTTTCGATTTATGTTCATATGAACTTTAGGAATTTTCCGATTTTATTCTTTTAAACTACACCTGTTATATCGTATAAATAAATAAAAAGGTCGGTCAAACTATTTTTGAGTTTTAGCGACACTAACGAATAGCAATTCCTGTTTTTAACGCATTATAACATTAGGTACACAAAAATATTTGTATATTTGGAAATATGAATGATTTGCTGTGCTCGTGTCCTCTTTCGCGCGACGAAATTTTGTATTTTCCCATGAGACTCTTATATTTATGGCGGTATAAAGTATCCTATATCACCGTCTTATATGTTGACTTACATATTAAGCTATCCCGACATCAAGTTTCATTGAAATCCGTGAAGTATTTTCTTCGTGATGCGTACACAGACACGTTCTTGTTACATTTTTTATTACATTGAACTAGCTATTTTCCGCGACTTCGCCAACGTGTATATAAAATAATCAATTAGGCATTAAAATAAAGTATTCTATTTGTTAAGTTTAATCTGTCTGTACATGAAATTTCATACAAATCTGAGTAAAAACATACAAATATCTTTACAAAATTTCATATTTTTAGCATGAATATATTGTTGTTCATTTTGTATTGAAGTTATAATAAAATTACCGAGTATTGAATTAAAGTATCGCGTGAACGCGCGTGCTTGTGGCGCACCTTGCCGATTCTACGCAGAAGCTTCGATTGGGTTTCCTTTCAAGTAATTTGAACTTCGATATTTTTTGACGTCATTTCCGATAGAATCTTTCTATCATTGAGTTTCGGTTTGGTGTGACCTTTGCGACTAACCCTGTGTATACATAGCTATATATTTATTGTATATATGGGTATTATTTGTTAGAGTGCACGCAACGTCTCCATCACATTTGGCTACCTTGCCTCTATTTGTATGAATATTTCGTTTTGACCCTCTTTCCAACGATAATCACATAGTATCGTATATTAGTTTTATTGTACTTATATTTATTTATTTAAACTTTAATGCATAGTGAAACTATGTACATATGGCGGACTTAATACCGGACGGTGTATCTCATCGGGTGAAAATGGTATGGTAACCCCGCCTGCACTAACGGGATACGCCGGCGGAGCACCAGTGAAGGGTGACAGATGAGAATGAAAACAGGCCAGTTAGCCCATCATGATGAATTCATTAGGAATTAACCATGACAGTTTCCAGGAAGTACCGCGAGGAAGTCGGCCTGGTTGGGTATATTGCTATCAATGGGATTCTCAGTCTCTATTACTAACAATCCCTTTCCCCCCTACCGGACGGTGTTCGCTACCAGTCAACCATTGGGCAAACAGAGATATAAAAATAATATTTATATTCATATATTATATTTACAGTTATAAATTTATTATAAGAACTTGTTGTTAATACTATAATAAGTTACTTTATTATTAAGTAAAGTATATATTTCATATAGACCTTTAAATGACTGTATAACATATATATATATATATATATATATATATATATATGTATGATAATCATCATAATATATATATATATATATATATGTATGATGATCATCATCATACATGTACTGAATATATTTTAAAGTACAGTTGTAATAGTCGTTGGTGAACTGAATAAATAAATAGAAATAAAATTTCTTTGTAATCATTTCATTGGTGTTTACGAGTATGTCTGATTACCATCATAAATACTGATTTATAATTTATATTGTATCTTGTTTTAAATAAATGAGAAAATTGTACCGATTTAAATATTTATAGTGGAAATAAATATTTTGATGGCAATTTCCAACTTTCTACATAAGTTTTTTAATAAACAACATTACAATAAGGGGTTTGAATACTTTTGTATTGATAAACGACGTTTTTTTGACACAGTTAATAAATTATTACCAATCTATTGCTACTGTGTGATAATACTTTAGGTAAATATTTCCCATAATAATCTATATAGTACGTTATATGGAGTTTAAAATTGTACAAAACTGGTATCTGATACATTTTATTTATGATACTGTTATTTGTAAAATCATATACATAATTAAATTGTATCTCGATAAACAAAAAACATGCTTACGATTGTTATATTTTTAGTTATTGATGCATATAATATAAACTACTTATAGTGTTACAGTTACAAATGTGAACATTGATCACAAAATAAAATATAAATAAATAAATAAGTTGAATGAATCGTGCAAAATATACCTACTCACATACATCAATATGGTCCGTTTCCTAATCGGTGCGAGCTACGTGAAAAATGTTTTCCGACAAGATTGATGATTTTCCTACTAATCCACTCGACCGACCTTTCTACATCCGTTTTAACTCACACGTTTTGTTAATGTTGGATTAAAAAGAAACAACAAGATATATAATATAATACTATTTACTCGCGACTTTGTCCGCGTGATCATGATATACGTCGTTATAATTTTTCTAGAAATAAAGTGACCGAGAGGAATGTAGCCTATGATCTTCAAAATATTAAGTATATGTACTTATGCTAAATATTTCGAAACCTATGATATTGAAAATTTTAAAAGAATAATTGCCCGTATTTAGTCACATATTCTAATAGATTTCTAGTGACCCCCCTCGGTTTCGTATGAGTGCAATTTCGACATACAAAAATTTTCTGTAAAAATATCAGAGAAACTTTTAGATGTTTCTGATGCGAGGAAACAATTAGATGCGAATGGCAACTTTTATTTTTACTGCCTATTTAGAAACGTAAGTGATCATTTAAAAATATCAGAATTGATAATTATAAATGTTAGAGGTTAGAGCAATTGCTAAAGACAAAAGCATTTTTTTTTTTTTTATACAACTTAGCAAACAAGCTGACGGCCCATCTGATGTAAAGTGGTAACCGTCGCCTATAGACATGAGCAGTACCATGGACATAACAGAGTATACTGTTTCGCCAATGATACTCCCCATGCGTTGCCATTCCTGAGGACTCAGGTGTTATTCCTCTGTACCCAGTAAATTCACGCCATATCCCACCCTTCAAACCGAAACACAGCCATGCAAACACAACTGCTTCACGGTTGAAACACGAATAGGACAGAGGTACCCAGAGGTTTTTTGGGTTAGGCTGAAAAAAAGTCTTATTTATTTCGTATGAGTCATAGATTAAGGATAGTAATTGCAGTGCATAGGTACTTAGACTTACAGAAGAATACGCAGAATAATTTACGAAAGAAACCCTTTTTTTTAATCAGCAATTGAAATTAAAATTGTCATTATTATATTGACCTAGACTAAAACAATATCTTTAATTATTTCGTTATGAAAATGCCTAGTATGATAATGTAGATTACACTTGAATTCAATCGCCATTTCTTTTTCAACCGACTTTGAAAAAAGGAGGAGAGTATTTTTTATGAAGAATTCAGTTATTTATAAATCAATTTGAACATCTATTTTTTTTACCTGAAATCATACAGGTACTTTCAAATTGATCCTATACATATTTAATTAACGTCGGTTCAGAAATTTAGTTTTTAAATCATAATAACTCATTTTGCCACTATAGTAGTTTCTTTTTTACCAAAATCCAAAAATGTTCATAAGATTGCTATACTTTTTAAATAAATAAAATATTGTTGTGTTGTAAGTTACACATTATTCGTAGTTTATCTATTTATTTAGAGTATAGAAGAAGATACTGGAGTGTAGATCACGCATTAATAATGCGTGATGCATTAATAATGCTCGGTAGAAGTGAATCACTGAAAAGTTGGTTGGAACACATTGGTCAACAAGGTAAAACCAAGTGGATACAAGTGGCAAAGCCTATTAAAGTAAGAGTATGGAAAGATAAGTGATTTTAGATATTTTTTATAATAAATATTTACGGACATTTCTTAGGGTCTGGAAGGTACAGTATGGTTGCGGAATATATAAATTAAAAATACGTATTGAAAAACATGTAATAAAAATCTAATTTGATTTAAAAATTTGATATAATTTAAAGGTGTCAAACGTATTGAAGTTTTTAGGAACATTAAACATAAAGTAAAAATTTTCTCCTTAGTTATTCTCCACTATAGATATAGGAACATTTAGTTCCTATATCTGTATACGTATATTTAATCAATTACAAAAACGAGTAGCTTCTCAATATCATATATATAATATAGTCCTTCATATTAGTATTATCATTTGCTCGTTTAATTACAAGCCAAACAAAACTAGGTACTTACGATTTTAGTGTTGAGGTGCATAAGCTCCCGCTCGGTGACTCGGCGCCGCGCGGTCTCCATTTGCTGCTGCCGGTACTGGTTGTACTTGAACAGCAAATACATTCCGGGCAGGGCCAACACCACGAACTGTCGCATCAAGCTCGACGATGACGGCGCGCGTTGAGGCATCTTTTTATTAACATTCTTTATTCAAAATCGCTAAGCACTTTTCTCGCTGATATTACTCAGAACCTTATAGTCGGCATTCACGTTTGATTTATATTCTATTGCACCGGCATTAGAGATCATTTTGAACTGTTTTGAACTTTATTTCATACAACCAAGACACAATTTTCATTAAACTTACACTATGTTATGGAAGATTTTTCGTAACAAATTATCGTAAATAATATCTACTTTAGCACTTTTTATAGCGTCAATAGTTAAAACTACGGGGTTTTCTACTTTCAATAATTGGATTATTGCTTTATTAATAGACCTATTATTTACACTGCGCTATTCTCAGGACTTCCTCATTATCGGAGCTGAAACAAAAAAAAAATAGATTAAAGAATGAGAAAAAAATATTGTAAATATGAAAGTAACTTTATTTATATTTGTTGTTTTATTGTTGCTTTATTGCGCCTTAATGGCTGGGCCAATAATTATGAAATTTAGTATACACGTACTATATGGGACATAGTAGGATATAGGCTACTTTTTATTATGGCCAGTAAATATATCCCGGTTACGCGACCATACCACTTTACACAAGCCGTCAGTGGCTTACCTGATGGAAAGTGGTAACCATCGCCTATAGACACGAGCCGTACCATGGACATAACAAAGTATACTGTCTCGCCTATGAACCCCCCCCCCCATACTCAGATGATATTCCTCTGTACCCTCTAAATTCACTGCCATATCCCACCATTCAAACCATGCAAAAGTATTCATTATTACTCATTGAATACCATTAACATGATATAGAAAATACACAATATTCGACTTCTCTCAAATCAAGAAACGATTTCCAATTATATTATATGTAAATGTCGTGACATTTTTTAATTGGTGTTGGCGTTTGATCAAATAAATAGAAAATTAGTTTCTGACAAAGTCAATATTACCGTTAAAAGCAATTTGTATCCCAAAATAGATTTAATAAGTATAGGAATGAGATGATTGATAACTTCCTCCCTGAGGACCGGTGGCCGTAATAGGTTATTTTCCGTCTTCCTAATATCGACAGACATAAATGTTAATGGTCTTGGTATATAGGTTACGCATTGTAAAGGTTGCGTTCAGTTTGGAAATACTGGTAACGAGGACCCTAGGGGACTGTCATGTAATGTGGTCTTATGATCCCGTTGCTAGCAATATATTCGGTTATTTTAATGGGTGATAACGGAATGGTAATCCCGCCTGTGCTAACGGTATACGCTACTGGGGCATCAGTGAGAGATAACAGGTGAGAATAAAAAGGTGGGGCAGTTAGCCCATCGTGATGAATACACCTGGAATTCAGTACGATGAATATATCCAATTATGTTGAATTCCACGCAGTTCCTTTTGAAAGAATTAAATTTAATCTACCGGTACTTATTGACCTGACTTTATCTTCAGTAATCACTTTTCATTCATCACTCTACCAACCAGCGTAGAGTAGCGCATGCGAGATTGTCTTTCCATTTTCATCTTTTAATTAAATATAACTTAGAGTTAATTTTGTGTTTCAGATGAATGTAGTACGCGATGAAGGCGTTACACCAAGGGTATCTTACATGGTAGTCGAATGTAAAAATATTTTATTTCGTATGATATTACGATACAGACGATCTATTATTCTGTTGATAGAAATGGCCATTCGCTTTGGCGTAATAAAAAGTATTTTCCTGGGGCCTTTTTTTAATAGATGGCAATGGAATGGCAGCCCTGCCTGCGCTAACAGTATGTGCTGGCGGGGCATCAATGAGGAATGACATGAGGTAAGAATGAAAAAGCAGGCAGTTAGTCCACTGTGAAGAATGTACCCGGAATTCAGCACGATAGTTTCCAGGGGAGACCATGTGGAGGTCGACTTGACAGGGTATATTGCTAGCAATGGAACTCGTAGTCCGTATTACTAACAACTCCCTCCTATTTTCTTGGGGGTAGCCGGGGCACTTAAAAAGGCGCGTATATACTCTCAGACATGTCTGCCTATGGCTGAAAGCTTCGCTTGGATTTTCGAGTGGGTACTAGTCAATTCTGGGATGGGTACAGTCTAGCCGTCACCCCTTTAAATACACCCGTTAAGTTATTGGCGTCTGTTTTGTCCACGGCCCGCGGATCTTCCGTCGGTGTATAATCGCCAATGTCCGCATTGCATATTTTCTTATACAACGCATTACATTCAGTAGACGGTCTGCGTCGACTAGCACGTACAGAGTAGATATTTGATATGGATACGCGATAGTATATCCGTTTATTGTAGCGCAAACCTTAGGGAATAACGAGTTTTCACACTGGGATAAATAAAACGAGAGATGGCTTACCAAGTTTATTTATAATGTGAAAGGCCGACAAACCAGCATGTAGTTCAACTGATGGTAAGTGATTACCGCAGCCTGTGGACACTAACGACACCAGGAGAGTCGCCAATGCTTCACTAACCTTTTAAAAAGGTATAAATTCTCTTCTTGTAGGACCCTATATCATATTTATTAGGTACAGTTACTGTTGGTGTGGTAAAACCTTCAACATATAAAGTACTGGATTTCAGGATAGAATACGAATAGTTACTCCTTTGAAATAATGTGCTTTTGGCGTTGAATAACATTGCCAAAGAAGGTTGCTCAGTTTACTTGGTTTTTTAGAGGAAAGATATTTTTTCAATGGATGAAAATGGAATGATAGTCCTGCTTGTACTTTTGGTTTACGCTGGTGGCTAAAGAAAGAAAAAAATAAATAACAAAGGAAGTATATTCATCGCGTTCAAATTTTAATAATCGTAATAAATAATAAGTTGTTTTCGTTTTATTACATTTTGTTTTATTTTATTGGAATAGATATTTTTGTTATTAAAATATATTGTATTAAAATTTATATTAACTTAATAATAAACTTTTCAGGTAAGTAATTTTTATGTGGTAATAAAATTTATAACGAGTTATGTTAGCTTTAGATTTAGAATACAAATGAAATTTTAAATAAAATATATTTACATGTTTATTCAAGAAAACGTAACTAGTATTAGGATTAATACATAACATTGTTTTGCCAATCCAAAAAAAAAACAACAACAATAAGTGAAACAAAACGAAATCTTATCTGTGTATCTTTCAATCTTTACTTTCTACGAAGATTGTCTACGTAAGATTGTCTTTGTGTTAGAAAATTTGCGTTTATACGATAATATTCTTATATGCTATAATTACATCTACAGTATCTAAAATAACATACTTATGTTATTTTTCTTTATAGGTTTTATTGTACAAGAAAACAAATGAATATTTTAATAAAAATTTTAGTTCTACCAATTAGAGTGAGAATGAATAAACATCATCTGCACGGGTACCTCTGTTCCACCTGTTTCTACTGTGAAGCAGCTGAGCTGTGTTTCGGTTAAAGGGTTGAATATGGCTGTGAAATTACAGGGTACGATGGCATAACACCGTAATCCTCAGAAATGGTAACACATAAGATTTACCATGGACGTCACAGTACCATTTTCCATCAAGTGAGCCGTTAGCTTGTTTGCCGTTCCAAGTATCACAAAAAATAACTTACATTAGCACACCAATTTCTTTAAAGGAAAAAGTTTATTTATATTATCATAGAAACATTTTACAGTTTTATTTTTTAAACCGTCATCTCTGCACATTCTAAAGGTTAACTAGTAGAGAGTGCACGTAGCATTACATCTGGCTTTTGTACCACATTTTAATAGTCAATAACGTTAAAAAAAGGAAAACATTGGAACAAGCTATAAGCATTAAAATATTATAAATAATATTACTAGCTTTTACCCGCGACTTGATCTGTGTAACCGGGATATGTTTACTGACTCGGATAAAAAGTATTCTTTTTTCTTCTCCATCCTATATAAACCAAATTTCATACTACCTGGTTAAGTCATTAAGGCGTTATAAGGTAACAAAATTACTTTCATATTTATAATATTAGTAAAGTTAATCGACAATGTTTATATAGACAAAAATTGTATCGATTATGAATGACGTCACAAGACATTATGTCATAACTGTCGAATATAAGCTGATAGTTGAGTATCGATAGAAGTATGATCCCAGTATCGGTGTAAGCCGGTATCAGGGTACAGCTTGACATATTGTAGCGATACGATCGACTCGCGACTGTATAGCAATTTGATTGGCATGCCATCTTAGGGTCAAAACACATCTATGTTTGTAATGTTAATACCTATGGAATTATTATTACTAACTGTAATAACAATAATAACCTTTTAAGTACACTCTATTTTAATAACTATGTGATGTAATCTTCTGAGAAGAATCACTTTAAATAAGTTTTCTTTTTTTTAGAAGAGGAGGTTCTTAAATTTGTTAGTTTTTTTTTATGGTTATTGTTCAATATGAACAAGAGTTTTGTTTTCTACTGAGAATTGTATTAATTAAAAATGCGGAAGTTGGTAACGACGGATGTGTGAATGAATGTTTGTTACATTTTCACGCAAAAAGTACTAAACAGATTTGAATGAAATTTGGTAGGTAAATGGGTTGGTTACATCCTAACTTAGCACATAGAATACTTTATGTACTAATCTACAGCTAGTAAAAACTATTTTGAGTTTTCCATAATAGAATATTTTCATGCCTCTTTTGTTTTATATTTTGTCATTATTATAGTAGCGATTACTTGTTCTGTGAAGAAGTGAAGAAAATATATAATATGAATGTTTTATATACGGCACCTTATTATTTTTATTCTATTTTGATTTTCATTAAATTAAAATCAAAGACTAGGAAGGAAATTAATACTTTTAATCGACTTCAAAAAAGGAGGAGGTTTTATGTTCGACTATGTTTTCCTACGCGATTGCGTTCCCAATTTTGAATCGACGTAGTAATTTTAATGCTGTTGTTTTTGTTTTGTTGCGGAGCTAAATGACTAATGGTTATGAGCGACAATTAATAAACCAGAATTTTTTTACAGAATGAGATTATTGGCCAAAATTCGACTGGTAATGTTAATTCAAAGAAAATTGTTTGATTGTTGAATTGAAAATTGTTTGATTGTTGAAAATTGTTAAATTGTTAATTCAAAGAAAAAGAAGCACTAAAGTCTGTTTAAATTAAATTATTTTTTGCTTACTAACTGTTCCTAGAACTTTCAATAGAAATTTAGCGCTCTTACTAAACTATCTACCTACCTGTTATATTCTAGGTATTCAAAGTCAGTTTCCTCGAAAGTTTGCTAGTTGTAGCCTTAAACGAGTTTAGCTGCGAGGCGACGATGCCACGTAGTGAAATGGCTTTCGGCTGATTGGTTCGTTGGATAACAAAATGGGAACACACCAGCGTTT